TATGCAAAGCAAACAAATAACACGCATTTGTGTATTATTTTGGATGATTACAGCAGACCATTCTCTGAATCACATTACTCCACTTTCTAAATTGCGTTCCATCACCATGCTTGATACTTTCCTCTTGTTGCATAGGAGTTTTTTTGACTGGACTGTTTACTTTCATCTAGACTCCAGAGAAGATCTGTGACGCTAGAACATCATTAACAGGGAATGGAGAGCATTCCAGAATAGTGCTTGCAGCATGGAATCACTGGAAGGACTGACCTGATCTGAGAAATGTAAGCTGTCTCCTTTTGAAGCTTGAAAGGCTTTGTTGAGCTTTATAGTCAAAGAGACTTGCTTGATCTTAAAACCTTGTATGTTCTAGTATGACTAGCAAGCTCAGTAGAGGTATTCCTCAAATATGTTTTTAATTTCAGCATCATAATAAAATCATTTGGTGATCCCACTTGTTCTCCTGTTGAGAATTCATACAACTATCTGGTGATGTACATAATAGGCAACGTATTTCTGGATTCAAACTGAGTGAGTGTCATTAAGCTCCAGACCTGCAGATCCCAACAGGAAGATTCTACTTCTCATTGAAGTCCCTGTGTAGTCTATGTCATTAAACTCTGTGATGATAAAAAGGGGTCTTTCCTCGGGAAAAGACCAATTTATTGCTTCTCAAACAGAAATCTTATGTGGAAGTCTCAGGCTCTTCTCCAGCTCTGCTGAATGCTTGCTTTCAATTACAAAATAGGAGACTAGACATCAAAATAAGTACAACAGGAATACAACAGGTATTTTGTTCACAGGTAATACTTGGATATATCCATGGAAAGTGATGAAGATAAGCTGTGCATTTTAAGTATCCAACCTAAAAATCCATTTTGTGTTTCAGTCCCCTAAGATATATGGGACTATATTCAGAAGTAATGAATGTAGGACAGGTACACCACAAGAAAATGAGTTTTGCAAGATCTGAATCCAGTGTTTCAGATTGTCTTGGTTGTAATGTAAAAAGTGTAGGGCAATAACTGGAATATGTTAATGTTACATTTGGTCTAAGACACTAGAAGCACTCAGGAAAGACTCAAGAAAACAACCAAATCTAGTAGATCTTAAGGAATTTAATTTTGAATACACCAGGAATGTTTCAGGCTTGTGCCATATCAAACAGTTTTGAGAGGAATTAGATTTGTAATTTTTTTCATAATTTTTTTTTCTGTTCTGATACCTGTTTTATTCTTTGGCATCAAGCTCTGTCTCAGGTATTTTTCTACATAGCATAATGTGTTGCACTTCTCAGCGCAACACAAAACAGTAACATTTTAAAAAAGTAATTAGAGATAGATGTTTTGCCAATTATTTTGCTTTCTCTCAGGATATGACCATGCTAATGTAGTCCAACATCAAATACGGATTCCTTCCCTTTGTATGTTATCTGAAGAACACAATAATGAAAGTGTCTCTTTGAAAGAGGCACATTAAGAATTACAAAAACTGTGACAACTGCAGAAAGAGAGTAAGTCTGAGGTGAAATTGAAGCTGCTTTTTATTTCACTGGTGAAAGCCAGTATGAGCAGATCAGACAGAGTGGATGCTTGGAACTACAGATGCTACAGCCACATCAGTGAGTGGCAGTTTGTTGACCTGACTTTGTTTCAAATACAGAAAACAGAGACAGCACAGCAAGCCACTAGAGGCCTCTACCCTGGTGCAAGTGCGATCTCCCTGCTCTGCTTTGGGTTGGCTTCTCTGTCTGTAGCACTCTCTCTTCTTTTTGGGCTGTTACTGTTGGTTGTGGTAGAGTCAGATCTGCACCCTGTTTCATTATGGACCAGTTCTCGCTGTTTTCCTGGACCTAATGGAAGGTGCTGTGCTGCCTCTGTGGCTTCTCTAGGCTGGACACTCTACAGCAGCAAGCCCAGGGTCCCATGAGAAGGCAGAGCTGTCCTTATCGGTTATGTCCGTCTCCAGGGAGCTTTCAGCTTCAAAGGCTGAGTACTTTACTTCCATGAGCTATGACCTTATTGTCCTTGGACAGGAATGCGGGAGTAAACGTGTTTTGCTTATATCAATAATAAGCTTAGGTGGCACAGGATGGCAGTTTGTCTTCTGCTTCAGCTGAGCACTGGAACCTACGTTTTTCCATCGGTTGCTTCCTCACTATATCCTCCTTGGTTTCTTATGGTCCAAAAAGGCATCTTGTTGATCCTTATGGTCCGTTCACCAAAGCTGCTGCCACAGCTGTGGCAGGAGATGGTACAGCTGCAGGTAGGATGGTGTTTGTGTAGCTTTTACTAGAACTGCTGCTGCATCACAAGAATCCACTGCACCAAAAACATGGCTGGCATTGCTGGTTTTCTTTTTAATGATGCTCTCTGAATCCAAGTGTGCTTTTTTTTGTTTTTCAACTTCTCTTCCCTCCTACAACTTTATGAAGTTGCTTCCTGCCAGATCCAGAATCAAGGAATAAGTCCCCCCCTTTCTTTCCAAAACCAGTGCCATTGAAACCATTTGGAAAACTAATTTCTCTGTGGGATCCTTCCCCCTCCTTTTTTTTTTTTTTTAAATAATTGTTGTTCTTTAAAGTAAAAATACTGTTCCCTGTGGAACAGTTTTCTCTCCTCAGGCACATGTACTTAAATCTTACCAGCAGCTTTGCCACAGCCTTAGAAAGTCCGAAGTACACTTTTCAGTGAAGTACACAATGTTTGGAAGGACTGTAAGCAGGTAGAGAAATGCCAGATCCACTCTAGAAAGAGTGCATTAGCTTCAGGTAATTATGATATCCTTTAGCAGGACAGTAATATTCATTTGTCACAATTTCAAAGCAGAGGAACCATGATTGTGAACTTTATCCCATGCACTGGTATAGTGCTCCCTGTGAACTAGTTAAACCTTACTTCTTGCAGAAAGTTTGAGCTTATGAGACACTGGATTCCTCTCCAGAGCTTCAAGAAAAGCTTTGAACAAATCTGATTAAAAGTGCAAAGTTTCAAAGGCAAAAGGAAGTTTTAAGAGTGGCAACAATTTTTATGGAAAAGGTCGTTATTGCTCCTGTAACTGGAGGTGCTTTTTACCTCTAGAAGTGGATTTAGGTGCCTCTTTTGTTCACTTGCTGAGATGAGGAGTGGTCTTCCAACACCATATTGTGTGTCAGGACAACATAAATGGCATGACTGTGGCAGGTAGCTGATGAAAACAAAATGTTGGCTTTTATCTCACATTAAAAATAATTAGAAGTTAGGGCAAGTTTTCATGTGGAAAAAGTAAAGGAATGTGAGTGGGTGTGTCATGGCAATGTGAGTTCTTCAATCAAGGGGGGGATGTTCTCTATCATCCATGCTGTTCAGGTGCAATTTCTCAATGAGAACTTCAAAACTGACACAAGTTCCATATGACTGGAGATTTTTATGCTCTACAGAACATTGTAACATACTTTAAGCTAATAGATAGAGTAAGACTGTTCACTTAGAGGAACCTCAGAGAAAATTCAAAGCCTCAAGTGCTGTGTTTGGACAGAATAGCAGGTTAGGAAGAAAAAGCAATGAGAGAAAAAAGAAAGAAGAAGAGCATCCTCGCCAAAGAAGAGCAAGCTGCTCGAAGAAGCTGCTATGGGAACAGCTTTTGATCCTGGAGAGAAGATGAAATATTGAGACATTAAACATCAGCTCTTAAGTAGGTGTGTTTACCAAGCAGAACATAGGTAATTTGTTCCCTTGGATAACAGTAGCAAAATCAATTGTGAGTAACAAGAACAGAACACTTTTCTAGGTACAACTTTTTTTTTACTTGTTAATAACTATTTCTGCTTCTGGTGTCAGAATTTCTGGCCGGAGCAAGCAGACAACTTTCATCTTTACACTTTCCTAATGTTAAGGGTGAACTCAGTTAAGCTGTAAACTTCTGCAGTAGTAATGATTCCAGGTGAAGTGGTGGACTCTGTGTCTTAACTAGCATTAATTTGGGAATGTTAGCCCCTGAGAGGTTTTCTCTGCCAAGCAGTGAAGATTAGTTAGAGGTCTACAATCCTTAGGAAATTCCTCTTTGCAGGTTTACTCTTTACTTTTCTAAGAAGGAGGAAGAAATAAAGGCAAAAAAAATATTAGTTACCTTCTACGTGATCACAAGAAAATTAGAGCCACTGAATTACCAAAGTAACAAGCGACAGCATAAGAGAAAATTGGCTCAGATTGCACCAGAGGGGGTTTTAATTGAATACTAGGAAAAATTTCTTCACCGAAAGGGTTGTCAAGCAATGGAACAGGCTGCTCAGGGAAGTGGTTGAGTCACATTCCCTGGAGGTATTTAAAAGCTGTGTAGATGTGGCACTTAGGGACATGGCTTAGTGGTGAACTGGGCAGTTTGGGTAAATGACTCAATGAACTCAAAGGTCTTTTTCAACCTGAACGATTCAACGATTCTTTAAAATAACATTTTAGCTTATTTTATACTAATCCTGGAATTTTTCTTGTAGCTATAAAGAATAGCAAGAAGGATTATATCAGAAATAAACAAATACGGGATTTTGTAGAGGAGTACCCAGTAATACACACACACAAGTTTTTTTCATTAAAAATACAGTTGTATAGAAAGGGAGCAGATTTCAATGAACTGGTGAAGAAGCTTAAACTGAGGAGCATCTGCCTGTTATGTGTTGATTGTGACTAACAGTGTCACTTAAACAGTAGTTAAGCTGAGTTTAAAATTGAAGAGGAGCTGTCTTTGAAAATAATAGAGTTCCTTAATGGTAGCTCTTTTATGATTCACACCTGCTCATTTGAAAATGTAAAACCACCTAGATGTTTACAGAGATTGAGAAGGATTTTGTGCTCTGGGGAGTTGTCCCTCACTTTTTCTCATTTGCACTATTTCTTTAAAGATACTTGTGGCATGGGATGTTTATTTCTGATGAAAAGCCTGTTCCATCAGGCCAGCACCCCTGGAGGCAGCCAAAGATTACCAGCCTGTCTGAAACTTCGGAGTCAGATAATTTTCTTATCTCTGTATTGTTGTCTGCTGGTTTTATTCTTCCAATAGTAATTAAAACCACACAAGAATGAGTCACAATTTCAAGTAGCTCTCCCACCCACCTGTAACATAATAAGGAGGATTGCCCGGGTAGGGAGTTCTCAGTTTGAATTGCAATCTCTACACTAAAAGCAGTAATGCTGTTTAATGAGGTAAAACGGTCTAGAAGTAATTCGCAGCAGTACAAAAGCTAACGTGCCACAGGATTGCTCTTGCTCAGGGTTTCTCTTGTGGGTGCTGACGTAGGGCAAGACACTCTAGGTGCCCTTGAGTCAGGCAGAGTATAAGCTAGACAAGCCTTGGTCGCTTGCCACTGTAATATTTTCTAGTTTTTAGAGAATTATAGATATTTTAGTAACTATCAGAAATTTATTTTTTATTAAATACTCTAATATATGAAGAATTATTATAGTTACTGTTCAGGAAACAACTGTCAAGCAACGTTCATCCTCCCAAAAAGGAGAATTTTATGTAATACATACATGTAGATTGCAAAGCAACCTTCTAGAAGTTATAAAGACATACAACATATTTGGCTGTGACCTCGCAGAATTTTTTTTTTCTTAAGTCTTCCTTTCACTTTCAGACTGATTTTTACAAAACTCCAATTTCCTAACCGAGTTTTTCAATGCCTCTGAGCACTTCGGAAACTGCTTTTACTCATATAAAGTTCTACACCTAAGTAGGTGCACATTATCACAGACATCTGAGGGTGCTTGCATATACAAATTGCGACATGTTTAACATTCATATAAGCTTACAATCAGAATAGTCAGAAGCATACTTTGCATGTGCATTTCAGCATTTTCATATTTCCATGATTTTATTTCCAAGCCAAATTGCCTTCAAAAAGCAAAGCACATATTTATCACCGAGAATTAACTACATACCGAGATTGCAGATTCAACACAAAGCTGCTTTGGAGCTGCCACAGCATTAAAAATAGCATCTGAAAAATTACTTACAAAATACGATTTTCCATACATGAATAATTTAAATAGACAAATGAAATTTTGTAAAACTATTTTCTTCCCACCTCAAGTTGTATTCTGAGAAGACATATGAAATGTAAAGTTTTTTGAGCATATTAAAACACATGTAGAATAGCAGCAAAAGCAGTGACGATTTTAAGAATAGAGTGGATGGTACATATCAGAATTGCTTGTGAAAACAAGCTACATTTTCTGTATAACAGTTTTATTTCAAATGTCATTTTGCCGACCTTAAAAGAATGACCCCTGACATTGGTAAGTAATTGTGCAGCCTATTCTTACCTAAATTCTTCTTCACTGTTTTAAGAGACTGAGTTACTTCTTAGTGTCATGCTGATTTCTGGTCTTCCATAGGACTTAGCATTTTACAAACCAGAAAAAATCCTGCGTTGAATGCCTGTAAAGTGGGAGCAAAGCAAGTCATGTTCAGAGGTGGTGCACAGGGAGGAAGAGATAAGTGGAAAACAGCAGTACATTGGCAGTACTCAGTGGTAGTTCTGTAAGGGCCATCACATTACTGTAGATGGGAAGGGAAAACACTCAGTAGGGAAGGAGAATGTGCTGAAATGAAAAGCAAACACAGCGATAAAACCTGTTTGAGAATCTCTGGCTAAACTGAGTGGGGAGTCTTGTAAAACTTGCCTCAGAAATTACTTTGTTGTGACCAGAAAATAGCTTTCACCTTTAAATAGTGGGGAAAACCATCATTGTTTTAAATAAACAACCAGCTTCTCACTTTGTTCAGTGATAACTAAGTTCAGCACATGTGGCATCATAAGTCAGACAAAAGACTGAACTTGTAGAATACAAATATTAGGATAATCATCAGAATGGGGAATATACCAGGCAGTTTAAGACTTAGTTTATCAGGTTTCATAATTTAATTTTTGTAACCTTTTCTTAGACACAGCTTTCACAGATAGATTGATATTCCAGAGATATATTGACTTCATGTGATATGAATTAATTCACCAGCTCTGCAAAATAAGACATTGAGTTTTGTCACATAATGGCTACTCATATAATGGCTTCACCCACTATTGTAAGGCAAGAAAAAGATTACTAGTAGTTTTAGAGTGGATGGGCATAATGATCCCATTGTGCTTAAAAAGGACAAATGATGAAAGAAAATTGTAGATGTTACAATGAGGAATGTAGCTATTAGAATTGAAGCACGGTTCTTTTCTACATGATGTAAACAATCTAAACATTATTATATGTATTCTGAAAATGTTACTGTATATTATATAATTCTGCACTATTATGTGTGTCTTGTCACAGAACTGACTACGTGGAAGTTGCTTACAGTGATCAAGGAGCAGATGGTGGAGTCTAAGACTCATCACTCATCCCCAGTTAAGGGCCAGCTTAAAGTGTAGTTTGAGGACTTCAAAAAAAGGTTCATAAAAGTGCAATTCAGACTCAACAGCATAGGTAGTATCCCACATTTTAGTTAGATCCAGCTGTATCTGAGAACTGCTGCAAATTATCCCATGGCATATTTCCTGTCAAAATAACTGGAGACCCAGGGTCTTGAAGGTCTATTGTAAAACCATTTTAAAGACCATTACTTATTTTACTGCATTCCTTATTTTAAACTCTCCTAAAGAATTAGTAATAATATAATGTAGAGCAATTAAGCACAATTAAATGTGTAAGTATGAATTGAAACAGAAGTTCTCTTTTTATTTGAAGAATACACTATGTCTTCTCAAAAGTCACAGCTCTTACTAAATATAGACTTTTATTTTAAAATCTATAAATAGATGCTAGTATAATTCATCAGTTGAGCAAGATCTGTAAGGAATTTGGGAACCATCCCCTGCTCAGAGATGTGAAATGTCTGCTTTATTTGTTTCAAATTAAAGTTATTTAAAAAGTAAGCTTTTAGTGTGTGGCTAAATGGGATTACAGGGACAAGAAAAAGATGTTTCAAATTCTGCAAAAGGACTTGAACTGCTGGACTCCATCAATCTCTCTGGGATGCTGTAAGGTTCATCTAATAAAGAACGAATGGGAAGTATTATCTCCCATTACATGGATTTTGTACAAGTTTACCTGAATATGACAATACTGCAGTTCCCACAAACACAATACATACATTTCTGATGTCATATACCTAATTTAAAGTAATGGCATAATACAGTATTCATAATAAGTTGAGAATGACAGATGATGAAAAGTAGCCATCAGTCATCATTAATAAAATGTTTTGGGGCCCCTGGAAGGATGTAGGATCCAACAGACCCCTTAATAATCCAGATATCAAGCATTAATAAATGTCTGCAGAAAAACAAACTAGTAACTGGTGAGGATAAGATAGTCACGCAGTGTGGTTTGCATAAGATGGAAAACTGAGCCCATTTGAACAAAATATAGTTTTGTAGAACTAAAAGTAGGCTGTCTCTTCTGAAGGATAGACTGGAAAATACCAGTTCTGGAAAAGCCCTAGATGTCATACAGTCGAGAAGTAATTTAATGCAAGCTTCCCCTGTGATAACATGACAAAAAGGGTGAATGCAGTCTTTGAGTACACATGTAGGAGAAAAGCAAGCAGCAGTATGGAGGAGCATATTCCAATGTCTTATACAGTCATAAATTATGCCCACTGTAAACAGCCATGTTTTGAAAAAAAGTCTGTTGACAAACCAATTGCCAGTTTTCCAGTCTGGGAAATACCCTTACAAGGGAAGCTGTCTTTCATACAGAGTTGACTTGCTGCACTTTATGCGTACCTAAAGATGAAAAGAAAACCCTAAAACTGAAAACCACCGAAAAACCCAAACCAAACCGAAGAATGCCAGGCTTTAATGGCTAACAGCAACAATGATTGTTGGAAGAATCAAATATTAGAAAACAAGGCCAAACAAGTTCAATTTAGAATTAAGGTACAATTTCTAAAACAGCAAATGTGATTTAACCATTTGAATAAATTGCAAAGTAAAACTATGGATTTTCCATTATCCACTTTCAAATTAAGACTCTTAAGTTTTTCTGGCAAATATTTTATGGTAAATCGAGTTAGCTATTGGATTCAACACAAAGATTAGCTGATGAAATCTACCATCTTGCACTGTGTAGTGTCAGGCCAGTTTATCTAGCTGTTGATTAATGACTTGATTTTAAGGTTACTGGTAACACTTTCATGCATTTATCTACTTATTCAATGATTGTATGAATAGATAAAAAGGGGAGAAGGACGTCTGGAAATGAAAATCCAAAAAGAGTGAGTGGAAATTATTTCTGGAGACAATACAGGGAAAAATGGGTTAAAGAGTAAACCAATTGGCAAAACTCAGATGTTTTCTTCAATGTATGTATAGCTCCCATGAAGTGAAGCTACACGTAGCATGAAGTGAAGCTACAGGTAGCAACAGCTATATATGTAATTGTTTACTTTGTGTCTTACTAGCTAATGGCCAAGTTCCTTAATCAACCTTAGACAGCTTAAGAAGATCAATGAGCAATCTTCAAGTTGAGGGAGCCACATAAACCTAAATGCCTGCTACAGTTCAGAGCTGGAATGTGACATGACTTTTCTTTCACAATGAACTTGCCACCTCCAGTTTAGTACATTACTTGGCTCCAGGTGTTACTAGAAGTTATATGCTGGATTCCAGAAGTAATCCAAGAGGGTTGCTGCTATATTGGATCAATTCAGATACTGCCCAAAGCAGATGTTATCCTAGAACTTACTTACAGCGGCAGATAGGATAAATGTCCTCCTCTGCACTGTAATCACTTAGATGTTACTGGCATAGATGTTGTTCAGGTATTACCTGAAGTTTAATTCAAGGTTGACTTCATTATGTATCAGGAATGGGTCAGCACTCAACTAAAAGCAGTTACACGCTGTTTTGGGTTTGGCTTTCTTTACTGGTCACTGTTAACGATATGATTGCTAGCACAGTACCTTCTGTGCATTCTCTGTAGCTTATTTTTCCAGAATCAGATGCTTATTCAGAGTGTAAGAAATAACTGTAATTTCCATACTCTTCCTTGAAATTCTAATGATGCAGCAATTTCTTTCTGCCTTAGTCTCCCTTCCATTACATTATCTGAAATGCCACTGTTTCAATTTTTTTTCACTTACTCCTGACCAATAAACTTACCCATTCCCTGACTCTGCCCATGCATTCTTCACTGCCTGCTTGTTCTGAATGGGTTACTTTTGTTGTTTTCCTCCATATCTACCTTCACTCCTAACCATCCTATTTAGAGTACCTTGACTCCTTAAATTTCTAGTTTAGGGAAATATGGAAATGGGCAGGGATAAAATTTTGTTAACTCTATCTGAGAAAAAGCTTTAGATATACTTTATTAAATTCTACTTCTGTATCAGCTAAGGCATCTCTTATTCTCACATCTGTTCTTTGAATAAGATCTCAGATTAAACAATGGGAGGTACATTCGAGACATATTTCTAAGGTAAAATAAACACCAGTATTTCTGTACTTTTCTTGTTCTGCATTTTAATAGTACCTACATATCTGTTCCATTACCAAGACCTAAATGCTAAGACAGTATGTATCTTTTATTTCATCAGTGCTCAAGGCAAAGCTCTGCATTCCCGTTATATCTTAAATGACAAAAGCTTTATTACCAGTCAATAAAATGCACTGTGCTAAACCACGTATTATTTAGCATATCAAATATGACATTATGACTACAGTAAATAAAGGTGAGGTTTTAAAAAACTTCTTCACTGGTCACAGACGAGAATTTAAAATTACTCCCGAAGCCCTTATCCATCACACTTATTTCAAAAGATTCAACCAATATGTAAAATGGTCTGTAATGGATTTGAATGCTCTTCAGCTCTCCTGCAGGTTAAACTTCAATAAAGGGAGTAATTAGATGCATTTAACATCTGCTACAAAGCCACCAACATGATTTTTTGAAGCTTTGTACCAAGATTCATAATTGTATTCCCGATCTGTTTCCAAGTTAATTAAACTGGGATGGAAAAGAAAAATGCCATTTACAAGTGAAATGTGTTTTGTAACTGCTTTCAGTGAAAATACTGCTCCTTTCACACCTCTTTTGAATGAGTGTAACATTGCTCCTGCCCCTGCTGAAAGGCTCTGGTATTGTTGCTATTATGATGGATCAGTTTCTACATGTAAATGCAAGTAGCCACAACTATCAGTGTACTTCTAGACACCTGAATGATGATACCCACCTTTTTTGCTTGAAGCAGTAAAAACACTGACATGTTAAATGGCAGAGAGGTGTGTATGTTCCATATATACCTATCTGCCTTATTTTCAGCAAACTACCATAAGATCAGGACCAAGGCCATTGGCTTGCCTTTGACTGATTAATGAACTTGCACTAAACGACCAGCCTCAAACCTGCCCTCTTCCACAGCAAAATGGATATACTATTTCAACTTCTGCAAGAGGAAGCAACAAAGACCAACCAGACATTCAATTAAGAGCTTTAATCAATGCACAGACAGTAGAGAATATGGTATTCTGAATTCCCCCCAAAAGATAAAAAAATATTTAAGTATTTTACAAATTTATAAAATGTAAAGTTTCCTTTTATAAATAATACATATAAATTTCCTTTTTTCACTACATGGTTCTGGTTACAAAGCCAGGGGGTGGAGCTTCAGCAATGAATATTCATACACTTGGAACTGACTGCCCCAGGGGTGGAAACACAGCCCATTTGCCATGGGCTGATCCAGACTGCACTGGAAAAGGGTGAGGCTCCACAACACTTACAGTTGTCAATGACATCACTGTATGGGAAAACATGGCAGACAAGGTTTTTAAGAAAGGGGAGAAGATAATCCAGATTCTTCTGAAAGTTGGTTTTGCCATTAAACAAAATAAGGCCAAAGGACCTGCCCAGGAAATTCAGTTCCTAGGAGTAAAGTGGCAAGACGGACATTGCTAGATTCCAACAGAGGTGATTAACAAAATAGCAACAAGAAGGAAACACAGGCTTTCTTAGGTGCTGTGGGCTTTTGGGGAATGCATGTCCCAGAGTACAGTCAGATTGTAAGCCCTCTCTGCCTTGTGACATGGAAGAACAATTTCAAGTGAGGCCCTGTAAAAAATGTGCTCTACACTGCAGCCAGGGAGAAGGGTCCTTTCTGGAGCCACTGGCAAAAACTGCCCGGGAAGATCCAAGGAAAAGCTCTGGGGTTGTGGAGTCAGGGATACAAAGAATCTGAGGCCTGTTACACTCCAGCTGAAAAAGAGATACTGGCAGCTTATGAAGGGGTTCGAGCTGCCTCAGAAGTGATTGGCACTGAAGCACAGCTCCTCCTGGCGCCCCAACTGCCACTGCTGAGGGGGATTTCAAAGGAAAAATTCCTTCCACACATACCACCGATGCTGTATGAATTCAATGGATCACTCTCATCATACAGTGAGCACGGACAGGAAATCCTAATCACCAAGAGATCTTGGAGATCATCATGAACTGGCCTGAAGGTGAGAATTGTAGACTATCAGGAAGAGGAGCAGGTGACCAGTGCTGAGGAGGCCTCACCAGATAATCAGCTATCAGAAAATGAAAAGCTATAAGCTCTCTTTGCTGATGGTTCCTGTCATACTGTAGGGACAAAACTGAAAATGGAAAGCTGGCAAATGGAGCCCTATGTGGCAAGTTGCAGAAGCTACCAAGGGACAAGGTGACTCAAATCAGACCCAGCTGCAGAGCTCAAAGCTGTCCAGCTGGCTTTAGATGTCGCTGAAATAGAGAGAAGTGGCCAACACTCTACCTCTACACTGACTCGTGGATGTCAGTAAGTGCTCTGTGGGGGTGGAGAAGTTGACCATGAAAGTTCTTCATGTAGACGCACGTGTACTCAAGAGTCAGGCCAACAAGGAGCATCGTAACGACAAACAGGTTAAAGATCAAAGTGTCTCAGGTACGTCTGGACTGGTAACATAAAGGTGAATTATTTGTTGTTCGGTGGGCCCATGATGCCTCAGGTCATCAGGAAAGAGATGCAACATACAGATGGGCTCATGATCGAGGGGTGGATTTAACCATGGGCACTATCTCCCAGGTTATCCGTAACTGTGAAATGTGCTGCGATCAAGCAGGCCAAGAGAGTAAAGCCCTTGTGGTACGGGGGGCGATGGTTGAAATATAAATATTGGGAGGCCTGGCAGATCAATTCCTCACACTCCCACAAACACGTGGAGGCAAGCGCTACATGCTTACAATGGTGCAAACAGCCACTGGATGGCTAGAGATGTACCCTGTGCCTCTGCCCAGAACACCATCTTGGGCCTTGAAAAACAAGTCCTGTGGTGACATGGAACCCCAGAAAGAATTGAGTTGGACAATGGGACTCATTTCAAGAATAGCATCATAGACACCTGGGCCAGAGAGCATGGTATTGAGTGGGTGTATCATATTCCCTATCAAGCACCAGCCTCTGGGAAAACTGAATGGTGCAATGGACTGTTAAAAACCACATTGAAGGCAACGGGTGATGGGACCTTCAAACATTTGGATCTATATTTAGCAAAGGTCACTTAGTCAACACTAGAGGCTCTACCAATCAAGCTGGCCCTGCCCAATCAGAACCCCTGTGTACCATAGATGAAGTCCCTGTGGTGCATATGAGAAATATGAAAGATAGTTTGGATTACTACTGCCTCAAGAAAGAACAAGCCCATCCATGGGATTGTTTTTGCTCAAGGACCTGGGTGCACTTGCTGAGTAATGCAGAGGGACAGGGGAACACCACGTGTACCTCAAAGGGACCTGATTTTGGGTGAAAACCATCTCTCATATTGAATTGCATGTATAATACTGGTGGCTGAATGATACTGCCATTTATACCATACATCCCATGGACTAAATGAACTCAACAAAACATCTTGGGGGAATGGTTGGTGATCACTGAAATAATACCATTGTTTGTATAATTATATGTGCATATATATAGAGAGAGATGTATGTATATAGTTGAAAGGTGTAAATCTGGGCATAATGTGGATAGTATAGAGTAAGGGGTGGATAATGTTTCAGTTACAAAGCCAGTGGGTGGAGCTTTAGTGATGAATATTGATACTGTCACATCATCATGGGGGGCATGGGCTTGACAGGGAAAAAAGCCATGGACTGGAAGGGCAAGAGCGCATGCTCTTCCCCTGCCGCTGGAGGGAGGGGCAGCTGTTTTTCTGAAGACTAGCCATGGGTGATGGTCACTGCCAGGGCTGCCATGGCCTGGACTGGATCAGGAGAGCTTGGTGGCAACAACACCCCCAAGTCCCAGCTGCCGTAAGCCTGGAGTCGCCACTTTGCTGCCACTGCCGCCACCAGAGTCAGTGTTTTCAGCAGCACACCTCCTTTCGGACAAAATAGTTTTCCAGGTTTTGCTTTGCCTCTGTTGTTTTCTGGCTGGGGGAGGGCATTAGATCTCAGAAACTTGTTTGCCATATTGTTTTTCTTTGTTCTACCGAACCGCACGGTCCAGTGTGAAAACCCCTCTCCCCCTTTGCTGGCTTAAACTGTTTTCATTTGTATCATTGTAGTGACTGCTATTTTCTTTAGTAATTTGTTATTTTTTTTACTTATATCCCTTCCTATTGTCCCTTCGTTATTGGAGGGGGGTGGGGAGAGCTTAACACAAAAGGGGAGTGACCTGTTTGGAGTCTCAGTCCTCTGGTAACTGACCAAAGCCATCACAACTACCAAATATATAACACATTTTTATGTTACAACTCTTGCTTTTTTTAGAATTACTTATTCCCTGAGCTGTTCTCCTTAAAAAACAGAAGAGTCTAATAAATGCAAAAGTATAATGAATATGGTTGCTCGTGACAGTGGTAAATGCTGAAGAAAATGATTCAGAACATCTTTTTATCCACCAGATTGCTAAACTAAATAGATTTCTCATGTGCACTACATTAACATGAATGTTTTGAGTGTTAAACTTCAAAACAAGATTGAACAATACAGACCAATAAATCTCCATGCTTTGAAAAAGATGATAGGAGAGAAAACAAGCCTTAGACAAAAACAACAACAAAAAATAAATTAAGATATAAGTTACTGAAATTTATCCAGAAAAGGCTAGTGCTCAGAATATGATTTGTATTTTAGCCCAGAGAGGTAACATATAGAAGTCCTACAAGAAAGATGGAGAGAGACATGTAGTGACAGAACAAGGGGAAATGGCTTCAAACTGAAAGACGGCAGGTTTAACTTAGATATTAGGAAGAAATTCTTTACTGTGAGGGTGGTGAGGCACTGGAACAAGTTGCCTAGAGAAGCTGCCTCAACCATGTTAGTGTTTAAGGCCAGGTTGGATGGAGCTCTGAGCAACCTGGTCTAATGATTCTATGATTGTATGATTCTATAAGTCTTCTGTATTATCTGATACCCTAGTAGCCTTTTGGTCATCATCATTACCATCTCTTATTTGCCATATTCTATCACTTGTCTCAGTCATGTAACAAATAATTCTTCTCCAGAGGCCAGAAGGCTTGCTGGAAAAAAACAAACCACAAAGCAGTTCAGTAACTCTCGGGGAGAAATCTGGGCAATATTTGAGGAGCACTTTACTTGTGGACAGTTAAAATTACTACTGAAAAAAAGAAACATTGAGGAATAGAGAGTGGTGCAAGATATAAAATGTTTTAATTAAAAAAAGAACCAACTTGAATGTTTTGCAATCTCACTGCAGTATCCTCTTCCTCAGCTGGGTCAACCTACTTGAATGTCTAAAGTCCTGCAAGGAAGGAGATAGTCAGAACGCACAGGAGAAACCAAAACTCACATCTTGCAGCCAGACATACAGTAGCAACTGACCCAGTTCATTTTGTGGTACTGACTTAAACAGGGACTCGGTTCTCCTTGGCCCACTTTTTCATGATGCGGACAATATATTCTACTTGAGAGTTACCATCGCTCTTCAGAAGATGCAGTACTTCCCTCAGAGTCTCTCTACAAAGTGGAAACAAAGATTTAAATGAGGCTAAGACTCAACTGATACAATAAATGACAATAAACAATCAAACTATTTTGCAAAACATGGACCTCCTAGATAGAGAGGTCCGTTCATCTGCAGGGCAGAAAAAGGTTAAAATGCACAGTTGATGAGATCCCAGGGACAAAAAACAACCAACCAACCAAAAAAGTCTTCTATACAATTGTATAGAAATTAAAAGTAAAAAAACTCCAGCAAAATCTAATCAGTTTAGAGCTTAGTGTGTGCATGTGTGTGTGTATTTATATATAAATCTTTACTCTTGCAAAATAGAACAAAGCAACCTTTTTTTTTTTAATCTTTAATGTTATTTGCTAGTCTTTAATATGGCAACATCTAGCTTAATACTGTCAAAGCACCTTACACATAAACACAAATAACAGGGAAATGAACATTACCAATAGGATAAACCAGTATTCTGCTGCAGTTAGCCAGCTAGTTTGCAGTAAGAACTTGTTTGCATATTTTGAAAAACAGAGAAGCTATATGTATTTTACTGCATCTGCTGCAGTGATTGCTAAAAGGACACTTGTAAGGTGCTATAGTTAGTGAGATTATTCCAGCAGAAAAGTAAATGGAAGGAAGGTGTAGAAGCCAAGATACACACCTGTCAGTCACATAGGAAACAGCAGCTTTGGCCTGATGGACGATGGCCATCTGGCATCAGCGCAGAATATTCACAAGGGAACAGTTCTTAAATACAGCCTCACTACTCTCTCTCATTCTCCCATCCAGTGAAATGGGCCAAAACCAAAATTATCAGTAACATGGATGATCTCCTTTAATCTTTCATCAAGTATGTATGTTTGTCTCACACGGACAGTGTCTTCAGAAAGCAAATTTTAGTGAAAACAGTCTCATCTACTCATTGTTTGGAGAAATTGTGTCCTTCTTACAGTGTTGAATAAACATTTCCTTAGTTCTATTCTATGAACCCTAAAATGTCATGTGACAATTTTCATTCTTATGCCATCGATATGAAGCAAAGTTGTTTTCCCCCAGCTCATGAACATACTACTACATTTATAGCCTAACTTTTCTTGTAGTATGATGACTAATGTATTTTGGTGTCTTACAGTTCATAGCATTTGCTGAAAAGTTATTCTTCACCATATACTGTTGTGGAAGATACACTTCAAATTGAAAACTGCCTATGGAACCACTGGCCAGAGTGTCTATTCTCTGAAAGGTCAATAATGAATTGGAAAAAGATATGGAGTCCTAAAGCTAAGATTATGATTCTATCTTACAGCTAACTGAAAACAGGAAAAGAGCAAAATAAATTCAAATACAACACAGAATACTCACTTTGCTTCTCGGCCAGCTAAGATCATTTGAAATACACCCACACAAGCACCTCTCTTGCCTTCCCAGTATTCAGGATTATTGTCCAGTCTCTCCAGAACATCAAACGCTTTGGCTGAATAGTAAAACTGACCCATCTGCACAGAAAGTGAACATTATTCCTGACTGTATGATCATCTTTCAGAAGGAGATTAAAAACATTGAGCTCAGTTTTCTGAAATGAGAAGTAAGTCATAGAAGCAACGTGCATTTTCCTGTTTTTCTGCAGGCATCAAGTGACACAGAACAGGGACATTTCAGTTTTATAGAGGAGGTATTATAACATCTTTTTTGAGGTGCCCTTATCTAGTGTCGTACCAATTATACCAAAGCCTTTGACCAAATATCAACCTCAAACTAGTCCAAACATTTGAAAATAGAATCATATTTCCTCATGTAGAGATGGTCACATATTTGTATGTCTTGTGGGTTTAACTTAGGAGTTAAAATATTTTTTTCACTGTTACAGTACAGTACAAAAGAAGATTCAGTGACTCCATAATCCAAATTTTTTCTGAGCATAGGAAAATCCAGTGTGTACTCTAACTTTTCTGCTTTAGGTTCTCTACTTGTGTTTGGGAACCAGAAGCAAGTTGCTTGGCAACACTCAGTGCAAAAAGGAGTGACCATATTAACTGTGGATTTTGAAGTCAGCATAGCTCGTGGGCTGCATCTATGACTGTGAATGTTCTCCACTTGGGCAAGCCTGAATAGCAATGTTGTTTGTGAGTAGCATCTTTCTATGAGAGAACACAGAAGGTAGACTGAGCATAACTTCCCATCCTTTGGTAGCTGGAAGCCTCTGCAGAGAAAAAAGGGTAGGCTGAGGGAGTTACATTGGGAAACTTTAGTCAGAGAAACACTGGTACTACAGAATGAGTAATAATTCCCTTTTCTTCACATAAAAGTTGATTTGAATCACTGGTGACTGGAAAGCACTTAAATGGATGGGAATAAAGATAGCAAAAATAAACGGTATCAGATGTGTCAGCTAAAAAGAAAAAATTATTACTGATCTATCCAAATTAGTATCTGATCTAGTTCCACTAAGCAGATATAGGTTTAACGTCCTCCTTCTATCTGACATTAAAGTAGGAAATGCTTCACCTCAAGTCATGTGCTGTTCCCTATATGGACAAGATGGGCAATTGCATAAAAAGCATCAAGAAATTAGCCAAAAGTCCTTTATCCTAGCTTCCTCACTGAACAACTTCTGTCAGCACAGAAATGGGGCATTTGGATACACCTAGTCTAAGATACACCTGTCTTGGATACACCTGTTGACCTTGCTTTATCCATGCTCATTCTGCTTTCTGTTGAGCAAAGCCTAGTGCAACTGCCTTCTTAAGTTACATTTCTGGTGCTGTCTGTGGACCTCTAATATAATGTAATGTTTCAGAAACAACTGAAAAATGCCACATAAACTCAAACAACATGGACCTTGCTATTTAGTGGAAGAGGTACAAGCAGCTGCTAGTGTAGAAAGACATTTAACACCATAGTTACAATTCTTGAAATTAAATTCCTTGACCTTTGGAGCATTTATGGCTATATGTAGACACATAATTAGGCTGAAAAATTTAGTCCTTTAAGTGCAGTTTTTCAGAGCTCTAGATGAATCCAAAATGTGGAGCTGCTTCTCCTCTTTAGTAGGTTTTCAGAAGAATTTAGACAAAGGAATCAACTGATTTAAGTAAGACTTTAAATGGTCTGGAGAGAGTTTTTACATGTCTGTTTTTCAACTTGCTTTCACAAATTGCAGCTGTGGGAAACACCAGAGGCATAGTCACTTGCCTGAGCAACAAGACTTCTAGGGTGAGATGGTGGACTGAGTACTTGAAAGATGTGCAAGAGATAATTCTCTCAGTTTTAGAATAATGCTTTTGAGATCACAAGGAGTATCTCTCATTGCCATTACAAACTTTAAGGAAAACATAATACTGTCCCAGGAAAAAAAAGCAGCATGAGGCTCCTTGCCAAATCTATGCTAGATTTTTTTTTTCATTAGAAGTTTTTTGTCAATTCTACCCATAATGAATCCCTAGGAGGAGAATAAACTGTTATTATTGATAGCTCAAGCATGCAGTAATTTACCAACGTTTTAATCAATGGGTTGTCTATCAAGCAGGCCTGTAGGTTAAAATACTGACTAACCCTTGCCAACTCATCCACATTATTAGACATCCTGCTGTTATAAAAGAAAGTTCACTAGTGATGACAATGATAAAAAGTATCCAAAAAACGACTACTGGGACAATCAGCGAATTAACATGTCATACACCGAGCTCTGAAGAGAAAACTCACTTTGTAGCAATCATTTGCAATGAGTTGCAACAGGTTAAAGGAGTCCCCTGAGGTTTCCATCTTCAGATAGAGCTTCCAGGCCGACTGTGGTTTCTTATTCATAATATCTGCAATAAGAAGAAAAAGCTGAAATTGTGAAAAGAATATGCCACACACAATACTCAATGGCAGGTGGAATAGATGTTCCTGTATTTCTTTGCTTAATGTAAATGCATGCCTCAGCATGAGCATGAAGCTGGGAAGGAAATCTTGTCCTTATCTTCTGCCTTACTAGTGATAAGAGCCAATTCATCAGAGAACGTCAATGTCAAGAGGAATAATTATGGTGTTTACATCTCAATTTATATTTCACAGCAATAAGAACAACTCTCATGATTTCAGGTATGATTAAAGAACAGAATAGAAAGCATTATAGAATTTTTTTTATACAAGACAATGCATTCAAGAACTGTTTGGGCAATACTCTCAGGCACATGGTGTGACTCTTGGAGATGGTCTTGTGCAGGGCTAAGAGCTGGACTCAATGATGCTTGTGGTCCCTTTCAACTAAGTGTATTCTGTGAAAGATCATGTTAAGAGATGTTTACTACATCTGCTGTATGGCATAATGTCCCAAAACCTACATATTTATATTTCAGGTATAACTACTGAAAATTGTTTGATATGGAACATTTTTGTATTGAGGCACCGTAAGGAAAATAAATTAGCCTAGGGAGTCTCAGACTTGAGTCATTAGAAAAGTCCACGTCTTTATTATTTTGTATATGGCACTGTAGCTGTATCTGTACTGAGGTGTACTCTGCAATGTTTTAAAAACTGGTTCAGAAAAAGTAAATGAGATTTGCTATAGAATAATAAACACAGCAAAAGTTTCCAGTGTTCAAGGAAAGAATAGAAGAGGTTTGTGAAATAAAAAACATGCTGGAGATTATAAAGGATATCCCTCGGGCACAGGAGTTTGGACAAGATGTGGGGTAATATGGTAGGAATCAAAATACCACATATGCTTGCCTGATTCTTCTCTTCCCTAGACATCTGACGTTGGCCACCCTTGGAGGCAGACAGACCCTTGGGCCTGACCCAGTATGAATGCTTCTATTTCATGTTTTACTCTGAACGTTTTAGAGCTGTAACTCAGTCTTTTAAGACAGAAAGCCTTCACTCAAGGAATTGAGTAGACAACTGAGAAGAAAGAGGGTCACTGGTCAGGACAAAGCTGCACTGACAGTACTATAAGAGCATTGCACTGAAGCAGTAATTGCTTATAAAAGCCAGATGTACGAAGGTGCAATAACCACCCACACTATAACTAGTGCAATCAGCTTTTCACTTTCATAGTCCAGAATCCACCTACAACATTAAATTCAATTAGGAAAGTGGATTGCCAGGACTGACGCAATAGAGGAGGATCTGTATTCTGCAATGTTGAGAGTAAAGTGACTCACAGCAGCGAGCTAGCCAGCTAAGGTAAATAAAATCACTCTTTATCTTCTCACTCTGGATCAAAAGGAACACCTGCAGGAAGAAGGAAAATGGAAGATTATACATGCATGTACTTTTAAACAAACAGAAGGCAAACCTACCTCGTTTCAACACGCAGCTAAGGCTTAAGCCACACAAACTCTTCGTGGCTTAAGTGCAGTGTAGGGACATCCCTACTCTGTGTGGGGTAGGTGGAAGATTCACACAGTGCCCCGCTTGTCAAGGGACTTGTGCAGTTTCAGAGTGCCAAGCTGAGCAGAGGGTGCGGCCTGCTCTGAACAAGTGCCAGTGGGCGGCCATGCAACACAAACAGCACAAAGGAACACTGGGCCTGTGGGAAAAGCTATTTGGAATGTGTTTGTTTAGAAAGCGATGCAAGCAATTACATTAACATCTTCTTGAAATACCAGAAGTTTCACATATAGATGAGCCTTTCCTCCCCACACGTCAGAGATCATTCCAGATCAGCAACAAGCCATTTCTAACCATTTTGGTTTCAGTAAGGTTCTGAGGCAAAGCATTCATCTTTTGTAACTTACCGTACAAATACAGGTTTATTACATTCTACATCTGAAGGGATGTGTGTGTGGGAAGTTATACATTTTAAAATGTACTCTGGCTTTGCTCACAGATAAAATAAGCTATTTATGTGTCTCTCTAGTATATTTGTAACTATACTGGATACTACTGGAAAAACTCATAATACCTTTATAGGAGCAGATGTATGTACTGGAACAGTGAGTTCCACAAATTACTAACATTTGTATTGCTTAAACATTGCTGAACCCCTAATTTTGGGGGGAGGGAGAAGGAGTAATAGGGAAAAAATTAAAAAAGCGCAGTATTATCACTGTAAGTAGCACTTTATCATAGGTTTTATTTCATTATGTCCAGGGAGGTATGCTTTTCTATAACTTAATAAGTGCTATGTGTGGAGATGTTTTACAAGTTTATGAGACACTGGGGAAGGCTGATCTTTATGCGGAAGTGTCATCACAACCAGAGATCAGACATGAGGCAAGATGAATCAATTTAACTACATAATTCTGTTATTTAAATGCATCAGCTATATAACACAAGTTTCTATAGAACGAGTTCTAAAAAACGTAAGAGAAAAAATGTATATTAACAGCAGCTACACTTTTGTTTTCCTTTGTTGCCTGGCTGCTACTAAAACTTACTTATAGCATTATCCTTTTTATGAAGTCTCAGGAATCAGGATAGCCCACTAGCATAGTTTTGAAAGATTTTCATTAAGCTAGGTGAATTGAAAGCTTGGTGAATTGAAATATCTATCCATTTCCCTGACAGTCTTGGAATATTTTTCTTAGAGACAGATGAAATTTCAGGTCACAGAAATTAAGGGGTAAGGGTGCTGGGTGAGTGGGTCAGGACAGGGGGGAGACAAACTGTAAAACCAGGAGGGTTCTGCTGTTGACAAACCTGAAGAGTTAAAAAGTTAGAGAGACAGGAAAAACAGAACAAAAACATAACTCCCAAACCAACCAAACCTATATGATTCACTTTAGACTATGTGGTAGGGATTTTTTTTTGTGGCTTGTCTTCTTTCTGGTCTTGTGGAAAATGTTGCTTCCATCTTCATAATAACTATTTGCTTTTGCATATTTTAGTTGTAATTAAGTTTCTGCTGCACAGACATAAAAAAGTACTGGGTGTAGAAGTTAATCTCTTCCAGCTGCATGTGGATGCTGCTGAATAAGATAGTGAGCACTTCCTCTTTTCCTCCCACATCTCCCAGAGGAAGATTTTTTTCTTTAAACAAAAGTTTCTAGGGACACCTAGAAGCTTTTAACTATTCAGTGTCTTTTACTCAGTATGCTCTAATCAGTCTGAACAAAGAGTGCCTGGGATCCCAGACAAAGCAGAGGAAATCTGATTAAGAGGCCATTCTTTGATCAATTAGAGGTAGCTGCAAGCACGCTTATGATGCATCACAAGCAGCATGACTCCCCATATACCTCACATTACAAGATTAGCAAGATAATCTTTTCTGAATAGTATTCAGAGAGTTTCAGTTCCTCTAAGAAGGGGAAGAAGATATTCCACATAACCTGCTTATTTTCAACCAACATGAAGATCTGGAGGGAGAAAGGGAATGAAAGAGTGGAGCAGGGGGAAAATGTTTCCATTGCTGTTTTTTAAAGAAAGTAAATACATACCTCTTCAGCCTCTTTAAAATTGCCTGTTGCAGCTTTGGCTTGAGCATAGTTGAAGTTAAAAGTGTCATCATTGTAGAAGTAACTCTGAAAAATAAGACACGTGGATAAAGCTCAAATAAATGAAACAAAAAACTCCTCCTCCCATGATATAATAACATTAAAAATACACCCCTCACCCCCAGTCTGAGTCAGACCATATAAAGACAATGGGAAGGAAAAAGAAAAACCCACATTAGGAACATACGGTATTTATAAACACTGGGCAGAAAAATTATGGACTGGCTTTCCATCCTACATTCATGACTACAAACACAGCTGAAACATTCCACAATATTAACTATACGAGATCTGGAAAATGTTCCAAGTTCAAAATTGCAGTGGCAGCCTTTGTGGGTATAATTTTCACTTGGGGCATGTGAAGACATGCTGTGCTGCCATGGTCTCTTTCACCTCCCAAGCACTTATTTCACCACTAGGGTGGGTAAATAGGCAGTTGATTCCCTGAAGTCTTTAAGGAGATGAACGCTTTTGTTTTTCCAAGACTTGTCAAGGTTCATCAAGAGATCCTGTGGATCTGGTTATGTGACAGATGCTAGTCTGACACACTGGATCGCATGATGGAGGTGGAGCACAGTACTGGGCTACAGCAGGCAGCATACCATGTAGTAGGACTTCCTTTACAAGTCTTGCTTACAGGTACCCTTCTGTCTAGTTGAAGTGCAACAAAAAGTTTTTCTCTCCCATAATACTGGACATGACACATCTGGTTTAGGACACATCAGGTTGATCTAGCTGTATCTTGTTGAAAAGCTACATGGGTCAAAGCAGAAAATGTAGCTCTAGGTACAGGTACCAAACATCTAGCCTGATGTTTGGGTTTGACCTGAAGAGCTAATATTTTATCATGGTCAGATATCCAGAGTGAAGTAGAACTCAGATGTCCAAAAGTCAGCCATGTTCTACGTTCAGCACTGTCCCACACTGCTGCATCAGTAGAAATGGTAGAGATAAGATGGAACACAACATCACAGTTACAAGCATGGATGGGGATTGATGATCCCTGTCCACTAGTTGTGCACTGCTTATGAAAGAGCATGGGAAAAAAGGAGGGTGGTTTATCCACTGTAGTTACTGTAAGAAAAGCCTTCCTGGGTGCTTCACAGCAAAGTGTAGGGAAGAAGAAATGTTTTTCTTATATAATATTTATAAAGGAAACAGAACTTGTGTATGAAGATCAAATTTTTGTTTTGTTTCCTCATTAAAGACTGAGGAGGAGGTAAAAAGCATAGTTGGGACTGTACAAAAGATATGGGAAGCAAGGGGAAAGGCCCTTTCCCAGTGGTGTCTTATTTCATGATGTAGGGACACTGAGGAGCCTCTTCCCTTCCCTGTCATAGGTAGTCATCAAAGGGTGCTGATTCAGTCCACCTGCATACATCAAGCTAGTGCCTTGAAAGGAAAGGTGGGGGAGTGCCACCATTTGCCAAATGTCTAGGTTTCTCCCAAATAGTCTATGTTAGGGTCTACAAGCAGGCAATTGCAGAAAACTGTGTGAGAGCATGAGGATGAACCCATTGGGTGAATCTTAAGCTCAGTTTGTGAAAACATTGCAGTACCCTTAGGGTGAACTAATGTGTTCCACCATATGAGATTACAACACTTTACTGTATTCTTTCTCAATAGTAGTTTGAAGTGAATCAGCATTAAGTCCCAGGTTAAGCAAAGCTAGTGAGCCAGATGCAGTTTTACTGTGTGAATCGTTTCTTCTGTTTAAATAGTCTCCATTGTATTTTTAAATTAAAATGGAAAAGAAACTCTGTCAGCAACCAAACTCAAAAAATCTGTTATTCTGTCCAGGCTGTATAAGTGCTAGAGAACATACCTACTGCAAAACCAAAAACAGTAGAAATGAACAATGCTGATGACAGTGCAACACATTCACAGCAGCCAGATGTTTCAGTTTGTTTGTTTGTTTGTTTGTTTTTGTATTTTTTTCTTTTCTTTTTTTTTTTCTTTTTTTTAAACCACATTATATGTACTGGACTTCACTCTTTCGTGGTCTTTTTAGAGGTCTTCAATCTTTTCATAAAACTAACTGTCCTCTGAGTGATGTCCATTTCAATGAGATGCTCAGATACCCAGCTGAGCAATGAAGAATTCCTGTTGTGGCCACAACTCAGCTGAGCCTGAATCAGGTTGTTTTCTCAGTTGATCTCTGACAGTGTTATAATGTCACCCTTGGGGCAGCTAGCAATGCATTTATAATAAGGTGTCCTCTCAGAATTCTCATGCCTAAAGCGGTTTTAACTGATCATGGATGAACATGGTGTTTCTGGAGAGAACATCACACAAATAATCTTCACAGAGTGCATGCTCCACTTTAAGAGCTGCAGAGATTCTACTGAAGTTTATTCCTGTGAAGGAAACACAAAAGGTAACTGTAAAGCCACCTACACCTTGCCTGTAACATGGTAAAGGAAGAAATGCTTGCATCCCTGTGAGCTGAAAATAAGGGAAATGACTTAAATAAATCTGAGCATGCTCAGTCTCAGCTAAAAAATTATGAGAATGATCAATTACTTCAAAATGACCGTGCAAGAAAAGTTGTAGGAGGGAGTAAACTTTTGTCCCATATATCTTGGAGGTGGTTTGTAATCACATTTAACTTTGACATTTTCAGGTTAGAACAACCTTTTTAAGAACCTTTTAGTGGAAATGGAAAGAGCTGAGCATATCTGTGGGGTGATTCACTGCACTGTAAATGTGAGAAATATACAGGATGAATTTTCTGGAAATTCTATACCCACTGTCTGTAAACTGAGACCAGATGACAAGTTCTAACAAGAAATATGACTTTTAGATGGCTCAAGTTAGGCAAAAAAATTCTTACCCTTAGTTTCCTTTTCTTAATTACACACATACTCCACTTTGGGGTGGTAGTGGTATGTCTCTTCATTCCACTACACTGGAGCCCTGCTAGTGGCTAGAGCCACTGGGATTTACTCAAAGGTCTATTTCCAGACAAAGTTTAAAAACTACACCTTCATCATTTTTTCACTCATCAACTGCTTTTGGCACCATTACAACCATGTTTTTCTTTAGATCTCACCTTCCTTAGAATATTGTCATTCTGCTCATCTTGTGTGTCTCCCAAATAATTTCTTGTTACAACTCTAGTTTCAAATCACTGGAACAAGACTGCAATCATTTAACCCATAATCACACTCCAGCCTCCTCTTTCCTCACATCTAACTGTGTATCTGTAAGTTATACCCATTTTATCCATTGAATACTGGTGATCTGATAATGCTGCATCATATTGACTTCAAACTTCTCTTACTTTGAAAAAAGTAACATTGTCTGCAGGGTACCACTCAGATAACTTCTGCAAAAATAACATTCTTAATGTAATAGTTCCCTATTTTAGCCCTTCAGTGACTGGTTTCCCTGTAGTTATAACCCAGTTCCCTGAGTTATTATTTTCAGAGTCCTTCATGTCCTATGTTCTTTACACACTATTGTTCATTAAAATGTTGTCTCCCAACCATTGACAATAATCTCCATCACTCATTTGATAAGTCTTAAGAAAACATTTGGGTTTTTTCCCTCCATGCTGCCCACCCCATAAATATCCACAAATTTTTTCACTGTCTTCCTTTAATTATCTTCCTCATCTTCTATGATGCCACCGGAAAGCCTGATAATGGTTAAATTGCAAATGTGATGAGACCATCATGCCCACCATGCTGCATGGTGCTATTTTCTAAATTGCTTCTTTACATTTTGATCCATTTGCTATACTGACCACTTATGTCCCACTGTCATTCCAGTGTTTTGTTTTTATTGTTGTTTCTGCATCTTTTTATGTTTCCATTGTGTCTCACATAGTACAGTCTGTAAGTAGTGATTCCATGCATTACAGTACTACCAATACTAAATAATATACTAACCTTGATTGAGTTGAGGTAAATTAGGACATTAGGAAACTGTCTAAGAAGAAAGAAGCAGGAGGACATGCACTGTCTCCCTGGAATGGTATCTAAAATTCAAAAGAGAAATGCAAATTTGTAGAATTAAAAAACACACAGTAATGGAAATCACTGCCAAGATTGCTGGCAACTATGAAAGCAGCTAGTTTCTAAAAATAGTGTAGCTTGCCTTTTCAGGCAAAGGACCATACTAGAAGTTAGAAAAAACTATTAGTTCATCTTGTCATCTTTCTCTACAGCATCCGATAACTATTGCAAGACTTTAATCAACAGCAAACTCTACAGAGACAAATGGTTTAAGTAACAAGCCTTTTCCATGACACAATTTATGTAGCTTAATTTTATCATGAATTATTCTTACACTTCATACAAACCTGAGCTTGTTATTCTAACCTCATTAATCTTCTTTCTTTAAAATTATGCTTTTCAGTTATCCTGTACAAGAAGCTTTACATATTTTAATTTTAGTTCAAGTAAGACAGTAAACTTGATAACACTGAAAATATCATTATAAAAAAAGAATTAATATTGGAACAGGAAGAATACTCAGTGATAGCAGACAATATGAAAATTAATGCCCATGCTTTTGGGATTACCACATTGTTCACAAGTGGTAAAGGCATAAATAAGTTAGACATATCAGTTCAAATGAGAGTCACTAAATTCTGCTGCTATCTACGTCATCATAACTTTGCTGCAACCGTATTATGCTGTCATCCACTCCGACAGTGTAAGCTGTGTTACTGAAAAAATTTCAAAGCTGTTTTAAAGATTCTGAAGTAAGCTTACTAGAACTAATTTTTGTTGGACCCAACTAGAAGAGATGGATGAACCCAAGCCAGCTGGGAAGGCCTAACTGCAAGTGATTTCAAATCACTACTATTTCACTACATGAAATGATCATTAGAGAGCACGTGCAGTTTGGAAAGGTGTTGAGAGATAAGATCCTAAGGCTACCAATATCCCTGAAATAATCTGCTGCTGGATGTTAGTTACCATGAATACATCTGCACTAAAAATAACTTTTCTATATATAGAAGTTTCATGTAACTGAAGACTAATATTTTGACTCCATCCACCACACAAAATAGAGCATTCCACTGGAAAACTCCTTTAAATAAGGTAGGGTAGTAATTATTCCTGGAAAGCACTATATAAGATCTCAAAATACATTTCAAAGGAAAGCGAAACAGTCTCATTTTTTACCTTTTAGCACTAGGAGATACTGAGCTTGGATGTCCTGTCATTTCCATATAGAGACAATCAATCCTTATCTATCCCTGAACCACATCACTCTGTTCTCCAAATTCAGAAAACTATTTGGTTATTTATGAATTGTTCACTTGTGAGCAAAACTGGCCTGTATATTTATATGTTCTTTTTTACATGCATGCATACTTTTCATCACAAATACATGCCTCTACAGGACAATAATAGAAACAGTTTTGCAACAAAAAAAAAAAAGTGAAGAAATACTGAGTAATGACACTGAAGATAACTTGAAAATGCTCATTTTCTCTGACATTCAATTTTTGAAGTTCATAAACTCACAACAATTTATTTTAAACAAAATTTTAAAAATGCAAAACTTGCAAAGAAGACTCAAAACTAAGGATACATTTTTAGTAAAAATGAATCACAGTAACAAAATATTAGAAACACAATTTCCCCATATATGATTCGAGAGTTTCTAAATTTTAGTATTTATTCTTATGTCCACATTTTGGCAGAAAATTTTATTATCCCAGTACACCATTCTCCATATACTTTTAGTGAAAGATTTCGTTGAAAAAAACAAATGTCTGAGTATCTTATACAACTCAGCAATGACTACTACTGGAGACTGAAAAACTAGAGTTTTACAGTTCTAATTCACCGCATGTGACTCATGCAGGAAGAGGAAAAATTTGTCATTTAAAAGAATTACTCAGGGTGACCTAAAAGTACCTCAAAGAAAAGACCACATGAAGTCCAGAAGAAATGTTTCATTCCTCCCACCCAGCGTCAGATATGCCTGACTTGGTCCTAAAGGAGGACCACTGAAAACAAGAGGAGTGCTGCTCTTCATTATGCTTGAAGTGGTTTTGGAGTAGTTTGTAACACTTATGTCAAGCACCAGAAGGACTGCATTTAATGGAAATGTTAATGTTAATTTACTTTCACTGATGTTCCTCTTGTCCCATTTCCTTCTTAACTTATCTTAAAAATCTGATCTGTTTAATTTTCACTCAGTTGAGACCTTGGTAGAAGAGCATGAGAACTAACTATAAAAATCTAGTTATATCCTCCTTCATAATGTCAGTTCCCTTTCATGTCATTAGGACTAAGAATTTCTATTAAGCTTAAAAAAACCCCAGTAACCAAGCTGCTGTTCTGGGTGTTATTTATTGCTGCTAGAGGATGAATATTGACTCCTACACTGTAAGTGCTTCCTGGACTTTTTTTAGTTTTTGTTTTGTGTGACCCTACTCCCATTAAAGTTTATAACATCCATCAAGACAAAATCTGTACATTTATTGGAACAGACTTTCAAGTTAATTCAGTTTGCTCTATGTTCCTTGAACCTTCAAGTCAGAGATCTAATTAAAAAGAGCAAAGGCCTTAATTGATAAGTTCAAATGACTTTACAAATAAATGATACTATACTTCCTGAACTGCATGTTGCTGCTTTTCCCTTAATGCAGTCATGGGATTTCTACAGTTAACAAAAGCAAGTCAGAAAAAATATTTCACATCTTCATTTTAATCCATTATTTTTTGATAATCCATATTATCAGACTGTTGTGACCGTTGTAGTTTAACACCAGCTAGCAACTAAGTACTACTTGTTCTATCCCCTCCCCCTAAAAAAAAAGTAAAACTTTCAGGTTGAGATAAGAACAGTTAATTAACTGAATTGAAATAAAATAAAATAATATTATTATTAATAATAGTAGTAATGAAAATGAGAGAAAAAGAGAGAGAGGAAAAAAGAGAGAGAGAAGGAAGAGCAAAACTCAAGAGAAACAAGTGATATACAATACAATTGCTCACCACCCATTTACCAATGCCCAGCCCACCCATGAGCCACAATTAGCCCCTCCCAGTCGACTCCCCCCCATTTAGGTACTGGGCATGATGTTCTACAGTATGGAATAACCCTTTAGCTCATTCAGAGCAGCTGCCCTGACCATGCTCCTTCCCAACTTTTTGTACAGCTCCTCACTGGCAGAGCAGGGGAAACTGAAAAGCCCTTGACTTAGGGTAAGCACGACTTAGCAACAACTAAAACACTGGTGCGTTATCACCGTTATTTTTGTACTAAATTCAAAACACAGCACTGTACCAGCCTCTAAGAAGAAAATTAACTCTATCCCAGGTAAAACCAGGACATAGGCCCAGTTTCAAGCAAAGGATTTCCTCACTCTAGCAAGCCCAAACCTACTTCTGTATTATAAATCTGCAAAGCAGTTAACTTGATATCTTCACAGACAATCGAGTGATACCAGCTCCTTGCAAGGACTGGCTGAGTGGGAAGTGCTGAAGCAAGACTTACATGCCTGAATAGCATGGCTGGCTGCTTTGGAAAAGCCCAAGTATACAAACAGCAAGAATTCTGTTCTCCATTCTAAATCCAGCAAAACGAAGGGAGCAGATCAAAAATGATCACAAGTATACAATACAGGGCTAAGAACATAAGAATTATCATATTGGATCCAAAGTTTGTCTAGTTCAGAAGCTTGCTGAGTAAGAATATATAGCTATAGAAAGAATATGTTCTGATTTCACATATAATACATACTGTGGCATGTAATGCTACTTCCTCTGAAGTTTCTCCTAGCTTCCAACAATGTGCACGGAGGACTTTGTCACTGAAAAATTTGTGTTAAACAGCTAATGGACTTTTAATCTACCAATTTTTTTTAACCTTCTGATTCTCACAAGTTTCTCCATCAAATAAGTTGTGTTATGTGAAAAAGTAATTCATGCTGTTTGTTTTATTTGTCTTATGTGATAGTTTATGTCAATGCTCCTTGGTTTTTGTATTGTACAGTAATAATTCTTCTCTGTTCCTCTTTTTCTTGTCATTTATGATGCACATAATCAAACTGAGTCATCATTTTTCAGCCCACGTATCCTCCTTTATTTAATCTCTCCTTATTCAAGAAGCTATTCCCTTTCTCTGATCACCCTTGCTGTCTTTATTGTATCCTTTCTTGTTCTACAATTTTTTAAGAAATGTAAGAACCAGAACTGCAAACAGTATTCAAGGAAAAGAATCACATATGTATACAATGATGCAGTAATTATTTTTGGTTTGTTCTCTCTTTTCTCATCAATTCCTAAGATTCTCTTCAACTTTTCTGATAATTTTGCTAAATTTAATTTGCATATTATTACCCAGCCTTATACAGTCTCTCATATCTTTCATTATTGTGGAAGCTTTTACTTTTTTTATTACTATGGCTAATTTTGTACCATTGGCAAACCTAGTCATGTCATTATTTGTATCCTATAGCTCATTAATTATGAATACGAGCCCTTTCTTTAGAGAAACAAAGGGCTCTTTCAAGTGTTCAAATCAGGTGTATTTTATCCTTTTCACTGCTATTTCACTCTAATTTTTTGTCAGAAATGAGAAAGGTTATTATGTAGGTTCTTGCAATTAGTACTGTGGAAATTTTCTTAGGTATTTGCTAACACATGTATGTAGAATTTGATTATACTCAGATGACTGTAGCAGAATTGGAGTTTCATCATAAAATTTCAAATCTGGTTCTATGTAATCTCTATATTGGTCCAGAGTTACCTGTTCACTTGTGCCTTCTCTAAGAAAGACGGAAACAGCATTTAAAAGTTCATGCTGTTTATCATGCCATGTCATTGCATTTATTAGGTCAATATGGGCAGAACAGAAGTCTCCAACTATTATTTAATTATCTTTCTATATAAAATCTCTAAACCTCTTTAATACGCCAGTCACTGTTCCCATCCAGGCTGGCTGGTGAATAATTTGGCCTCAGTATGGTGAGTTGCCTATCTAAACATATTTTAAAAGAGTGTATTATTTCACTCACTGTTAATTATTTTTCCCCCCCTCAACCATAGAAAGGTTGAAGTCTCAGCCTTTCCACCCTATTTTGCATACGGGTTTAAAATTATTTCACAGTGAAATTCAGACCTTTGTCTTCCTAACAATTTCAATTTTGCTTTTGGGCTATATCTTCACTACAAATCCTTTCAGGATACGTTTTCTCAGACTATCTCCATATTATTTTTATCCATGTATGCTATGGTCATTCATCACATGTCCATGACCACAACAGGCATTAAGAATCTATCACCACTGTATCAGTCACCTTGTGATTTTACTGGTGTCACAAACCCAGGCAGCTACATTCCCTCTAACCAAGTTCTCCACTACTGTAGTTCATACTGTTCCTGTTATCTGGGATCCCAACTCCAAAGGGATAGCCTCAATGCAAAAGGAATGAGTTAGGGAAATCTCATCTATGGAACCACTTCCAGCCTTCCAACATGAAGCTCTCTGCTGCATGTGGAACAGAATAGAATGACTCAACAGTATTTCTGAAAGTTTCATCAGTGCTGCCGCTCTCTTGAGCTCCTTCTCTTTAGTCACCATGGACACAAGAGACAGCATTCTGTCTCTGAAGACCATGACCTGTCTGCACCAGAAACATGCACAAGTTACCCACCTAAAGAAACAGCACTAAGTGACAATGCCTAAAAAGGAAACTGGGAAGCCCTGTTTCATCTGAATTTCTGTGTTATACCTACCAGCTTTTTTTATTTGGGATTTTTGACTTTGGCAAAGGGAAGGGAAGATAAGGTCTTTGTTTGGTCTATTATTGAAAAAATAAAAGTAAATACTGAAAATATGCTGATTTTTTATTGGTTTTATCAGGGTTTTTTTTCATTCAAGCAAGGAGTTAGTCCCAGAGCCCCCGTTTTTGTCTGTAGCCAAATTCCTCCTTACGTTTTTAGCACCCTCAGTTTCAGTGCACACTCCATGCTAGGACTCTATGTACTTGATAGGCTTTCATTAGTGGTCCTACATTTGTACCTAGATTTGTGAAGTTTCTGTACCTGTGAAGTTTCAGCCACACACTTCATCTAATTAATTAGGCTGTTGTCTTCTGTTTCTATAATGGAGATTATTAGTCAAAGATAAGCCACAGTCTCTCAGTAAAGACTAACAGTTTGCAATACAGCCTCTTTTCCAGCAAAAGTCATACACTAAGGTTTGGAATCAAGAGCCTTCTAATATAAACTTCCAAATTTGTTTTATGTTTCCTGATACTCATCCTATAACAACAAAATCCCTAGCAATAGTCCTGCCAGCAGTCAGGAGTTGGACACAGACAGGATAGTATGATAGTATGGATATTTTAAGATGGATTACATAATGGAGAAAGAATATTTCAAACATACCACATTCGCTGGCTGATTCCCCGACCAACTGGAAGAACTGCTGAGCAATTTTCAGATGATCTCTCTGGAAGAGGAAAAAAATAAACCCAACATGAGTTCCAGAGTTGATGCTACAATACATAATGAAAATATGCTCTGAGGAACAGATGGGGAGCAACTAACAGACAAACCAGGGTTGAAGGAAAAACAGAAAAGGTAAATGTGCCACTGTATGTGCCTAGATACACAAGAATACTGTAGAAAGCAAAGTTTTTTTGGAAACAGGATAGAGAAGCCAAACTCAGCTTGATTTACTGTCAAGACAGCAATGGAAATTTGCATTTCACTCATTCTGGACTGACTACTGTGTGGAAGAAGGTTGAGAGACTCAGAGATCCTGCAATCTAAATGAGAAATGACTGTCTCTTTCTCTCCATTCTAGTCCCTAAAGATGTGTTCACATTCTGTTGTTGGAGAAGCTGAAGAACTTCATGGGCTTCGCTTACTGAGCCAACTTCTTGTCCAAGTGCTGCATTTACAACTCCTTTGAGGATGTACTCCTGAAAAAAAATTGTAAAAAGGATCAGAGAGGATAAGGTGAAGATTTTATAAGACACATAAAAGCCTATGTGTACATTATTTTCTTCATAAATTCAACTCTATCCCAGCTCAGTTTAGTAGGTAGCTGGTTACCGTGATAACGCTTAATCACAGTAGTACTACTTTAGCCCCCCAAAATGCATTCTACTTGCTAGGTAGTCACTTCTACCAAATATGTGGGATGCAAAGGAGTACTATGTTTTCTGATAAGTCTTATGGTCAAAGACAATGCACCAGAAGGAACACGATAACATCTTTTCATGCCCTCTTCACCATCATATGACCAATAAGTACAATATTGTTATAATAAAGCACAGATCCCATTTCAAATATGCACATTGGTTAACCATAACCACTAACATCCCTGCTGAGCAAGATTTTCCAGCATGCAACAGTCTCTTTTGTCTTATCCAAATCTTAAAATTAAAGAGTTATAGCTATAAATCTGTTCTGTAGGTATTCCTGATAAACCTGAACAGCCTTGTCACAGAGGTAAACACAGAAAAAGAGAAAGACACATCTACACACACCAACAATGGATTGCAAGCAAACAATCAGAGTACTAGCCAGGATGCTAAGTAATCATTTTAGCACACCAACTTTCTTACAGGTGCCAAATTATTATCCTACAGGCATCGTGATGAAGTATTTGCAAAGTACTCAAGGAGGTTATACAAGTAGTTTGGCAAGTCTTAGCAGGGAGTTCCTTACAAGTGGAAGCGAAAAATGGAAAAAGAAGCACAAAGATTCTCACTTAAAAATGTCATAAAGAATTATTAGACATGTATATGGGGAAAACAGAGGCTAAAGGACCACTGGCTGCAGAAAACTGTTCAAGTAAGTCTTGCCATACTGAAGAATGCAAGAAATGTAAAGCAACATCAGAAGACCCTCCTCAGCACAGAATCACCAGATCTGTGTTCTTGAGGTTTTCCTTTTCCCTCCCTCCATATAATTCCTCACACAGACTCATGAAAGGTTCCTTTCATGCCCAGCTATGTGACCTTTGGAAAATAAACTGCAAAGAGGAATAAATCAGAGACTAAAGCTGCTGGAACAACCACAAAAGAAAATTACAGTAGCAGCCAAGGGACGCTGCAGTTTTCACTCATGGCAGTCAAAGTGTGATGAGATTTGAGAATACCATTTATTTAAACTGTTTAATCTAATCTAGCTCATTTTTATTGAAATGGCTTCAGGACAAACTGTACGAGCACCTGAGCTAGCAGATCTGAGGGATGGTAATCATCACCAGGGCAGAAGTGACAAGTAGCTGTAGTTGGAAGAGAGCTTTTATCTATGCACTAATGGTCAGCTCCCCAAAATGCTGAACACAACAGAGCTATATTCTTAGCTGACCCCCCAGGCAGTACAGTAGTAAACAGGCTAAGTACTCATATATGCACATATATAATACTTTATGCATGCATATTGAATCTATTGTTCATGAAGGGATGGAAAACACAAAAGTTTTAGGAGTGGGAATGGGGCAAGCTGTCCTCAGGATACCAGTTTTGTATGTGGCAGATTTCATATCAATTTATAACCTCTATCTATGTGCCATGACATCATTTTCCAATTACCTGTGGAGCTGTAGGTTCCAGGTCCTTAATCAGGTTATAAGCCTCCTGCACATCATCTGAAATGCCAGACATTAGAATGCATGACAACCCATAGCACACTGTATTAGAACAAGTCACTTATCCTCTACAACATTCCCCAATAGTCATAGACTAAGAAATAAACCATTTAGACAGGAGGAGAAAGGTAACTATAAATCATTGTGAATTTCTATCACAATGGTGATGGTTTTCTAGAACTTAAATAACAAACATGGAGTGAGTAATAGCTTCTTTGTTATTACAATTTTCCTAGTAAAGAGGATTTGGACCCCTTGTTCATAACCTAGTGGCTGCCTTCTCATCAGCACAAGGTCCTGTATTTTCTTTTCTCAGATTGATTTACCCCTCAAGGAGGATAGGGTAACATGATGCTGTAGGGAAACTTCATCTGTTCCTTATCAATATTTCAATATCTGTCCAGCAGCTCTTACCTGATCCTAATTCTAACAAGGAAAGCACTACTAGTATAGAAGTTTAAATGAGAAGTTTGAAATCAATAAGCAACTTCCTTCCCACACAAGCATTATATAAACTGAAAACATCCTAAACCTTACCTAAATAAAAGATGTTGGCACTATGGTTGGCTTTGTAAAACAATCTAGTGAAGACAGTCTTTTACCAGCAAAATTTTTTTAATACAGCATTATACCAGCTGCCCACAAAAACAAACCTTATCAAACAAAACCTTTTTTGCTAGTACATACCATCCATTCAACCACTTAAGGCAATATACATTGGAGCTGCCAGTCTCCCACCCAACACCTCTACTTTCTTACCCATTCCCTTGAGCAGTCACATAGTAAGGCAGCACAAGGTACTTGCCAAAAGTCATTACCTTTTCTTTTTTCTTTTTTTTTTTTTAATAGAAATTGTTGGTTTAGAGGATTTTTTGACATTTTTGGCTAGCTCAGACCACCACCACCACCACCAAAAAAGAAAAATGACAGCAGCCCTTATTTCCATCAGTGGAGACCATCAACACAGAGCTATGCTCTTCAGGCTCCAAAAGAAGCCTATAGCAAATCTCATGGGAGCAGATTATAACCAGATCCCAAGAGGCCCCAAATCTTGCTGAAAGTCACTATCCTGAAGAACTGATAAAAATGGGATGCATGTTTATGCTTCAGACATTCCAGTTCTGAGTATGTATTAACACCAACCTACCTTTATCAGAGACATTTAAGTTTTAGAGAGACAGCTGTAGTCATTAGAAGTAATGATTTCTCACATTCCTAACTGATGCTGCTACCCTACCAAGAGTTAAAAATGTAAATTTAGCCAAACCAGGAAAGATATTTTAATCCTAATTCCCCTTGACCTTCTTTGTCAGTATGCAAGTCATTTGTACACCAAAGTGAAGAGCAGAACCTAACTAATTAAAATTACTGCAAGGTTAATGGCAAATGAGTAAACAAGACTGATTTTTAAGTGATGCACGAGATGTACTTTGTCTCTGTGTAAGTAGAACTTAATTTGACACGTGTGTATTATTATTAATATTATTGGGCAAGGTAATTAGTAGTAATACCAATAATGCCTATAGTGAAATTGGCAACAATACTGGACAGAAAGGTGGCTGGGAACAGCAGGCATAGATTTACCAATGCCAAAGTGTACTGACTAACCCAATGTATGACTGGTTGTATGGATAAGGGGATAGTAGTGGATGCTTGTATACCTTGGCTTTAGCAAGGTCTTGGACATGGTCTCTCATACAGACTTGAAAGATAGGACTGGCTAAGTAAGACTATAAAGGGATGGAAAACTGGCTGGACTATCAAAAGACAGTCATCAGTTGTACAAATTCTATCAGGTGGCTCATTACTAATCAAATTCCCCAGGGACTGATACTGTTGAATGTCTTATTAATATTTATATTAATGATCCAGATAGAGTACTCTCAGCAAGTTTGCAAATGATAAAAGATTGTGAAGAAAGTTCCCAGCTATTGAGAAGCAGCTCAGCAGGCTGAGTAAATGGGCTGAAAGAAAGAAATCTCATAAAGTTCAGCAGAGGCAAAATGCAAGTCCTGCATCTTGCTTGGTTTGAAACATGCCTGAACAAGTCAGGTGGGGAGCTGACTGGCTAAAAGGCAACCTGGCAAACAGTGCAGTCTTGCAGCAAAGGAGGCCAACTGTACACTGGATCATATTAGCATGAATGTAGTCATCATGGCAAGGGAAGGAATGCTTCTCTATTTGACCCTTGTGAGATTGCACCTGGAGTAGGGTGTCCAGTTTTGGGATCCCTCAATTAAGACAGACGATGAAATACCAGAGTGAGCCCACCCAAGGACTCCCAAGGCAAGAAGGGGGCTGAGGAGAGACAGAGAGAACTGCATTTCCTTAGCTTTCAGAAGAGAAGGCTCAAGGGAGATCTTATCGCTGTCTACAACTTACTTAGCTGGGACTAAGCAACATGACCTAATTGGAGTCACACAGCCAGTCAACCCATTGTTGAATAAAAGAACACAATGGGAGAATAGTAATGGCTTTGAAAAATTCAGATATAATTCAAAGAAGCTGGTAAATGAAGGAGAGATACTAGTACAAAATCCTTTCCAACTGATTCTGGCTACATACCTGCATCCTTTAAGAGTTGTAAAGTAGATTTTTAATGGAATGTCTTGTTCACAAACTGTAGCCTTGTTCACAGTCACTTAGGTTCATATCCTGTTTGTGCTATATTTACAGAAACGGTTGCCCTTGCCTTCAGAGGACATATGCCTACCATTCTCACACATTCAGGCAGAAGAGAGGTCATCTCACTAGAAACAGTTAAACACCACCGTCCCCAAAGCCATCTCCTTCAACCCAAGAACCTGCAATATTCTGCCAAAGTAGGTTTATTTGACTGCACACAACCAAAGCCTTTCTCTGCAAGCCATGGAAACTCTTACTTCACTATTTTCTGGAGGAACAGCAAATGAAATACATTACATTTTCCTGCAGAGAAAAAAAGCATTTCATTGAATAGTCAGTTGAGATAAGATGAATGAATGTCATCCCTGAAGGTATGAAAAAGCCAGAGGAAGGTGTATTTACCTTGCCGGAGATAGTAAATCACAAGATTCAGTCTTGCCTCAGGAATAACATCAACCAAAGGAGGCAGGACCTGCAAAGCCCCTTCTCCTCCTCGGAAAACCACCTGCAGAGAAAAACAGCAGATTGATAACCATGTATCAAAATCTTTTCTATGATATCTTAATTCAAGGAAATTAATCCTTAAATTCCTATATTAAGAGTAGGAAAAGGTCAATGGCTCTAGGATTAGCATAATCCCTGCTTTAATATAGCTATACAATTACTAAGTGAGACAATCTTTATTCTGAAGAATATAAAGTGTTTAATCCATCAGTAAAGATTAATTTATTTCAACTTTTAGCAGCTTAAAACAGTGATACATTATATATCACAGATTTAAAAGAATAATATTGTCTGAAACAAGAGTGAAGGGAACACATACAAAATTACTATTTGCTTATGATGTTTTCATATGAAAAATATGAGACTAACAACTCTACATTTATTTAGAAAGATGCTAAAATGGTCAGGAGCAGTTGATTATACTTCAGTTTCATATGATGGTTCTTCCAACAAAATCTAACATAGTTATTCAATAAACCACTGGCGAAAAGACCAGCATACAAAATAAACAATGTTAACTCACAAAAGTCCAGTTTGAAAACAGTTTTAACTTTTGGGGAAAGAAGCGTTAGCTTGTTATGACTGCTCTTGAAAAACGACAAAGCAAGCAACTGCCCATCATTAAATAAGAGCAATCTGCTGTTATCAGCTGTACAGTAAAGTAATAATACCACTGAAGGAAAAATTAACTAGTGATTAGTGACTCTTTTTCTGCAGACCACACAAGTATTTTGGCTTTTATCAGCAGCTTTTTTCCTAGAACTCTTTGTTTAGTACTTTTCGGATGAAGGCCATTTTCACTAGTTATCTTAATTCCACTCACGTTGTTGTGGTACTAAATAAAGAGTTCAGGGTCATACATTCTGACTTGTTTCTACGGTGTCCTTATTGAATGGGCTCCACAAAATATCTTGCAAAGGTATTCTTACACAACATATATTATTTTAATATGCCTTCGGGTCTACAAACAACAACATTATTATTTTTCTTGACACAGTCTCACTGTCAGGGAAAAATTCCAGGGGAAAAAATAAATACACTTGATGGCACATTCATTATACAGGTAGGATTCCTGGAATGGGACTTACATGGCAGCAAAAATTCAGTTAGGTCTGCAATTACCAAAATATTCCATTTTATGAATCATCATGAAAAGCTCTACAAATGAGTGCTGTTTATATTAAGTCCCAGAAATGCATTACTTACCAGATTGTGTTTAATGAGCTCCTTGCCAAACTCAAAAGATGATGAGGCACTGTCAGTCAAGTTCTTGAGCTCTGCCTGGAATTACATACATTCTAAAATTTTATCACAAAACCAAAAAAGCACAGAAGCCTAAGTGAAGCTTCAAATGAGCTCCAAAGCTGACAGAAATACATCTCCATCAGTGGTAGGCCACTGGAAGATTTGGCTTTCTCAATTCTATGTGATAATTTTAGAAACTGGATAATACGTATAAACACAAGATCAAAAGTGAATTGGGAAAATGGTAAGACCACTGTGCACACATGTGGACAGATGGGTTAATACCAGGGAAACTGAAAGTGTGACATTCCTAAAAGAAGGACACAATGACAAGACAAAGGCCATTATCAACATTACTGATTAAGACAGATAACGAGGAAAAGAAACATGTATGGATTTTTAAACGAAAATAAAGGTGAACTGAGGGACTGTCCAACAGATACCTCAGCAGCCTTCCCATTGTAAAGTCGGAAATGGTTACAAGCCTTAAGGTTAAGAGCAATGGTGCTGTCAGGAACTTGCTGAAGATAAACAGCTAGCACTTCCTGTGATACATCATAGTAATCCAGCTTGTAATAGCATAGGGCCACATATACATTCAGAGCCAGGTATTCCCTGTAGGAAAGAGCATTAAAGAGAACATTTAAATCCCACCAGATAGTTTAACGTTTCCCATTACAGAGCATTAAAATCAGTAATAAAGCTCTCACATGTCTATACATATTTTACAAGCACATCAAAACTGGGGTTTCTGAGAAATGCTTAGAGCTTCTCTAGTTTGTTGGCTAAGACTGCACAGATCCAGATTCACATTATTTATTTTTTCCACAGAAGCTACTGCAGCTTTTAAGTACTACCTACAAAACTTTTCATTTGCAAATCTAGGAAACGGTGGCAACTTCACACCAAGGAAACACACAGAACATGAGCATTGTACCCGACCTGGCAGAACAGGATTTTCTAAGCAATATATGCAAAGACATTTAATATGTGCATAAAAGTTCGCACCAAGTACAATTATTTAAAAAAATCCTTGTCATTACAAGCTGTCAAGCCAGAAGAACTAGATACAGAAATAAGACAGGCATTTGTGGAAAGTGTAAGTAAAAGGATAATTGTTATGAAGGTTACTCATTTAGCTTTGAGTGATTGCTTCTGCAGGAATTGGAAGTTAAAATCTCTTCCCCAAGCATTACATGACATACTTATATACATTACGATGGATTTCTCTGAAATGTTCAAGAGGAGATACCACCAAAAGAGAGCTGTATTCTGGGACAGCAGTTTCTATTTTATTAAACAATACTTCCAGCCATTTAAGAATTCAATTTGTTTCTTCCTAAATTGTGAACTAAAAATTTGCAGAACATGATAGGAAAAACCATCAATAAGTGTCACAAGGGATAAATAGAAAAGGAAAGAATTTCAGACTTGAAGGAATGCAAGGAACTTTACATAGACCCAACAACCGAACCATTCTTAGAAAGGCTAAGAGGTGAAGAAGTCAATAATTCAAGCAAGGATCACCAGACTGGCCATCAGAGGGGAAAAAGGAAAAAGATAAATCAGTACATAACCATATATCATCTCAGAAGAAATAAGTAACAAAACCAAAAAAGATATCAGAATGAATTACACAACAGTAATTTCTTTTTAAAGCAGATTTCTTTTTAAACATTCATTTTTTAAAAATACTTTGCAATGAACAAAATTGAGGGGCTGCAACTGATGCACATTTTGCGACACGAAAAGGACATAGCAGTTGTGGAAAATGCCCATGCTTGGTTTCAGAAACCATGCTTGGTTTCAGAAACCAAGCAACTATATGGAATTTAAATACCAACAATAGCACAGACACTGCAATAAGGCTTAGAGATGCCCACCGATTCTCAAGTAGAATGCGTTTGTAGATATCAATTGCCTCTTGGTAGTGGGACCGCATGTAGTGGATAGATGCCAAGCTAAGCTGATCTTCTGTAATATCTTGCAGATTCTGGTGAGAGCTCATCAGTTTCTTTTCATCACTGAACTAAAAAGAGTGTGACACATCCTCAGATGAGTTCAGCAAGAAAACTATTTTAATTAGCTAGATTAGTTTTGCTGGTAAACAGTAGGTGATTAATATCAAACATGTGGAAAAACTCTGTTACTTTAAAGTTTATTTGACCAGTGAAGAAAGGCAAACATTAAAGAAGGAGATCAGTTCAAACTGGACAAATGTTAGGCTAAAACCAAGCACACATTTTCCTTGAAGGTGTGATTTAGATATAATTAGATGTCACGTGCTTTGATGGATAAGAGGGAAAGAGCTGCATTAATTATGTCACAAACAGAATTTCGCAACACAAAATTTGACTGTTATTCAAGCCAGAAAAAATTCTGCTGTTTGTAGATCCAAATCTAATTTCTCACGGATAGCAGAAAAATGCAAGCCTTGCCAACACACAAGCTCTAATTTTCACAAGACATCTTTACAGCACTAACAAATTCTCTTTCACTGGCCCCTTAAAATTTCAGTTTAACTAAATGATTTATTTTTAAAAGCATTGCTGAATAGCACATAATACACACACATAAGATAAAAACAAGGAACAGAGTTAAACATACACATTATATTTGTATTACAATAGTAAAGTTGAGGTTATTTACCTTAGCAGTCTACTCAAGTCACTTATTCCAGCGCTTCCCTTTGCTGGTTTTGCTGTTTTAATAATAATTATGAATTTCTCTTACACACAAATTCTAATCTTATGTATTTGTTTTCCTACCTATCAGCTCAGTTTTCTTCAGATTGTTTTCCTCCCTCTTTGAGCCAGTCACAAAATGATACTCCAAATAAAAGGCAAGATGAGTTGCTCAACAGAACTAAAGGCAATGGGCTTCATAGTTTCATAAAACACTTTATTTCCAATGACTAACTAGATGAAAAGAAGTTGATTAATTCCTAGCTCATCACTGACATCTGTAAGTGCCAGCGCCACTACAAAAACGGTTTAAGATTTCTCTCTTAAAATTAAGAGAGATTTAAGTAAAGAGAATCTGACATCAAAGCTAACATTTACTTTCTTTCAACTCAGTGTCCTCAGTAGCAGAATACTTGTTAAATATAACACAGGGTGGTACAAAACTTAATTTAGGGGAAGATAGCTATGTGTGGTAAGTGAAACAAGCACTTAATTGTTGCTGAAATTAAAGTAAATTTCATGCTATTAACAATATGACTTCCTGGATACTGAATTACTTAGGAGGATCAGTAATAGCATATACACCATTTTGGTCAAATTGCCAAGTATAAGAGAGCTGCAAGTTTGGAAAACTTGGTACACTTCCAAAAAAAAAAAAAGGTAAAAATAGTGGCTTATACATTTCTGATTCTGGAACATTAATGTTCCAGGCTCCTTGTGATCAAAAATGCCATCAGGCTCCGGTTGTACAACTTATGTGAAGTGTACTGGTAAGACTTCCCTTAGAAACATGCTGAGGGTATCTATTCTGAGATCATGTTTTCACACTTATTTTCTCCTCCACATTTTAATACAGGAGGGTGGTTATGGAAAACATTTGTTCTTCTGCCACAACAGATGTTTTAATTATTCTGCCAGGTTGCCAGCATAAATTACACCTTACCAAACAGAAAAGAAAACAAACAAAGCACGAGTGAAGAAAAGACATCGTACCTTATGTGCCAGGTGAAAGAGCAGACGGTTCTGCAGACCACTCTTCGGTGCTGAAAGGAAAATTCAGTAAGTACTGCTGTAAAGAACAACTCAGGATGTCTATTTTTAACTCTCTTTCTCAACAGACATCAGTGCACCCATATTCTTTCATTAAGTAGCCCAAGTACAGTCCTTCAATAAAAGCCTTTGCAGGTCATGCCTCAGGGCAGGTTCTACCAATTTTAGAGTGGTTTAAAGGTCTTCCTCCTTCCTATCTTCTTTCTCTGACTGTTTCTTTTGAAATCCCTCTTGAAAATAATTTTTAATTGGCCTCTGTCTTCCATGAAGCTTAAAACTTATAGGAATCACACTATCATTTCCATGCAGGGATTTCTGGATAATTCTCTGGGGTTTTTTTTGTGACACACAAGCATAATACCTTTTCAAAATAAAAAGTAGCAAGAGATAAACTCATGATCAAGGTTCCTTCTATCATACGTCACATTTGAAGTAAGTTGTGATTTATAATTCAAGGAATCTTCTCAACTTCCAGAGTATTGAAAAACCCAGTGCTGCTACCATTTTGTTACGTATGCCCCTTATATTATACTTCGACACTAAGTTGAATATGAGTCAGCAGTGCCCTGGCAACCAGGAAGGCCAACCGTATCCTGGGGGGGGCATCAGGCAAAGCATCACCAGCCAGTCGAGGGAGGGGATTTTCCTGCTCTGCTCTGCACTGGGGTGGCCTCACCTTGAATATTGTGTGCAGTTTTGGGCAGTGTAATATAGGAAAGATATTAAGCCGTTAGAGAGTGTCCAAAGGAGGGGAATGAAGATGGTGAAGGGTCTTCAGGGAAAGCCATATGAGGAGCAGCTGAAGTCACTCGGTCTATTCAGCCTGGAGAAGAGGAGACTGAGGGGAGACCTCATTGCAGTCTACAACTTCCTTGTGAGGGGAAGAGGAAGGGCAAGCAGTGATCTCTTCTCTGTGGTGACCAGTAACAGGACCTGAGGAAATGGCCTGAAGTTGTGCCAGGGAAGGTTTAGGTTGGATATTAGTAAGAGGTTCTTCACCCAGAGGGTGGTTGGGTACTGGAACAGGCTCCCCAGGGAAGTGATCACAGCACCAAGCCTGCCAGAGTTTAAGTGTTTGGACAATACTCAGGCACGTGGGGACTCAGGACATGACTCTTGGGGATGGTCCTGTGCAGAGCTAAGGGTTGGACTTGATGATCCTTGTGGATCCCTTCTAACTTGGCATGTTCTGTGATTATGTAATTCTAGTATTTCTCCTGTCCTTAGGAACAAAAGACATACAAAAGAATCCTACAGTCAGAGCAGATAAGACTCAAACTAAGATACGATGAGAAATTTAAGGGAGATATCTCCTTTCTGAAGCCAGTAAAGCTCATGAAATTTCTCACTCTAGCAGGATTAGGAATTCCAGTAAACTCACTCCCTATGACAAAAATTGTTAACTGAAGAGATTTAAGTCACTAGAGCCTTTTGCTTCACTGAGAGACAAATATCGTCATCCAACAGAGCTATTAATTTCTGTTGCAAGCAGTCTCCCAAAAATCCTTCCCTTGCTTTGTGTATTTTTGTTAGCCTACTCAGTTAATGAGCACTCTCATTCCTGCTCAGACCAACTAGCTGGCAACCTATGTTCCACAGAAAGGGTGTACATGGAATCTTTAAAAAAAGTAGAATTACTTACTGTGTTCATAAGGCCATGAAAGTGCAGAGTTAGCAAAGCAATAGCCTGTAACACAAGGCTATAATTCTTCTGACGTCCTAAACCATGAAAGAGGGCTCAAACCACCAAACCCTCTTCCCCACCACCCCCCGAAAATGGATTTATTTTTTTAATGCAATTTAGGGAGAGACTTCCAGATTTCTTACTCTTTCTCCACATAGTAAGTAAACTTTCTAACACTGTGGACAATGCCAAAACCCGGGCCATTCTGATCAGATTGGCGGTGCAAGGCTGCCCACCTACTTTAACGAGTAAAGCAACTATTTCTCCCCTTTCCTCTTTCCCAAGCTGTGTTATTTAACCACATTCCTAGAAAAAAGAGGACAGTGAATTGCATCTTTAAAAAGCTGCTGGAGCAGAGAAGTCCCAAAATACAAAGGCGGTATGAGAGCATTCTCACAAAACCACATCTTGTAAGATACTTCTAAGAGAGCATCAAGTTATTAAGAAGCTAAATGGTCTTCAGTCTAGGATATATGTGGGAATTCTCATTAGACTAATTATTAAAGAACAGAAAGTTTTTCTGATCTATAATCAATATTGTATAGGCAGCATGAGCAGTAAAAGTGGCATGATAGTATGGATATTTCATCCACTGAGTTAGAAAGTGAGAATACCTTAATTTAAATGCATATTCTTCACTCCACATGTGCCCCAGCTTTAACTGATAAATTTTAATATCAAAATTTAGAAGGGTTGCACATGGACTCCACATGTGCTTTTGTGTGAAACTTAAACCACAACCACCCTTTACAATTCAAAACATTTGGTCATCAAAGATTCCAAAAATACAAGCATGACAGATTGTGGGATTTACACTGAAAATAACATATTGTATAATCACAGTGCTATGGATAAAGACATCAGTGTTCCTCTTTTGAGTAGGTTTTCTTTTTTTTTTTCCTTTTGAGTGGGTTATAGCATTAATTTCACTGTGAAAATGGTCACTTGCAAGCAATACTCCCTCAAGAACCTAAACCAAGGAATTCTTGTTTCACCAGTCAACCAATGACTGCAGGCTGCCTTTGTAAAACTGGCATCTGATCTGACATCAAAATTATTATTTACTTCTTGGCAAAAGCTAGAGGGTTAGACCATGTTATTTACACCTAAAAACAGGCAAAAGATGAAATCTGAGTTTTGGTGGTGTGCATGGATATATGGAGGGAGGAAAAAATGTCCCGCTTCATAAGATATCATATGATACTATCTATCTGATATTCTTTAAAATAAGATGCTTAAAACCCCCCACAAATATAGCCCTGTCGATAGAGTAAGCAGAAATATGGAAACATTCAATATCAGCAGTTTCTTTTCTCTCAGTGCCAAATGCATTTTTTGAGGAAGACAAGGAAACATCCGAAACACTGAACAAGGACAGATTAGTTTCTAGAAAGAATCTGGTTATGAATATTGGATAAAGATGTTGTCGATCACTGGAGCAGGAAGTGATATAACTGCCTCATCAGCAACAATGATTTTTAAGGGACATTAGGCTTGTTCTTTTATTACTCTCTGCTGCTACAGAATTTTATTCTCACTGATCTATTAATGCTACAGTGAAGCACGATATTCTTTTTCTGTTCTACTTTTTCAAGACAATGATTGTACTTTTTTTTTTTAAATCAGTACTAAGCAATCTAGGGATCATAATAAACATGATGACAATGCTGCATGGTAACAAACTGAATGTTGCTCCAGGTATAGTACTGACCTTGCGCTGAAGCACTGAGGTAGCTGGATTGGATATATCTCTTTCCATCTATGAAACACACACTAGAATTTTTGTCATGATCAGTGCTGTTTTTCCAGGCGCTAAAGTCACAGCTGTTATGGATCTTAAAGATGTTCTGTATATTTTTATGTACTGACACTGACAGGCACCTAGTGAAGTATTTGTTAAAATATAATAAACAGCTACAATAGGAATGAAGACAATTATCTTCACTAACTATTAAACAAAAAGTTAAACTCACTAGAAATGGCAGCTCAGACTCTAGGTGGATTCCATATTGCTGCCTTAGGCAGTAAAAATATGATGAAATAGAGTCAGTGTGGCATTGGTGCCCTCTCATGAGAGTGCAAGGCAATGCTGGTCATGCAGCCAGCATTAACAAATCCCATCTAACAGACATAATGCATATGCTATAGCACCACTTCACACATAGACAGGCATGGAATACACCTTAAACACATGGAGCAGGAGCTGGTAGGAATGGAGCAGGGCTGAGAAGGCTCCATCCTGACAGTAGAAAACATGACCAGAGGAAACCTTATTCTCCTGTCCCTGAGAAACAACGCCCTGCTCACCTGAACACAGTAGTTGAATGAAGCTCTCTGTGCCTCAAAACCACAGTTTCACTGGTGGAGAAAAAATGCAAGGGTATGGGAAAAATGTTCAAAAAAGCCCATGGTCCAGCAGTGAGGTTCACACTTAAATGCACTTGAACAGCTCAACTGTTCAGAATTTTCTTGAGTGAAATTTACAGAGGACATTCACTGAAATTTTCCTATTCCCACAATACTTTAAAGGCATTCAGCTATGTTCAGTTACTTGCAATATATACACATTTCATGGCAGTCATGTCTAAGCACAGTAAGTTAAAGATCATCAAACTAATTATTCCTGGTCTGTAATTTTTACTATACTTTAAAAAAACAAAACAAGGAAACAAGGTTAGTAGCTTTTAAAGTTTAAATATGTGATATTTTCACTTGTGCACTTTGAAAGTTCCATATATGAAACTTCTGGTTCAAAACCACAGCTAAAATGCACTGAAAATAACCGCTGTTCTCAAGAAATACAGCACAAGCAGCAAGGAGATAATTTTGCATGTAGGTGAACATGCAATCCTAAGTAAAAGAAAACCCAATAACTTTTCCATGCCCACTTGTATCCGCACATTTTCACTGGTGACAACCATCTGACACCTGGCAAACATTACTACATGCATAAGTAAAACTGGTTTGGAAAATGTCATTGTTCTTGCTAACCCATCTCTGTTCTGCTTTTGTACAATATTGCTCCTTCCAGTATAGGCTGTAAAATGAGAAGTTCTCTGTTCAGTTAAATCACATTCAGATCTGACACATGCAGAGTTGTGAAGAAGCAAAGCAACTACAAAGCTTTTCCCATCAAAAATTAGAAGGGGTGAAACACCCCCCCAATTTTAATGACTGGTTCAACAATACAACCCTGTCTGTGCATGAATCTTAAATTGTAAAATTCCATTTATCCTAAAAAGACTGCTTTTCATAACAGACTTAACTGCAGCCTCCCTTAGGTGCACATTTTGTGGTTTAAAAGAACACTTTGAGTTCTTACATCTTAATGCAGTGCAAGCCAACAGCTTCTAAGAGCACTACCAGGCTTCTAAATACTTGGATCAGTTGCCAGGATCATGGTCCCAGTGTGCAAGGCTGAGTTTCTGTTCTTTGGCCTTTGCAAGGCACAGGAACCATGAGTGCAACATAAGAGCATTAGCTTCTATAATTAAAAAAATAGTAACTTGTTATAATTATTATTAATTATTAAACCAAGATGAATAATTTCAGCCTCATTCTCTCGAGACTAGATGGGCTACCATACAGCATGGAAAACATATGTTCAGCCAACGTATGAGAGCACAGATGCAAAAGGAGTAAACAAAACATCACTTGGTAGCTTCACTATTTGATGACTACAAAACAACAGTAGCTGACTTGGAAGTAACTCTACCTTCACCTCAGATGCAGGAACATTAGTAACTGTAATGTAAGCAGACAGCAGGGAAAAAGGAGAAGCCAGAAAGATCTGATAGAAATTTGGAAGAAAGCCTAGAAGAGGTAAAATACAACAGTAATGAAAAACCTCCAAGGACGGATTTTTCTTTATTGCCTTTTTGCTCTACTTCTTAGGTTATATTTGCAGTAATTCTTTTTTATATGACTTTTGATATACAGATTTATTCTTTCCTAAGAGAATCATAGAATCACAGAATGGCTTGGATTGGAAGGGACCTTGAAGATCACCTACTTCCAACCCTCCTGCTGTGAGTGGGGATACCTTCCACTAGACCAGGTTGCTCAAGGCCCCATTCAACCTGGCCTTGAACACTTCTAGGGATGGGACATCCACAACTTCTCTGGGCAACCTGTTCCAGTGCTTCACCACCCTCACAGTAAAGGATTTCTTCCTTATATCTAATCTAAACCTACCGTCTTTCAGTTAAGAGCCATTCCTCCTGTCTTGTCACTACATGCCTTTGTTAACAGTCCCTCTCCAGCTCTCTTGTAAACCCCCTCTAGGTACTGGGAGGCTGCTATAAGGTCTCCCTGAAGCCTTCTGTTCTCCAGGCTGAACAAATCTCTATTCTTTCAGCCTTTCCTTGTAGGAGAGGTGCTCCATCCTTCTGATTAGCTTGGTGACCCTCCTCTGGACTTGCTCCAACAGGTCCATGTCCTTCCTGTGCTGGGACCCCAGAGCTGGATGCAGCACTGCAGGTGGGATCTCACCAGAGCAGAGTAGAGAGGCAGAACCCCCTCCCCTGACCTGCTGCCCAGGCTGCTTCTGGTGCAGCCCAGGATACACTTGGCTTTCTGGGCTGTGAGCTCACATTGCTGGGTCATGTCCAGCCTCTCATCCATCAGCACCCCCAAGTCCTTGGGCTGCTCTCGATCTGTTCATCCCAGAGTCTTCATCAATAGTGGGGTTTCCCCCACCCGGGTGGGCCCACTTTCTGAGCTTGCCCAGATCCCTCTGGATGGCATCCCATCCTTCAGGTGTGTCACTGCACCACTCAGCTTGGTGTCATCTGCAAACTTGCTGAGGGTGCACTCGATCCCTCTGTCACTAATGAAGATATTAAATAATACTGGTCCCATACGGACCCCTGAGGGACATCACTGGTCACTGCTGCCCATTGGGACTCTGAGCCATGGACCATTATCCTTTGGATGTGTCCATCCAACCAATTCCTAATCCACCAAACAGTCCACTGATCAAATCCACCCCTCTCCAATTTAGAGAGAAAGGTGTTGTGGGGAACCATTTCAAAAGTTTTGCAAAAGTCCAGACAGATGACACCCGTAGCCCTTTCCTTACCCACTGATGTAGTCACTCCTTCATAGAAAGCCACTAGGCTGGTCAGGCAGGACTTGCCCTTGGTGAAGCCCTGCTGGCTGTCCCAAATCACCATGAACTTTTAATTAAATAATGAGAGAGAACAGTTCACATCTGTTATAAAATAAACATAAAACCTTGATCCACAAGAGATTGTGGACTATAAATGCAATAACTAGTTCATGGCTTTTAACAATAATTTCCTAATTTTTAAGTGTCCTGCATATTTTTCCTCAGATGGTTAACAATAATTTTCTTAAGTCACAGCAACAGTACACGGCAAGAAGGAATTTGGTTTGATTTCTAGATATTTATATGTTTGTGTGGAAAACCTATTCCAGAAAGCTAGTTGACATTTATGTTCCCTTTCACAGAGAGATTCTATTACTGTAGAAATTCAGAATTATTGCTGAATTAGTTCTCCTTAATTTAATTTTAAATTTAAATTTAAATTAGTTCTCCTTAATTTGTTTTAGCACTATGCTATTTTTAGGGGCTTAGCATAACTGCAGCAATAAACACTACACAGTATGCAAGAATTCAGACAAAATAATCCCAAAATAGCAATGGTAAGCAGCCTAACATTAACACCACCTACAATTTTTTCAGCAGTATTCAAGGTAGCATTGGAAAAATGGTGTTCTTTTAAAGGCTTCACCTGTTGTGTTAATATTGAAGGAAATATTTTGCTTCTTCAGGATCTTTGCAAAACCATGGAAGAGACCACAAGATGATATGGCCTCAGTTGTCAATATTATATTACAAACAGCCATCATTGATGCAATCCTAAGATGTTAAAAAGAAACTAAAAGAGGATCCCACTTCAACAAAAATAAAATAGTTCAAACAATACAAGAAAGACTGAAGTGATAGGAGTGGAAAGGGGAATATAGCACACTTGGAAGCTTTCAGTGGAAAAAGGACAAGTGTTATAAATCTTCAGCTATGACTCCTAACCACCAAGCTTAAGTAGCTAGAAATCATCAGTATTACAGTACTCACAAGAAAGTTTTAGCACCTTGTTATAAAAACTGGGATGCTGTTCCTTCTCCAACAATTACATAAAATCAGGAACTGACAGAACTAATGTGAGCACTCAGTTATTTTCTGTTCCCTCTTTCAGCTACACTCCCTATGTCTTGCACTCCTTTCCTGATATTCCTACCCTTGCCTCCAGCACCCAAGTGCCACTAACTGCACCCCCTACCCTGCCACTCATGAGGCTACCATTAACTAATCTGAAGGGGTATGAAAAGAATAACCTTCCCTCACTCACAGTTCACAGTTAATCAAGCTGCAGGTCCAGCTGTGTACATGTCATGTCTAGAATGGATTACTGTAAATCACATGACGTGAAGCTGATGACAATGACTCCAGCTGGTACAGGATGCAGCTGCTTGCTTCCTCCATGGTTTAGGTCACAGTGACACATTGAGCTCTACTGCCTATTTATTTTTAGATTTCACTTCAAGTCCTAGATTGCAATCTCCAAAGCTCAAATTTTTGGTACACTAAAGATTAAATTATTTGTGAACACTAGAAATTTGCACACCTCTTGAACAATACAAATCACAAAGCTCTGTATGAGATTTTTTTATAGTTCGAAACAAAACATTTTCAGTTGTGCGATTTCAGCTCAGCATGAGCTCAATCCTCTTTCTGGGGATTTTAAAAAGATATGAGAATCTAATTATTTTTAAAAAATACTACAAAGCTGTCCTCTTGGAAGGCACTCCTTCACAGCAGAAGAAAGTACATATTATTTCCTCCCTACTCTATTTTCAGTGCAAGACAAGTAGACTAATGAAAGAAAGGAGAAAACCTTTCTTCAATAAGAATTTTATCCTAAAAAGGCAAGAGTCAGAAGTTGACAGAGCTATCACTGAGAAAACACTGAGATACCATGGTTATAGGAAACAACATAAATCACAAAGATATATAAAAAGTGATGGGCAACAAAATTAAACTACAGAAACATTTTTAGGTAGTAAGAATTGCCTTGGAATCTAAATTCCATTCCTTTAAATGATCCCATGCATGTTCAGATTAAAGCAGAACTGTAGTAATGTGACTGCAGTGAACTCCATGCCTTGAAGAATCAGATACCTAGTATCTGACTTATAAAGCACCAAAACCACCCACTAAGTCACTCAAACTACATAAACAGAGTTGTTGTCCATATCAGGGAGAATGCTGAATTCCCTCAGATGCTTATTTTTTTATAATTTCACTAGCCTAATTTGCTTCATCTGCACTGGCTCAGAGACACAGAATCAGTCAAAAGAAAAGTAACTTCTTGTTGCTAGTTGATGTATGCTGGGTTTTGTATTTAGAAATTAATAAGAGGAATGATTTTCCAGATGCTTCTTTCAGTTCCCGCTGCTCCACATGCCCAAGGTATTTTTAGGAAGCAAACTGCATCACAACTGTCCTGTTAAATGAAAGTTAAAAAACCAACTCCCAAACAAAAACCCGAACCCAAACAACTTTGGTCACATGTATCCTTTATTCCTATGAAAATAAAGCATTGCATACTTTTTCTGGAAATCACTTTCAGTGTTCAAGTCAATAAGCAGTCCTTTCCAACAGAGACATACATCTCACCTTTCAAAGCTGCTTGTTCTGCTTGCGTGTACATCCCCAGAAAGAAGTACGTACAGGCAAGGTTCACCCAAACATCTGGATTGCAAGTTGGTTGTCTGGTTAAGGCCTCATACTCCTGTAACAGAAGAGAGGGTTGATTTTCAAAAAATGTGTAATAGCACATATATGTATTAAATATCATTCTTTCTTCCACCATTTTACAATGTATCATTAAATTACCAAGATCAAACAAATTATTCTGAAGTTCAATGCAGTTCTTACAACAAAACTATTACATCTTAAACCTAAGATATGTTCCTAACTCTTTTTTGTTTACAGCAATAGAACAGACAACAGGGACAAGCAGTGCTATAAATCTCCATTGTGTGAACATGATTTCAGTCAATATTGAAGTTATAGAGATATAAAAATATTTATATTGTAAATATGTTGCTTACATTTATAAACTCCAACATATCTAAGTTATAAAGACAGCAATATAATCAACTTTTCTTCAGTCTCTTCTGATGCTTTCCTAAGTTCTCCTCCAGTCAAAGCCTTGGGAGCCATAAACACCAGGGAAATCTCTTTGTGAATATTTACTGGAGTAAGTGTTAAACAGGTTTTTGTAAAACTGTAGGTAGTGTCTTAGTATATATTTAAGCTGTGGACTCCAAGGTGTATTCTAAATCTGAGGTTATGAAATATAATACCACAATTGCAGGAAGAAAATTTGTTTTGGTATTATTAATAACTAAAATAATATTTTAATTAATTTATTTATTTTTATTTATTTTTAAATAGTGTTTATTTAATCTTTACTTCATTATTTTCTTACTTTCTATTTTTGTGTATGTTTTATAGTGACATATGAGTACAGTAGTACAGGTATGTAACTTATAAATGTACAGATGTGCATACATATTGGGGGTGTGTACTCAAAAATTTTTTATTGATAGGGATGCATGAGCAAAATTGTTTGGAGACCATTGCATTAAAACACAAGCCTATAAGTTGGTACAGGGCAAATTCAAGATTTCCTTATAGATAAGATTAGTAAATTATAGTAAATATTACTAAATTGTGCCTAACTTTACCATTTTCCATTTTAAGATTTACAGCCAACAGCTATAGAAAGCCACTAGATATCATATTCTGATATTTCTTGCACATCCACATTCATTCCACATATTTCACAGAATATTCTGAGTTGGAAGAAACCTGCAAGGATCAAGTCCAATTCTTAAGGAAATAGCCTGTACAGGGATTGAACACATGACCTTGCTGTTATTAGCACTATGCTCTGACCAACTGAGCTAATCTCAGGTACATATCCTTTAATACTGCCAGACAAACTGCTTAGTTTCTTGTTATTGTGAAACAGCAAAAACTTAACAAATCAATCTTTCAATCTACTTTTTTTTAAACAAAAAAGTTTTTGCAGCTACCAAACAATGACATTCCTGAAGATAAACATCTTTGCTCAGTGTAACAGTAGGTATTAAAAAAAGAAGCAAGGAGATCTCTCAATGCCATTTTTTTTTCCTCTCTCACTTTCTGATAAATTACTAGGAAGGACCACCCCAGTGAAAGTGCTTGTTGCTGGTGCTCCTGCTCTCCATCCAGCCACATCCAACAGGCAGCATAAGGCAAAGCAGGCAGAGTCACACAATGTTCTCATAAGACCTGCTGAAACCATGTCATCCACATACTCCCAATTACCATCAGCCTCTCATCCCTCCCAGCAACACAACCCCTTGCTGACTCTATACTTGTCCTCCAAACATATGAATTGGAATTTTCCTCTGCCTAGAGAGAGTTTAGCAGATTGAGCCACTGGGGGTGGGAGACTTCTTACCTCTGGGAAAAAAAGACAGATATATATATATATATATATATACAGCACTAGATAAAATAAGCCATGCCCAAAGGACAATGAATCCCAAGAACAGAAATATGCTCACAACAACAAAGTTTATAGTTTGCAAGCAAAAAGAATTTTTTTTCTGTTGCTAAGTGAAAGTAAACCGCACTCCCAAACAGAGAAGGTACTGGTAAGGAATGCCCTTAAAAGCCAGCTCAGTCTTGCTGGTACTTCAGGGACTAGCTATCCAACAATATTTCAAACAAACAAATAAATAAAAACAATTATAATAATAGAAAACTTTTAAATAGAGGCCAACCTTTCCTACTGAGGCCAGTTTAATCTTGACATAGACCTGTCATGGAGCTCTGAGAGACAGGCCACTGCTGTTTATTGGGACCATCTGGAATCTTTCAAAATCCATTCAGATTAAATGCACCCAAAGGTCTCTTTCAGCTAGGGCTTCAGGCAGATTAATTAGAAAAGACAAAGTGCATAAACACAAATCAAGTTCTGGCTTAGCCTTTCAAAGCAAGCAATAACTAAAAAGTGCTCAAGCTGTACAACGTGGATCTATAGAAACACAGTAAATAAAAATTAGGACAATTAGTGCTCCTTATCCTGTAGTTCTGGGCCTTGCACCCAGACTGTGCTCTTGCCCCTTTCCTCACTGAAAGGCATTCAACATCAGTTGCTCAAAGACTACCTCACAAGGGCTTTACCCCCTCCTCTCCAAATAAACCAACAAAAGCAAACAAATGAAATACTCTGAAAGCTTTCCCAACAGTCAACCTTGTGGCATACTTTTGCCATCTAGGAGCATAACAACTTCTTGCTATTCACCCTGCTCCACCTCACCCCCCTATCACGAGACACATGCAATTTTCCTCAAAAGCAGGCTGCCAGGATGATTGCCTACACCTACAGACACAATGCTGAGGCCATCTCACTGCCCTTATTACTTGTCTGGATTCTCCAACCCTACAAACACAGATCCTGAAAAGCCAATAAACAGGTCAACTATACAGCTGCCCCACAAGTGCTCAAAGGAGGTGTGGAGGTACCCATCATAACCTGGCTAGAGTCGTAACAGAGAAGTCTAGAGAACTCCCAGAGCTAAAAATCCATCTTCTAATTTCCAGCTTCAGCTGTCAGTAACTTGAGTGTACCTGTATTATCACACCTCCCATAAAAGTACTCAAGCAAGACCAGACACCGCTCATGGACAAACCCTTACCCAAGTACAGTCCTGTTCCTTCCATGAGTTACTATTTGACTGAAATTATCCTTAGCAAAGTCAGGGTGGTAACAGGTCCTGTCCATTGAAGAGGTGGAATGGTTCCTACTTCTCTGCTAGGAGGGAGGTGGCAGATTGGAGAGTCTGTCTGTTGCTGGCTACATGTAGTTTGTGCTATTTTGACAGAAACAATCCATTGAAGGCTCTGGCCCAGGGATCATGCTTTACTCCCATGTGTGCAGCTGATGGGCCAAAATGGCATTACCATGTCCAACAGCTGTACCGTGCCAGAATCCTGTGTGCCTAAAGTCCAGTCAGAGGGTGAAACTTGTTCTTGAATCCAACCAAGCACTGCATCTGCCCTTGCCAATTCCTCTCTTAAATGTTAAATAACCTTAAATATATGTATAATATTGTATAGATACAATAATACCCTCCCTTTCCTAGGCCCCAGCTGCTTCAATTTACCAGATCAGGCAGCTTAGACACAGAATCATTGGACTGATGCTCTGATTCTGGTCCTTGGGTGACAGTGGGAAATTTTTCAGGAAAGGTTTAAGATTAGCGCTATGAACAAGTCACGGCAGAAAGATAGGTGGGGTTTTCCCTATTAGGGACAATAGATGTGGAAGACTCCAGAAAACTAATTAGATGCTGCTATCCACTAGGGAAGCTCTGGTTGCGATATGATGCCAGGAAGACACAAGCCACTGAGTGTTAGTAAAAATAAGTTTGTCAGTGAAGAAAGTTAGTCAGTCCCCAGGGAAGGGCTGTACTGTGACTGCTGGAAGAGTCAAGCCCAGTGCAATACCATTTGTAAACTGGTGTACAGCAGTAGGAATGATTCCACCAGACCAGTGTCAGTGGCACAACCTTTCAGAAAGGCATCTACTACTAAGAAGGGGAAAGTGTGACCCTAGTGAAGCTGAGGTTAGTACTCTACTTACAGCATATTTGACTGTTGTTTGTGTGCCTGTGGTAAGAGAGTGTGAATTCTCTCACATGAATGTGACAGCGATTTTACTGTCATTCTCTCTGGAAATATTCTTGGAGCTGAAGGTCTGTGTGGTTTTCACTTTTTCCCCATTTCTCCCAGTGATGGATGATGGCCACCTCACCCCAATTCCCAAGCTTGTCCAAAAGTTGCTATGCAACCAACACTGCGAAAGCATCATTATAAATAAAAGGATTGAACAGCATAATTTCTGAAGACCCTCATAGGTACCCTATAGGTATATGGACTACAAACCATGAACTGTGAATATAGTGACACAGACTATGTGTTGTCACCAGAAGGCACACGCAGGAGAGTAAATCATTTAGATTGTGTGCAATGTCATCCTGGAGAATTCTGCAGAATCTTCGACTCATAGTATTTTATTTACAGTGCTCTTGGCATTCCCTAAAGAATGCTCCAAGATCTCAAGTGTACAGATAACCAAGGAATTTGCCCTTGAGAATACAGCAACAGTGCCTTTGTAACACGGCAGAGGAGATGTAGCATTATACTTCAACCTTGAAGCTAAGTGAAAGGCAGTTCAGTCTCCACAGTCAGTGGAGTGATTCCCGCAGGCTTAGGAATTACGGCTACAATGGTCAGTCTCCAAAGAAACTATGCTGAGATGCACAGGCTCATTTCCCACATGTGACCACAAAAATAAGACAGCTATTAGGACTCATCACTGTGCCAAAAATCAGTATTAAATCTGAAAAGATAGGCCCTGTGATCTCTCACTTAAAACACCCATATCCACAAACTTAAAACAATCCACAAACCATTGAGACAAACCTTTTATTGTCCCTACTTGGGCAGAGAAACGGGGAAAATGGGAAATAGACGACTACGTTGCAGTTTTTAAAAGCTTGAATCAACAGCATCCCCTAGTGGTGAATCAAACACCACATGCAAAACCGAATTAAAAAATAATAAAAAAATTGTTGCTTTTTCTTTGAAGGAAACATATAAAATCCACTCTGGTTCTAAAAGCATCTATTGGGCATTTCAAAGAGCAGAATTTATTTCAAATTTGTTTTCAATTTATTTCCTATTTCAAAGAAATTGCAAGCTATTTTTTATTTTTATACAAATATTTTTCTTTTTTAAAAAACTTTCACTCCATATTAACACCTGATGCCTAAATATAAATTAACTACAGCAACTGATTGTTACATTCATAATCGTTAAATTCCACAAATTTAAACATGAATATTAATTTACCATTAGGTCCTGTACTACTCTTCTACATTCTGTACTGTGTATACTGTCAATTTAATTACCTGAGCATCTCTAACATCTCGAATGGATGTTTCCTCTTCAATTTTTAAAGGGCAGAGTGCCTTGTGAACTTATTTGGAAGCTTTAGAGTTTTTACCTCATGTATGCATCTTGTGCACGTGACCACATATTACTATAGTTAAACACTTCATTTTATCTAAGAGAAAATATCATCACTGTTCTATAATCTATTTATTTTCTTTTTATATTTTTTAATACTCTAAATTATCATCTGGTTTTAATATTTCTTCTGGGGAAAGCAAATTAAAAGACTGCAAAACCAGTTATACTTCACTTATACTTCAGCAACTTGTGATGGAGATGTCCCCCAGCTGACTCTGACAGAAACCAATAAGCCTTAAACAGTGCAATACAGCATCGTATGGGCCCAGCAATTCACACCTCTAGCAACAGCACAACAGAGACAAACAATACTCAGGCAGACTGAGTTGTTCTCAAATCTTCTCTAGTTACATGCAGCTTTGTGGCTATCACCACACCACTCCTTGTTCTGGTATGCACAATTCCAGCCCTCAGAGGTACAGGGCAAGGCAGACAACAAAAATTAATTAATATTTCTACAGAGAAATTTGCTGGAACTGCTAAGAAGATAAAGGGATCCTAGGGACACTGGAAACAAATTATTTGGCAAAAGATTGAGCTTCATGGGAGTCATAAATGGACACAAGAGAAAGAACTGTTTATGGACTCACGCACTGAAAGAGACGTGACAGAATTGTATTATACAAATATTAAAACGGATGCATATTTGAATAGTCAACATGTATTTTAGTGACTTAAAGCTTTTGGAAAATGTCTCATTTACTTGAATTACCTAATACTGGAAAACATAAAGAAGAACAATAAAGTACATTATCGAATCGCAGAATCAACGAGGTTGGAAAAGACCTCTGAGATCATTGAGTCCATCTATGACCAAACACCATCACGTCAACTAGACCATGGCACTAATTGCCACATCCAATCTTTTCTTGAACACCTCCAGGGACTGTGACTCCACCACCTCCCTGGGCAGCCCATTCCAATGCTCAATCACTCTTTCTGTGAAGAAATTCTTCCTAAGTCCAACCTAAACCTCCCCTGGTGCAGCTAAAGACTGTGTCCTCTTGTCTTGTTGCTCGTTGCCTGGGAGAAGAGAATGACCCCCACCTGGCTACAACCTCCTTTCAGGCAGTTGTAGAGAGTGATGAGGTCTCCCCTGAACCTCCTCTTCTCCAGGCTAAACAACCCCGGCTTCCTCAGCCTCTCCTCATAGAATATGTGCTCCAGACCCTTCACCAGCCTTGATGCCCTTCTTTGGACTCACTCCAGCACCTCAATATTCTTCCTGAACTGAGGGGCCCAGAACTGGACACAGTACTCCAGGTGTGGCCTCACCAGCGCTGAGTACAGGGGCAGAATCACTTCCTTGGACCTGCTGGCCACACGTTCCTGATCCAGGCCAGGATGCCATTGGCCTTCTTGGCCACCTGGGCACACTGCTGGCTCATGTTCAGCTGGCTGTCAATCAGCACCCCTATGTCCCTTTTTGCCTGGCAGCCACCCATCGACTCTGTACCCAACCTGTACTGCTCCATGGGGTTGTTGTGGCCAAAGTGCAGGACCTGGCACTTGGCCTTGTTGAATCTCATATCATTTAATGGCCAAGGGCATCAATCTCTAAAGAGAGAATTTCATCATGCATATCACAAATAAGCTTCACAATGAAGACAAAATCATAACTAAACATGAAAAATAAAGCTGTGGAAAGCTAGCTGCAAAAGAGATGGAAGAATGGAAGATTTAGGACATCAACTACGACATACAAAAGGGCAAATTAGTCTACTGAGCCTAGTATTAAATCAGATAGTAGATAACTTTAAAAAGCTCTATTTTCATAGGTAAATATCTTTTTTTTTTTCAATCCAAACTGCTTTCCACAGCATCCGCCTCATTACTGTACATTTGTACCTTAACTGGCTGGCAGAGCTGTTCCTGATTACAGACCATCTTCCTCTTGTTGTCATCACTTTATCACTACATTCCGATTTCCAGTCTCGGGGAGTGGGACTTCCCCACTTACCTCCAGAGCTCTCTTGTAGTCACCCAAATGAAATGCACAGTATCCAATCCAAAGGTTGGCATCCTCCTCCTGCTCACCCACTTGCTGCTTAAACTTTGTAGAAAATAAAGAATGTAAGAATTTTGTCAGCTGCCACACGGTTTCTACAGCCCCACAGATAACCAAAGCAATAGCAGGCTATCATGTATCGCGGATGCTTTGACAGCTGTGGATGCTACTAGGGTGCAGCTGCTTTCACATTTCTGAGGGCAGCAGCAGGCAGCCCTCTCAGGCCAAACCAGGCTCTGCGAAGCGAGGGGCCGCAGCTGCCGCGGCAGGGCCCGGAGGGTGCGGGAGGAGGCGAGGGGGACGCGAGGAGGGGAAGGGCTCCCCTCGCCCCGCAGCCCTGCGGGCATCGGCCTGGCAACGACGATACCGCTCGGACACCGTCACCTCCAGCAAGGCGATCGCGCCGGTAAAGTCCCTCTGGGCCAGGAGTTCTTCCAGCTGCGGCACCTCCTTCCCTTTCTTTCTTCGCCTGTCTCCCGGCGGCGGGGTACCCCCCACGGCCGGCTTGGCACGGGAGAGCATCTGGGCAAAGAGAAAAGCGGCGTCGCGTCAGAGCGGGCCCTCGCTCGGCGGCGCTCCCCGTTCCCCGCCCCTCGCCGCCACCCTCCGCCTCCCGCCCCGCACCATCCCGCCGCCCCGCCGCCCCTCACCATCCTGCGGCCGGCCCGGACTCCGCGCTCCCACGGCGGCGGCGTTGCCGGGGTAACGGCGGGGCGGCGGAAGGCGGCGGCGAACAGGCGCCGGCTGCCGACCGGGTCCGCCCCCAGGGTTCCGCCTGCGCTGCGGCGGGCGGCCATCCCGCAGCGGCCACCCCGCAGCGGCCACGGGACTGAGGGGCGGCCCCTCGGTCAGAACCGCGCTGGTTCCTCCCTAGAATTCCTAGGCTCTTCCTCTCCCTGCCTTTGGTCCTTCTCTTGAAAATCCGGGTCCCGCATTTTTGTCACAAGAGCCCCATGCAACGCTACGGGCTTGGGGCAGAGTGGCTGGAAAGCCATTGGAGGTGTCGATCGGTTATTAGGAAAAAAAATTCTTCGCTGAAAGGATTGGTCAAACATTGGAACAAGTTCTCCAGGGGAGTGGTGGAATCACCATCCCTGGAGTGTTCAAAAGACTGTAGATGTGGCGCTTAGGGACATGGGTAACTGATGGACCTGGCAGTGTTATATCGATGGTTATACTCAATGACCTTAAAGGTCTTTTCCAACCTTAATGATTCTATGATTGAAATTACAGGAGGGCCAATAATTTAAACTACTGCTGACAACTCAACTAACTATAAAACACATGTCCATGGACAAGACTAATGAGGTATCTGTATTTCTACCATTTTCCTTCCTTGAGAAGAAAATCTTTCTCACTTTACCAGAAAAAAAAATAAAAGCAGCTAAAGCAGCTCCTCTTTTATGTTTGTATGAATAGATATGTCTTGTCACAGTGCAATCATTTGGAACATAGACCAGCAGCAAAGAACTGTGTGCTGCTGCTTCAGAGCGTGGGTTCCATATTCACTGTTTCACAATCACTTAAACTTGACTCGACCCAGGAATGATGCACCCAGCTTGGAACAGTCTCCAAGAGGTTACTCTGCAACCAGGAGCCACTGGAGCACAACACCACCATGGCGGTGCCCCTTGTTTATATATGTGCTTTCATACCACAGGCCATGAAGAAGGAAGGCAAATAATCCACTCACCCACAAAGGACTTCTCTGCAAGAAATTAGTTTTTAGTTAGTCAGTCAAAGTGTTAAAGAATGTGTGCCAGTGATTTGGTCTCCTTTTAAAGCTCTTCTCTATTATGCAAGGTATTATTTCTGTCAGGAGAAAACAAGCAAGCAGACAGTACAATTAGGCAAGATTCTTTATTTTCTTTTTTTAAAGAAAAAGTAACTGAAAATGTAATCTCACTACATCACTTTCTTCCACATTTTTTTTAATATATATTCTTTCACAAGATCCTGCTGTTCTAAGAATCAACAGCTAAAATATTAAATCAAATGGAAGAAAGCTCTCAGCTGCTCCACTGGTTTCTCCCATTTCCCAGTGGTTCCTGAATTTGTATGTGGTTGATCCGAAGTTGGGGAATGCATGAGAACTAACAGATGTGCAGTGCCAGTGGGTTAGCTGTGGGCACAAGAAGGACACTGTCAATAGAGATAAAAAGTGACAGCAGTATGAAGTTGATCAAAATATTTTTAGCATTTCTGGTGTAGAAATTATTATTAAAATGCAGAACAAAGTAGGTGGAGATGTTATAATATTTTCCTTATATGAAACTAAGATGACAATTAATAAATTAAAGACATGTCAAGAAGTTTGGCCACTCTGTTTTAATAGTGGAAAATTGCTGCAGCTCTTACCTTCACCAGTGCCATTATTTTAAAGGCTATGAGCTGTAAAATGATTAATGATCATGTTTATTTCCACACAGAATTGTTGGGAGAATGGGAATTGACTTACACTGATGGCAGCGAAAGGGAAATCGTGCACCCATGACTAAACACCAAGATAAGCATCAGAGAGCGCAGTCAGCATTTAAATAAAAAATCAGAGTGGAAAGTGAGGTCTAAGAAAAGGTGAGGAAGGAGGGGAAGGAAATAAAAAAAGGGAGAGAAAGGAAAATCAGGAAGTGGGACAAATTCATCATATAACCAAAACAAGAGGTTATGACGTGACCTTTACATCAGCAACAATCATGTGCTTGAATTTCAGTAATGTCTGGGTAAGATCATGTAAATTCAGTAATGATGCTTCACCATGTTCTGCATCTGGTACCTTTGAAAATGCATCTGACAACATCTCAAGATAAATGATATGTAAAAGTGAGAGCAATTAAATGCTCCCCTGCTAAAGGTACAAAGGCAATCCCTTGCAATGAGAAAATGGGGATGATACCTTTAAAAGCAAACAACTGGAAGAATACTTGCTTCTTTTTTTATGGCGTCAGCAACTTCTGAGGCTTATTCTACCCTGGATAGACCACTCATGATGAGAGAAGGTGAAATGCGTAAGTTGACAGATCATATGCGCCTTTAATGCTTTTGTCTGATCTCTATTGCCCAGCTCAAGACAGCAAACAACACCCATGTCGATTAAAGACCTCCAAATGGTGAAATAAAGATTCATATTTTTTATCTGTATTTTGGAAAGGGAGACTCTTTAGTTTTCACTGGTGTTTATGATTTTATGGATCTGTGGGAACTGCACCTTCAGAATTTTTCAGATACTTCTAGCACCCAACCTGTCATAAAGATTCAGTCAAGTTAATAAAAGTAACATAGAAGCTGTCCTTGTTTTTGCTTTCAGAATCACATTTAGGTAAGTTTTTAGAAGTTTATGTGTGTAGAATCAAGGGAGGAGTGGCAAGACAATCCACTGATTGCACAAGTCAGTGTCAGAACGGAAAATGCAATGCATGGCTAGCTGGATCCACACAAACTTATCCAAGGCAGAAAGCCACATCACTGCAAGTGCTACATCCCAGAGAATGCAGTTGTACTGGTTCAGGATGCGTGCTGATATATTTGCACAGTATTCCACTGCCATTTGGATTTACAAGATCACGTGTGCACTAGCTAGAAGATTTCATAACTCCATCCCATCACATAGTATAAACATGTATTGTGTTTAATAAAGAGAGTTTAAGGAAACTGAAGTATATGTCCAATACATAAATTATTACACACTCAAGCCATTTACCTCTGTAAGAAAAACAGAAAAAATGCTTGCACATTACGGGTAGCTTATTTTTGTCACTTGACAGAGCCATATCCTGCTGAGTCTAGAACAGAGGCAAACCCTTATGCTGAGAAGAAAAATATGTCTTGTCCCTCTGGAAACTGAGTCCTTTAGAGAAAGAAAATAGTAGTTAAGAGGAAAGACTTCTTACTATTTATTTTGGTAGAAGTTAGGTGGATGAATAATATTCACATCACAATGTGTATGTGTTGGAAAAGGGTTAAAAGGAAGAAGACTTTCTTAATTGAGCTAGATATTGATGACACATCACATATTTAGCTTCATCTTCTGATATGTGCCAGCATAGATCAATGGGAGGATGGGGCCACCGCCCAAGCTGCTGGGAGTATGTTGCAATTCCAATTACAACTTTTCTTATCCTTGTCTGTAGTTTTACTTTTACTAGATTGGTAACTTCTAATGAGAACAGTCAGTGCTTTGCAGTGTAATTTTATTGTAATCTGTGTCAGCAACTGAACTGTGTCAGCTAATTATGGCAGCAACCTAAACTCTCAATAACGCATGGGAATGGCAATATTATCAGGATCAGGCTGTACTATCAGGATCATGCATCACATGACCCACATGTTTATAAGACAGTTTACAGGCTTGTTGCTAATCAGTAGATGGTTCCGGTCCCAGAGAATAATGCTTGGAAAATATTTCTTTATATTCTTGTGTAGTAAATGAGAGAAAAAAAGATCAGTTCTGAAAAATCAACATAGCTGCTATGCAGCTGCTATACATGTATACTATATCCATGTATACAGCTGCTATATATGTATATTATACAACTACATTCATAATAATTTACATTACTGTCTTCTAAATCTGGATAGTAGAAGTATTGTAAAAATATTTTAAAAGACAGAAAAACGTTATTTCATGTCCTCAATCTTCTCTCTAATACTGAAAATTAAAGAAGACATTTTTATACTCTCCAGTTAGTTAGGATATTTGTACCAACTACTACAAGTAGCAGGTTGACTGACTGGGGACATCTTATACCTTCACCTAATTCTTTGGCTCCTCTGAGATTTCTGGAATTTTCATTCCATATCTTCCATTTTCTTTTCTATGAGTGGTCAAGTGGAAATAATGAATTGCAGTTAAGTACAAAATAGATTAGGTTGCATGCCAGTAAAAAGATCCTAAAAATTAATGTGGTAGAAGACAATGCATCATACAGTTGCAATTTAACAATATGAGCTGTATAGGCAAAGGAACTCTGTGGTGCCCAGCTTGGTCTATCATTCCCATTTTTGAGGACTTTCAGACTCAGCACAAAAAAGAAGCCATTGAAATGAGGAAAGCTCTGTCACACACACCTTTAAAAAAGAACTGGAAAATGTTCTGTAAAGCACTATCTTACATAGACCGAAAGACTTAGAGGAACAAATCTTTGGAATTTTTTACTGTTTTTTTCTGTGTTTGAGTGTCAGAGTAGTTTTAGATCAGGAAGTCAGTGCTGATTACCAGTTTCAAATAATATCTGGTTGTTTATTATCCAATAAAACAGAAAGCAGAACAAACATAGTGTTTTAAAGTGCTGTAGAACTAGACACTAAAAGTCATTTTTCAGTAAAACCAATGATGCAGTTCTCTGGTGGGTTGAGTTGGTATTTCTACTCTAACTCAGATTGTAACACCCACAGAGAACTATTAAGTGTTTTGTACCTATGCAATATATGCACAAGTAATGTTGTTGATGGTGAGGGACTGAATTTTGTCTTCAGACAAATAAATACAGGGCCTGCCTATCTGAATTTTAATCGTTCCTGTGCTTCTGAAGGCAAAATAAATTATAAACTACAGGGTTTGTATTCACTGATTTAAGGGGAGACCTCCATCAACTGTTGGAGCTGTTGAACTCAATCTGTTCATTATGATGTTCATTTAAGATCTGACTTTTTGGATAGACACTTGGACAGACAGTGAAAATATGTAATGTTGGGATCTTTTTTCCCTTTCTGCCAAGATAATAACAGTAGCTGATACCTAGAAACCGCAGATAGAAAGAATGCACTGGGGATGTCAGATGCAGTTTCTTAGCACCTTATTCATTAGAAGATGATGAAACCCTGACACTTTTAAGTGAGAAAAAGTAGTTCTAGAAGATGTGCTTTAAGAATGATTTTGGGATAAACTTTGTGGGTTGTCGGGAGAGGTTACCTTAGGCAGGATATTGGTGGTGTTTGAATCTCTTGCTCTGCTTCTCCATGTCATCACATTCTTTCAGGAGAAGGTAGAGTTATTTGCATGTGTCTTCAGGATGCTCCCATTACCTGTAGTTCTGTTGTAAGCCAGAATTTCTAGTTAAAGAATCTGTTGCCTGTAGGAGTCAAAAAGCTTCCCCCTCCCCCCCGACACGTATTTGGACTTATGGGTTTCTGAACTGTATCCTTCACTGACTAATCTTTGAAGTGTGAAAGCTGGCTCACAGCTGGAGAAAAGTTACTGAGATAGTGGAGGCAGTGCCCTGGAGAGGTGTGGAAAATAGTTTTGGGTATCTGTCTGGTTTGTATCACTGGTAACCTCTTGGGTTTATAAATGGATAGATTGGACATTATAAAAGAATTAGAGGAAGTTGTCTGGGGTCCTTGGGGACCCTATAGTGTTCTCCAGACAGAACACTATGAATGGACTGGCATTGGTGTCTCATGTCTTCTACTTCTCAGGGACTAAACATCCCTCTGGCACAGGCAGCAACAAACACAAACATACAGAAGCTTTTGTTTTGCTCGTGGCAGGTCCATCAAATTTTGTGCTTTACACATCTGACTCATTCATTTACTTTTTCTTCTCTCCACCCTCACGATCATCTATAATATCAGTAACTCTTCTGTTTACTGTACAGTGCCACGGCTTTTCTTTGTCTCTCTTATCCCATGAAGCAGATGTTACTGATCAGTCTGCCAGGCAACTGTGTTTGATGTCCAAAGCCCCAAGGTACACGGGACAGTTTGGCAGGTTTCAGGGAGAGCTTGCTTCATCCCAGCTGCTGCCTTGTGCCGCACCCCCTGCCGCTCCACGTCACTGGATGCTCAAGGCGTGCTCCCATCTTGGGACTTGGCATTGAGAGACTACGCACACCAGGAAATTAAGAAGTTGAGAAGTCAAAAATTAATTCATACCACGTTCTGTCTGGGGACTCCCTGTGGCACTGTGAAGACATGGGGCAAGGAAGAGAGTAAAAAGAAATGCTGTGCTAAGGCTGTGGTTGATTTCACCTTTTATTTTTAAAGGACAGTTTTAAGCTGCTGTGAAAACCAAATAAATACGTTAATAGATACAAAAGCAGGGAGACGTCAGTGCCATTACATACTCCCTATGTGACCAGCAAGGTAAAATACTCAGTTCTAGTTGCATTATCCATGCTGTATGTTTCTCTCAGATAGGCTAAGAAGAGTATAAAAATGCAAATCATGCTCTGCTGAAGTTGATGACAAATCTTTTATTGACTTATATGGCCTAAGTTTCAAGGACTTCGGAAATACCTATAAAATGGGCCAGTGATGACATGATCTCCACTAGAAAAGCTATATTCTATTCTCAATCTGTGGCTCTAGCCAGCCGTACTAGTTCAGATGTTTACATGACAGACTGCTAATTTAGAATTACAGTATTACTAATTACAAATGCTAGATTAGATATGCTGAGGTGTTCAAGATCTACTTTTAAATGCTGGCTTATAGTCTTCTCTGGGTATAAGAAAGATTTGAGCAATAATAATTCAGTATCAAAATTGAATCACATAACAAGATCTGTGCAAATATATTTGAAGTGCATTCACCACTTTTAAAATATAGGCTTTGAAAGAAATCATAAAATTGGTATTGTTGTTTTGGTTTTGGTCTTCTTTTCATTCTACCTACCTTTCCTGAGACCATTCTCAGGAAAACTACTCAGGAAAGCCCTACTTGGGAGCAACACTGTGGTGTCCTTTAATGTGTACCTTTTAGTGATGCCATTTAAAATTTAGTTTGGTCACGTGGGCCTGAGATGCAACCTTCACCTTTGCCAATCCTTACCTGATGCAAGAGGTTCATCACATAAAGTATGAATATTTTGGCCCCCCATTTGAGGAGCCATCTGACAAGGTGGGAATGGGCAGGGAGACCCGTGCTGCATGGGAGCAACATGTCTGGGGCAGACCTGGGGCATTTTGGCATGCAGTGCTGGGAGAATGTGAGTGGACAAGCTTTGTGTTGAGTCTGTAAGTAGAAATGAAGGCTTTGGTCTGAAGGACTGCAAGTTGGACATTTTTGCCAGCACAAAAAGTACTTCAATGTTATAAGCTAAAGGAATGAAATTGATAACTTATCACAGAAGAAAATATACGCTTGATTTACGAGCTCAGCCTGCAGAGATGGTGTGGCAATGTAATCAGTGATGTAGGACAAATGGAAACGTGAAGTAACTATCTGTTTTCCTCTAGGCTCTAATAGAGTTTATATTTTATTTCCATTTTAAAGAGTTGTCTTTACAGTCCATTTGTCCCCTCCCCTTTCTCATCTTATCCCTGTGGTGAAGAGTTAGTGCTCTTATCAGGAAGGTTTCTGGTAATGTTTCAGTTTTATAGCCTCAGCCTTTCCATGAGCAAACATTCACAGCAACCTTTAGCCTCTCTCCTTTCCTGAGTTTTCCTGTTGCTAGTTTTTCACCTTGAAGTGCCACCTAGTATGCCGGAGGGGCGGGCATAGGTGAAGGCAGGGAAGGGGATAGGGAAGTGCCAGAGAGAAGGATCGTACAGCCTGTCTTTGAATCTATGGAGTGGAGGTCTCTTTCGTTCTATCTCTGAACAAAACCACTGTAGAGTATCTGAAAGAGAGTTGGAAGAGAAAAAGAAATGAGAGGGAACACACAATGGGTCTAAACTGAGCAATATGAAGCAACGGATGTTGATTCTGGCCATTTGGCCTTTGTTTTCCTCGCTCCAGCTGCTGCAGCAAGTTGGTTCAAACCGGTGTAACAACAAGAATTATGTGATCAATGTGATGCTCATGAATTACTCAGACTTCCCATCAAGTCCTGAAAGTTTGAAATGTGCTGTGAATGGAGCCTTGAAATGGGTACAAAATGAATTCCAGACAACAGGTAAGGCAATGGGTGTTGGTTACCCCTCTCTTGCTATGGTTTCTTGTCACACTTGTGTCACACCATCTGACCTTCAGCAAGATGTTCCTCAGACAGGCTCCTTGCCTGTCTGCTCATCTTATAGAGATCTTACAGAAATAATGACCTCTCTCTGTAAAAATAGAAGTGCTCTACAGATGGGCAGAACCATATATGTTTTCATGGTGTTTTGGGAGACTCTTCCCGCATGCTTTTCTGGAGATGTTCAGCTAGATTTGGGAATATGGGAATTGCTGAACTGGATCGGACAAGACCAGTGATCAATCTAGTGCAGTAATTGGGACGCCCTTGCTTCCTCTCCTGACTAGATTAGTCTCTACTTTCTGAAAATAATTTTCCTCTTGATCCCATCTTTTGATCACATCATGACCCGAAGTGTGAGGAATGTGCAGTCCCTGTGTTTTTCCTTCATTTAGAATCATGATGCTTTTATTTATTTTGATAGATTACCTCTCCTTTCAATATCACCAATCTACTGTCACCCTCTAGAATATTATGGGGAAAAAGAGTTTTCAAAGAAATATTACTTCGCACAGAGCCTTAAAAAATGTCTCTAGTAATGGTCAAGACTAAAAGTACTTTGTACTGAAAGTATTAACACTCATGAGAAGTCACTCATCAGAAGTCAGCAGTCCACAGCAGAGCAAATTTTTTTGTGTGGTGGACTCACATCCACAGTAGTGGGGGTTAGGTCAGAGGTGGACTTTGTAGAAGCTTTCTGGTAGCAGATCACCTAGTGTAAGACTGCTCAGACCTGTGTCAGAAGAAGTGGGATAATAGCATATTAGTTATTTTCTGCAATTCATGACACTGTTTATTTTTATGTTTGCATCAGGAGAAAATGTTACAGTTGATGCCATCTTCCATACCTTTGCCTCATCACTCTATGTCTCACAAGGCTGTCGCACTAGCACCTGTGAAGGTGTGGAGCTCATCAAGACAATTTATGTGAGTAGGAGATTTCTTTTGTTCTGCCTGTGTATACTCATGTATGTCTCTGTCTTTCCTTATTAACTTTTCATTCTCTTGTTCAGTTCCAAACAAATCTGACAGGGAAGTGAAGTTTTCAAAGAGAAGATGTTCCTGTATGTTTTGTGAAGGGAAGGAGGCAAATACTGGAGAGAGATTCTATGAATGCTTCCCAGAAACTGTCAGCTTCAGCTTCGGGCTCCTTTTCCTATGCTTAAGTTGTTCTCTTTTTTATATCTGCACAGCTCTTTGTGTGGACACATAGCCAAAGCAATCCATTAAAAAACATCAAAAACCAAAACCCAACCAAAAATACCCCAAAACCAACCCAAATGCTCAAACAGCCCAAGCAGAGCAAAAAGCTCAATTTCCAACTGGATCAGAGCCTGATCTGGTCCACCGTCAGTTTACACAATACACAAAAGAAAGAGCTGTGGTGAAGATGGGAACATGTGAGCAGAGAAATCATTAGGCTGGCACTGTTACTGATGAAATGGGTATGGAACTATGCCCAAAGGGCAAAGATGAAGTGCTTGCTTCTCACTAAGAGATCACAGAAGTCACGTGATAGAAACTATGCGAATACCTTAATATGAGGAAAAGCTTCAGTTAGAATTGGTGCACTTCAGGAAGCTGTTTCAGTGGATTTTCTCACCTTCGAGTGAAATTTTGTCAATCCCATGTGAGTTCTCAAGTCTACTGATCAATGAGCACATAATATAGCCTTTGCTAAGAAATTGTCCCTCATGACTGTAGTGGGTTGACCCTGGCTAGATGCCAGGTACCCACTAAAGCCACTCTCTCACTCTCCCTCTGCAACTGGACAGAGGAGAGAGAAAAAAACCAGCTAAGGATTCATGAATTGAGATAACAGCTGGGAGATGTCACTTACTGATTACCTTCATGGGCAAAGCAGACTCAAAGTGGGGATATTACTTAAATTTATTACTAACAAGATAAGAGTCAAAGAGTGAGAAATAAAACAGTCTTAACACCTTCCTCCCATCCCTCCTTCCTTCCGGGTTCTCCCTCTTCCCCCCCAGCGGTGCAGGGGGACAAGGAATGGGGGTTATGGTCAGTTGTTGTTTCTGCTGCTAGTCAGGGAGAGGAGTCCTTCCCCTGCTCCCATGGGGTCCCTCCCACGGGAGACAGTCTTTGATGGACCTCTCCAGCGTAAGTCCATCCCACAGGCAACAGTTCTTCACAAACTGCTGTCCCGTGGGTCACTCCTCCATGGGGTGCAGTCCTTCACAAATGAGCTGTACCAATGTGGGTCCCCCACAGGGGCCATGAGTCCTACCCAAGAAAAACCTGGTCCAGTGTGGGCTTCCCTCTCCACGGGCTGCAGGTCTCCAGCAGGACCCCGCTCCATCCTGGGCCTCCCACGGGGTCACAGCCTCCTTCCTGCATCCACCTGCTCCAGCATGGGCTCCTCCACGGGCTGCAGTGGGTCTCTGCACCCCGATGGTCCTCCATGGGCTGCAGGGGCACAGCTGCTCCACCATGGTCTGCACCACGGGCTGCAGGGGCCACAGCTCCCGTGCCTGGAGCACCTCCTGCCCCTCCTTCTGCACTGACCTTGGTGTCTATGTTGTTATTCCCATGTTCTCGCTCTGCTCTTCCGTGGCTGCAATTCTTTCTACGCAACAACCTTCTTTTCTTAAATATGTTATCACAGAGGTGTTACTATCACTCCTAATTGTCTCGGCCTTGGCCAACAGGAGGAAGTCTGTCCTGGAGCCAACTGGCATTGGCTCCACAGGAAAGGGGAAGCTTTTAGCAGCTTCTAACAGAAGCCACACCTGTAGGCCCCCCCCCCTGCTACCAAAACCCAGCCACAGAAACCCACTACAATGACACACAAAGATACTAATCAGGCCTTACTTGGTGGTCAGGAAAGGATTTTTTTTAATATTAGCTTTATATGCATGTAACTAATAATTTTTCTGATACACAGTACCTTGTAATTCCAGCCACCCTGTCTTCTGCAAATGCAAACACTGCTGGAGTGTGTAATTTCAAATGTGCAATTGTAACAACATTTCAATCCTAACTCACTGTCTGTCTCTTAATGAAGGTCATACTCACAGGAACTATTTTGTCCTCTGCCTTTTTTTGGCTTTCTGTGATTTCTTCCTTCTCCACTCTTTTAAACTTTCTGTAGCTCCTTACCTACTCTTTTCTTGCTTTTTCTAGATATATTCTGTGACTACTGAAATCCTAAAATTTTCTTCATTTTCCCATCCTCCTCTCTCTTGCCAGTTCTCTGCGCTGTCCCCATATGACCTTTTTATTCCTTGCAGGATTCTGGCACACTTGGCTGTGCTGTAATAGGACCCGCTTGCACTTATGCCACCTACCAAATGGTCTCGTAAGTACCACCTCTTTCCCCTAATATTGTGATGTTAAAGATATCAGTTGCTGAACAAAGTTGCTTTGTGAACAACAAACCTGCAGAGACATTGGGGTTTAGAATACATCAGACACCTCAAGGTCTATAGTCAAGGCAGTAAGACTCCTATGCATAGCCACTATGTTTGGTAGGGTGAAGAAAATCCCCTTCCAAAGCCCACTGATGAAATCCCAGTGATAGCAGGGAAACTTCTAATTCCAGACAGTAAATTGATTGATTGATTGATTGATTGATTGATTGAGGATTCAAAAGGTGTAGCTCCTTAGCAACTGCAGCAGATAAGGGATGTGAGCTTGAGGCATGTAGACATTGCAGTACTGCAGCAACAGGGCTCCTTCTGGGTGAGTGTTCAGTCATTAAGGGAGGCCTGAGTTATATGTGCCAAGAGAAGATCCAAAAACCCCAACTATCTTCAGTAAAGATTGTTTAGATAGGGAGCAGACAGTTTCATCCAAACCCTTCTGGCCTGAGGAAGTACTCCTGAAGAATGAATCTCTCTACTATTGTCTTAGATGTGAACATGTATAATTCTATTCTATATTATACCATACATTAATATGTTCATTCTCAGATATTAGCAAAAGTGTAAGCTGAATCTGCAGACTTCTAGGCTAAATAATTTTAAAACCTCCAGTCAGTTATGACATACAAATTCATATGGTTACCCAGGTGAATCACTTCCCTTTCTAAACTTTGGTAGCTTTTGGGTTTCACTGACAGAAACTGGGAGAATTGAGACACTTTTATCTCAAGATTTGTCTGCTTTTAGCTCTATACTTTTGAGTGGCATGACCAGAAGTGAATGCAGTGTTACTGGGGAATGCATGCGATTGATTTACAGAAGAATCTAAAGCATAACTCATATATATAGAGCACCATGGTAGAATATTGTGCAGTATACCCCATTTTATTCACTGTGCCTCCTAACTTAATGTTTGCTTTTCTATCTGCTGGATATGAAGATGCCCAGAATGATGCCAAACTTTTTTCCTTGGACTCTGACACAGTTAAAAGTGTGAATAGCAGAAGTTTATGAAAAGCAATAAAGAACAGTAACTGTTGTGCGATAGCCTTGTAAATCAGAACAAGTGCCTTACTTTTATAGAATCATACAATGGTTTGGGTTGGAAGAGCCCTTCAAGATCACCTGGTTCTAACTCCTCTGCCCTGGGCAAGGGCACATTCCACCAGACCAGGTTGCTCAGGGTCCCATCCAGCCTGTTTTTGAACACTTCCAAGAATGGGGCATCCACAACTTCTCTGGGCAGCCTGTTCCAGTGCCTCACCACCCTCACAGTAAAGAATTTCTTCCTAATGTCTAATCTAAACCTGACCTCTTTCAATTAAAAGCACTTTACAACAATTTAAGTGTGAGAAGGGCGCTATGGGTAATGCACCCATGGGAAGTGGGGTGGGAGTGTGCAGAGCCGATGTCGGCCCAGCTACTGCCTGCACTTGGCCACTCTTCTAGGTTTCATGTTTGGCTTATCAAATGGATATTAAACAACACAGTGGAAACTGCAAGAGGTCTGTAAGTGCAGCAGCTGTGGGGATGCTGCAACAGAACAGTGGAAGTAACAAGAGTGGTTTGGGATTAGCCGGATTGTCTACCTCAAATATTCACCATCTCTAATTCAGGAAATAATTGAGCAATGATTAAAGGGATGAAATTTGACAAGTCCAATCCAAATTCTGTATTCTGTTCCTGGGATCCTGAGTAACGTTGGACACAAATATAAATTGTGCAGAAAGGGATCTGGGGGTGCTGGTTGGCAGCTGGTTTGACAGGAGTCAGCAGTGTGCTCGGGCAGCCCAAAGGGCAAATTACATCCTGAGGTGCATCAAACACAGCATCACCATCTGGTCAAAAGGGGTGATTATCCTGTGGTACTCAGTGGTGGTGCAGCCTTACCTTCAGCACTGTATATAGTTCTGGGCCCCACAATTTCAGAAGGATGTGAAAGTCCTTGGATGCTTACAAAACTGGCAAAAGGGCTGGAAGGCATGTCCTCTGACGAGCAGCTGAAGACATTGGGTTTGTCTAGTTTGGAGAACAGGAGGCTGAGGGGAGACCTTGTTGCTTTCTACAGCTTCCTGAGAAGGGGAAGTGGAGAAGGAGGTGCTGATCTCTTCTCCCTGGGGTCCAGCAGCAGGACATGTAGGAATGATTCAAAGCTATGTAGGGAGAGGTTTAGTCTGGACATTAGGAATCATTTTTTTACTGAGAGCATGGTCAAACACTGGAACAGGCTTCCTAAAGAGGTGGTTGATTCTTCAAGCTTGTCAGTTTTTAAAAGGCATTTGGACAATGCCCTTAATAAATGGTCCAGTGGAAGGTGTCCCTACCTGTGGCAGAGGGTTGGAACTCGATGATCTTTAAATTCCCTTCCAACCCACACCGTTCTACAATTCTATGAATAACATGCTACAACTTTTGGTCAGCCCTGAAGCAGTCAAGCAGTTGGACTAGATGATTGTTGTAGGGCCCTTTCAAATGAAACAGTCTATTCTATTCTCTTCTATTCTAAGTCTGTCAGAAAAATGTCTGTTTAATTAGTGAAACACTCTGCTGGCATTACTTATTACATCATCTCTGTCTGTTTCTGTTGCAACAAGTATAAACCCTGTAATTTGGTAAGTGTGCTTCACCTGGAAAATAAGGTTTTGTCACAATAATGCCAACAACTCTTATGGCCATGATTTATGAAGGCAAAATTCCATGACATAAAAAACCACCATACAAGAACTGAAATATTTTGAGTCTAGTCTGATAAGATTGCAGCATCCAGGAAAATTCCTTTATCTTTAAAAGCTTATTGTCTCTGTGTTTTAAAACATCTTTGTTTAACAAATTCCTTGTCAGCAGAGGGTTGCATTAGTTTTTTCTCCCTGACTGCTGCTGTTGTACAGCTCCTAAAATATGCCATAATGAAACTGAGGAATTTTTCCTTTGAGTTGTAGGAGTAAAGCTTTTTTGATGGAAAAAAAGATGCCACCCTGCAGCACTGTCTCAATAATGAGATTACATCCATCCCATGTTAATGGCAGCCAGGGAGCAGAAGCAGATAGTTCCTTGAGCCTTTGGACTCCTGTCACAACCCTTGGGGCTGAAATGGTGCATGATACTCAAAAGGGCATGAATAATTGGAGGCAGTGAGAGAAGATGCCTGGACCAGTTCAACAGGGCTTTTTGATGGCAATACAGACTTGAAATCTGCTTGTGTTTTTCAGGAGCATTCTGTTTCAGGTTCAAATTGCTGTTAAACTAATGCGGGGAACAAGAGGAGAGGGACTTGAGGATGGACATCAGGTGGTAGCTGCCTTGGTGCAACAGCAATCTGTTCAGACTTGTCCTCTTATCTCTTCCTTCAGACTTGACACAGTACTGAGCCTGCCTCTGGTCTCTGTAGGGAGTTTTGGACTGTCCTGTGACTACAAAGAAAACCTAACCCGCCTTCTGACTCCAGCCAGGAAAGTGAACGGATTCTTCTATCATTTTTGGAAAGATTCTCAGCTGCCATTCAAAACCACGACCTGGGAATCTGTCTACATTTACAAGAGGACTGAAACCTCAGAGGCATGCTTCTGGTAAGATCTGGATCCACCTCTGAGCCAACTGTTGATAAATGCTGTCTCCACCCTTGGACATGGTTCTTATGAGCTGTTCTTTGAGCCCTACACTTTGGGAGGTGTCTCACAACTACCAAGGAATGAGAGAAGGAAAAGATGAATTATACCCTTTAGCTGTAGTGCATATCTGAAGGTTTCAATCAGTCTATTTTAAATATTTGCAAGCCTTGGCTTTTCCTGTGGACAGCATTGCCCACATGTTCTCTCTGATGGAAATACCTGTTTATGGCCTCTTTGATATAAATAATGTGTCATGAGAGGCTCCTCCATCGTGTTCTTCATAGATGTCTTTTTAGGTCAGGGGTCTTACCAAGCTCTTACAGTGTTTCTCCACATTAATGGCTTCAATCTGTGGGCACTATTGTTGCTCCAAAACATTTCCAATGTTCAAACTATATCTTTCTTCAAACAAAATAACCCCAATGATTGCAGAGTTTAGGCTATGCTCTCACCAGTTTGGAGCAAAGGAAACAGTTTTCACTTTGTGACCCAAAACATCAGCCTGTGTTTGATTCTCAAGAATGCTGGGATTTCTTCTTGTCTGAAAACAAAGGCTGGTTTTAGACGAATAGACTCTGTAATATACTGATATTTGTAATTACTTTTCTATTAATGAGTCGTATTTAACTTTAAGCTCATTTTAGTGTTTCTATACTCCTTTGAATTTTTTCCCAATTTTGAGATATAAAATGCTGATTAATTAAAAAAAGCATCTCATTTCTCCTATTAATTCTATAAATGTAGCTCAAAGGCAGCAAAGAGTTCATGGAAATAATTGTTACATATATTTCTAATTAATAACCTTAGGAACTTGCAGAATTTCAAATAGAACTTATGACTGTATTGGCTTCAGAGTGATATAAGCATGTATTTATGGAATATTTTGGATACAGTATTTAAAATATTTTTTTTCTGAATTAAGGGACCTAAAAACTGATTTCCAGTTCACTCTTTTGTAGGTATTTAGGGACTTTTATTGTTTCCTTCTTTCTTAGTATAGATAGCAACTTGATCACATGATGTAATTGCCATGATTACCTCTCTTTGATGTTTTGAAATATCAGTACACTTTGCTTATCTCTTACTACAATCCCTATTCCTCTATGTTTGCAGCTATAATTGCCAGTGCACTACACACACTAGCTAAATCCCTTTAATCCTGCAGGTTTCATACTTTTCTTACCTTTCCAAGCATTTCTTACCTTGCTCTTATTAATAATTCTGTTCAGGACCTTCTTTATGACTTCAGAATTGTTCAAACTCCTATATTGTTGAATTAACAAAAAAAAATTTAAAATTAATTTTGTATATCTGCCCATTTTTCATCCTAATTTAGTTGTAAAAATGCATCTCATTCTCCTTTAATAAAAACTGTAAACTTGAAGGGTTTTGAACTGTCTAATTTGAAAAGAACCCTTTTGTCTAAAGCACGTTACACTACATGGGCTAATTGTTTTTCCCATATACGTATAAAAACAAGTGAATACTCAGTGACAGCAAAATCAGGTTATGTTTCAACTGTGCATATGTTCCTGTAAATTAATGGTTAATGATTATGTTCCTGGAAAAAAAAAAGGAAGCAAAAGATATTTAGTAGTTCTTAGGACTGGGATTTCAGTGCTGGTTGATCAAAAGTTATGCAGTTTGAAAACACAGAGAGTTCTTTTAGTTTTCCCTTTGCAGTAACTTTATTTCAGACAGATTTTTTCTTCTCAGACACAACATGTTGAAGCAAGAATAGAATTTAGGAGTTGACTGTTTTTCCTTAATCTTTTAGCAAGCTTTTACTCACTTTGTTGGGTTTTTTTGCTGTGCTTATTTTCGCCTTCAAGTTTTATCTGACTCTGTATAGGCTTTTTTGTTGCTACTTTCCTTCCTTTGCTTCTCTCACAGTCAGGGTACATGTGTGCTTTTTATCTTTGTTCTTTCTGCAGCTCCTGTTTACTCAGTTGAACCTCCACACGTCTTCTAAGATTACCACTTCCTGGCTCTGCCTCCCTGTTAGTCTGACTTACTGTAATTTCCCCATATCCCTTTTTTTCCTTAATTGTTAATGTCTTGTTACATCATTGTATTTTCCAAATCCATCCTTCATGTACAAGGCTGAAATACCTCTGGTTGACTTTCCAAGCACTTCTGCGTCTTTCATGCTGTGTATTGATTTTCTTGCTTTTATTGCTGCAGAAAAGGTTTCATACTAGCTTATAAACACTCTTGTGTGCCATAAATCAGCCTATCTTGTGCTGTGGCTGATTTAGGAGAATGTGAGAAGTTAGCAATTTTCTGACAATATCTTTGCTCCCTTGTGTCAGGTACATGAATGCTTTAGATGCTGGAATCACAGAGTTCTCCGAAAAACTGAAGTTCAAGGATATTTTAAGGACTCCAGAGCAGCTGAAAAGAGCTGTGAAAAATCCAAACCGGAAAAGCAATGGTAAGGGCTGACGGTGCACTGTCCTTGCAAGTAGGTTGCTTTTCCCAGGAAATCAAACCTACCCCTTAGTTAGGTTTTAGGAATAGCCTTTCACCAGACATGGTGGAAACACTGATATACCATTTTATATGGATATAAACATAAAATGGCACAACATTCCTAGGTTCCTCTCTCCACCCCCATAAAATATGGGGGAATATCCTGGTTCCAGAGAGCTTCTGGGGTGGATTATCCCATGTAGACACAAGCTCCTTTTTGTGAAAGATTCAGAAATCCAGGAATCACAGGTTCACCTAAGAAGGGTTTTAAATACTAGAAGAATATAGATACTATAACCTGTCTATCATTCATGTGTTTGCAGCCCTGGTACATATATGGGCCTCATTTTGCCATCAAGGGGCACTTATTCTGGAAATGACTGATCTAAACTAGAAAAACAGATCAATAAATACCTCATGTTCTCTTAGACTGAACACCTGGCATCAGCAGGCCAAATGAGTGTGAGAGTAAGCAGGCTAATGAAACCATTACTTGAATGCCATTTAACCTAGAATGTCCATATCAGTAGTCCATATTGCATCAGAACTAATGCTTACTTCAGTGAGATAATAGTAATGCTCTGGTGCAGTCAGACAGAAAATGTTGTAGGTGTTGAGGCGCCTTTTACTACTTACCGTCAAATATCCTGGTCTTACTGCAGAGAGGCTGTAGCTCTGTGCCTGCATCCCATCACAGCACAGGACAGATAATGTTCCTTAGCCCAGAATTGCTCTACTGCCTGCTACTCAAACATGGGGGAGCAGGCAAATATCCTCTCCTTGTCTGTACCTCTCACCAATCTGTTTCCATTTTTTCCCAATCTGTAGTGATCATCATGTGTGGCTCTCCAGAGGATGTCAGGACAGACCTAGGGACGGGGAAAGTGGATAATGACATTGTTATCATCCTGATAGATGTCTTCAAGTAAAGTATCACCTTTGCTTTTCCTCTTTTCTCTGCAGTTTGCTGATGGATACAGATAACGGAAATAGTCTGAGTGGAACTGTTTTGTTGAAGAAATGCTCTTTCACAAATTGTGCTTTATTGCCATATTTCCTCAGGTCTTGGCATTATCTAAGCTGCTTAGTATTTACTTCATGGCACATCCTCTACAACATCCCCTGTATTTCATGGAATATTTTTCTAAGGCAGTGACAGAGCAGGTTGGGGTAGTTCCTCAGTGTAGGAAGCCATGAGAGAAGCAGAGTCCAAAGTCAGAATGGTGATAAGCTGTTTATATGAGAAACTGTACGTTTTTCATATACTCTGCCCAACCAGAAAACTATGAAAATATGATTTACAGATTTTTCTATGCTCCATTTGTTCAATTTTTAAATTATTTAAAAGACAGATACAACTGTTTTTCCACTTTATAACTCTTGCACTTTATAACCATCTCTTCAGCATCTTTATAAGTACATAAATCTATCTTTTCAGAGAAGTTTCTTAGTATACAACCTAAGTTTTCTGTTGTTGTTCCTCTTTACATTGCTACAGAAATCTTTGTAGACGAGGACTGACATAAACTTGCCTTATCAATGGTAGCCTCAAAAGCTTTGGCTGTATATGAGAACCAAGAGCTGATCTTTGGCCTTAAGCCTAAGTGACACAGCACAGCTCATATCTGTATAGCTATGTGTAGATGTCCAAACTGGGTGTTTTGGATATGCCTCCAGTTGCCATAGCAAATCACACTCTGGGAGAAAGTTAATTGGCCCAGACCAAAAACATGCCTGGGACTGTGCTGGCAGTGTAATGGATGGATGATAACAAGGCAACTGTATGTGCTCATGTCTTGATTTTAATTATTTCACTGTTGGTGTAGCAAAAAGAATCCAGGAACCTCTAGGGCCTGTGGGACTTCCCAGCTCTCATGTCTAAAGCTGACCTTGACAAGTCAGGGCTGAGGAACTTTGAATTAATGACTTCAGATACTTAACCTTTGGGTCCAAACTGGATCCTGCGGTTCAGGTTCTAATAGAATCTTCTCTGTCCTGTACACTTTGAGGTTCACCATATATGTTTTTCAGAAGTATGTCTAAAAGCTTTAGGCATTCCACCATTTTATCCAGGCTCTAGGAATCCCCACTTGCTTTTTTTGAGTCAACTGGCCACAATTCCTGTTTCTTTGCAAATGCACAATAGGGACTCTGTATGTGAGTGCTTTAACTTACTAGTGTTGCATATATAATTGTTGCATTAGGTAAGGGAGATTAGGGGCTTCTCTGCTGTGATACGCATCTTTCTGATACTACCCAGCCACCTCAGCCTGTTTTATATGCTGCCCTCCTTAAATTTGCTACATACTCTTGATTTTGCTGAGTATCTCAAATCATGTTATTTTTCTTAAAACAGACAAAATACAGGCATGTGCTGGATGAATACTCAAGCTGTAGATGAGAGAGCAGGCAAAGTCCTGTGCTTCTCCAGGAGTGACATCCCTCTGACAGTGATAGATTTAAATTTTCTTCAGTTTTGAGCCATCTAGCAGCCAGCACATAAACACAGTCTTTAAGCTGCCCTCGGGAAAGGTGGGATGCTGTAGGATTATCCAACCTAGTGGAGTCTAATGAAGTGTCCTTTTCAGCTGGCTAGTTTAGTCCAAGTCTGGATGAAAAACACTTTGAAATTCTTTAGGGTGAAAAGTACAATGTAAAAGTCAGAAGGTTGATGGAAAGGCAAGGATGGGGCTCTGGAGTCAAAATCCCGTTAGATGATCATGGAGCAAAGCCTGTGGTCTCCAAAAAGTCTTAATACAGTATTGACTGAAAAAATAAAAGGATGATCAAACATGAATAATGAGAGAAGGCTCATACAATTATGTTCTTTTTATGGATCTAGCTATAGCAATTCCAGTTGCTGCCATGTGACACTAATATCTATTGCTAAATTCCTCCTTAATACGTGAGTCCAGTGGTGGCCAGTTTGTGAAGCACTTCCAGATGGCAGCTCAAGGTGATGAAACCAAAGATGCCTGAAAGCTACATCTTCTGCTTGCTCTAGCATAGTTTTCAAGTTCACACAGTTTCCTCTGATTTTCCTATCTCACTGAATTAAACAAATAAATCAATAAGCTGCTCTCTGCACTTCTCTGAATGTTTCATGCCCTCCTGTTAAATATCAGAATTAGAGGAACATGCAAAAAAGTGCAGAAGAGGTCAGAAACAGGCATAGTAACATGAAGAAACTATGATTGCAGTATTGTGGATTCCAAGAAGAGATTAAGTTTTAATATATATAAATTCTGCTTAAAAAAAAAGAGGAAATAAACAGGGCAGAAACCAAACAGTTACAATAATAACAATAATTTCCTGCAACCCTTGAGTTTAAGATTGCCCGATCTCTTTAATATTACCTTTTAATATATTTAAGCACAAAAGCTGGCATTAGGGAATAAGCAATATAAAGAGTTGTATGCATGATGAAATTTTATTTTTTGAATTACTGTTTTAACCTGTTAAATAACAGTGCCATTGGGAAGAGGTGAGTGATTCTGTCGTGGATACCACTGGCCCTGTTGTTGAGTGTTCATGGTGTTCTTGTGCTTTGCTTTGTAGTAGCACGTACTTCAGGAAGAACAGCTCAGCTGACTACATGCAGAATGTACTTGTCCTGACTCAGTCACCAGCTAATTACAGCAACAATACTGTAATTAGAGACTACACAGAGTGTGAGGACAACACCCTGGTAACTACACTATTTTATATCTGATTATTGCATTCAGTTCATTCATGTTCATGTACTAGGAAATGAAACCTAAAAATCCCCTGTCATGCTTCCATGCTGGTGTTTTCTTACAGTATTGCAGGATGACATTTTGTCCTGATGTTATGATGTAAAAATATAGTATTGTAAGGCAAACATGCAGGTTGTCATGTTCCTACTTTGTGAAATTCAACTCAAGCTTTTAATTTGGTCTTCAAGTGTCATATTCACAGGGCATGAGGGAGACTTATAGGTACATGGCTTTCCAACTCCACTTCTGAGTGACTGACAATCTTACAGGCATCACTTAAGAAAGTTCTATATATGTAATTGAGATGTGAGGATTGAAAGTTCAGAACTAGTAACTGTTCACTGATTTTTTTGTGCAGATATGTCTAAGAGGTGACAACCATTGCAGTTTCCGTCCAGGGGCTTTCCAGATAAACTTCATAAACAGGAACTTTTTTTTCTGTTGGAAATATGTATTTTTTTTTAATTTCCAGAAAAGCAGAAACTGTGGAAATGCTGTATCTGCTTAGTGAAACTGATACTCCTTGCCATCTGCCTAGGAACCAGGCCCTTCATGTAGAGTTCCTCCCAGGATTTGTGGCTTTGAGCTCCAGCTCTTCAGCAGGCAGCCTTAAGCTTCTGGCTGGATTTACATGGCTTCTAGATCCCCCAGCCTGGGCTCAATGCTTTTTGGGTGCCAGCTCTGTGGCAGGCTGCTGAAAATCTGGCACAGCTCCTTGCCCCTTAGCTGTGGCCATCTGGAAGCCCAGACTTGCTGGCACTGCACCAAATTATCTGCACAGAAAGTCTAATCCAAAGCCAGGATCTTTGGGACACACTGAGCAGAGCAGACCTGTCAAGAACCTAGAGTGTAGGATTTCTTGAATCCTTTGCACCAGGATCAGCATGCCAAAACTTTATGTTCATCTCTTGTAAGTTTTCATGACCTCCCTGTCTTTACACACCAAACATATATTATGTTTACCTTTATTTTTCCAAGTGAGAACACTGATGTGGCATTGGCCATGTACTCCCACAGTTTCAGCAGATTCTTGTCTTCCATGCTGGAGCTTCTGCCAAACACAGACAACCAAAGTTATTGTAGCTTTAAGGCAGAATCATGAACTCCCAAACTGCCGTTTTTCTTTTTCCTTTGTTCTAGATGGAAGATGACTTTCTTGTTGGCTATTCTAATGCAGTCTTGCTGTTTGGGCATACTCTCAAGAAATTTATTGTCTCCCAGAGCCCAGTGTCACCTCTCAGTTTAATCAATGAATTCCGAGATACCACTTTTGAAGGTAAAATAAGTGCAGTCCTGTGCAGGGTTCATTAAATTGATGAGGGGAAAGAAATTTGGGGTTAAACACTCCTAAGATAAGTCATTTCTACACTAAACAAGTCCAAGCCCTTCAATGAGTTTTTTCTTTTTATTTAATTTTTACAAGGATGTTATCTTCAGTATTTGATGTTCAAAATTACTTGGAAGTCACTTAGCTGAGCTTTAATGAAGTAGTTTCAACCTTTTGCAGTTTACAAAGCCATGTAGGCCTGGGTACCTGCATGTGAGGGTAGGCCAGCACCAGGCTGGCGATGATTTGGCTCTTCTTAGTCAAGTTTCTTGTTCCTCTCACAGGTTGTCTAGCACCAGTGGGCTTTTATTTTGCAGGCCATGGGCTTAAAATCACAGAATCCAATCATTAGAAAAAGGCAGAGGGAAGACTTACACAAAGAAGTGACAACATTACCTCTCTGGGAGTATAGTCCCAGCTATTGCTTCACATCAGAGATCTGTACCTAAATGATGACTCAAAGTTTTGTGTTTATATCTCACCTACGTTCAGCAAACACATGTGTAGAAGTTTCTCAAATTTTTCTAAGAGGGCCTAACAGGTTTTGGGCTTATCTTTGTTTTAATCATGGTATCCCATACCTAGCAAAATATGGTTTACTAACTCCTCCTGGAGACAGCATCCCTTTTTGAGTATCAGTAAACTTATCTCTTCAGTTTAACTCTAAATGTGAAAGTTAAATTGCACAAACTTTTTTACTCATCTGAAATACTGCACTGTAACACTCTTCATTATTTATTAGTTTAGTTAAAAAAAAAAAAAAATCCTAGAAGTGAGAGGTGTTGAATCACCCTCATTCTTTCTTGTGATGGAGGCTGATAGTAGTGATTTCATACAATAATTATTTTGGTATTAAAAAGGTGGACCATGAAAAACTTAGCATCAGTTTTTGAGGTGAAAAGGGAGAAGGTAATTCCTGAACTAAAATAATGATGACACTGAACTTCAGGAAAAATAAAAGAACAACAGCAGCAAAAGAGCAATCTGAAGCTGATCAAAAAGACGTTCCTGTAAAAAAGAAGGGGGAAAATGAAGGTGAGACTTTCAGGAGTGGTGGGTATTGGCTATGCTTGTGCTCCTGTTGAGACAACCAACTTCATGGGAGCAAAATCAAGCTGTGCTGAGGGACTTGGGAACCTGGTTAAAATGGTATTATTAGAGCCAAACAAGTAGTTTTCAAAAGACTAAGGGGAATGAAAGTGTCCTTGTACTTTCTTTCTTGCTGACAGATTCAAACTGCAGGTGGAAACAGACTATTTCCTTTCTCACTTCTAAAATGGTCCCTTCAAGGGAGATTAGTCTGACATTCTTGTTATGCTAAAGAAACCTGACAAATACATTTTCCTATAGCTAGAGGGAGACTTTCCTCTTCAGTGCAGTCAGTTCAACACATTTTATTGAATTTTGTAGAGAAAATGTAGTGTGGTAGTGCCACACTGAGTTGACACATATTCTAGACTATATATGAAGAAGAAAAATATCTTGAATATCAGAATCCTTTTTTATCCCATCCTCCATGCCCCATTTGTGTTTCTGAGAACACAAGCTCTCTGACTAATTCCTTGTGTCTGCAGGTCTACTGGGTCCTGTGACTCTAGATGAATTTGGAGACATTGATACCAATCTGACCCTCCTGTACACATCACCAACTGCAAAGCATGTATGTATGTCCAGGGAGCAACTGTTTGACCTTATATATGAAAAGAGAAACAAAATGTCGTGTACTATTGCATAAGAATGATGAAAATAACTACAGCAGGAGTGGTGGAGTGCCAAGGCATGCTGTGCATGCCAGAAGGGGGTCATGCGAGATGTGCTGGAGAGTGACAGGATTGATGTCATCTGGTGATTCAGTAAGTGAAGTGCAGCTGGTATTTTCTGGGATTGGTAGATTTATTTTCAGAGAGAGGGGAGGAATGAGGAAGAATATGGCAGCCGAACATATGGCTATGCTGAGAAATGCACCAGTGTAGAAGAAAGAGCAAGAATTACTTTGAGTTTGGGTAATACATTTAGTAAGGGTAGTCTGAAGCAAGGGACAAAAGAGGGACAGCACAGCTACTGACTGCATTTCTTCTCTCCTACATCCATAGTTCAAACCTCTTCTGTATTTCAACACTCACAACAACGAGACATACACGGCGATTAACAGTCCGGATTTTATCTGGAAGAACCACAAGCTGCCCAGTGATACTCCAGGCACTGGTGAGATACCCATTAAATCTGCCTCTACTTTGAAGACAGGATCCACCTGCTGTGCAATCCAGTATGTTACCTTCACACTGCCCCCAGACAGTGACACCAGGAGATGGGTGCAGAACAGCATCTTTCCTTCTCCTGCCCCATCGCTCCATGGTCTCTGCATCCAGCCCAGTTCTAAACCTTCCTTTCTGTTTAGGCACTGCTACTAAGTCTCTCATAGATTCTTTACTGTACCAGTGATTGTGGGGAATACCATGGGATGTTTCAGAAGAGGTCACCCCTGTGCAAATAATCTTCACTAGAAGATGGTGGTGATGTGAATTGCTTGAAAGACTGTTCAGGAAAGGCAGCAGAATTAAGGTCATGATGAGTTATCTGACTCTACATTTCTGCATCACTGATGGAGCATGGTGGCTTCTGCTTGCACCTTTATCCTTGCTGTAGGGAGCTGGGGAGAGGATACAGCACTGTGCAAATTCAGGGTGCATCTCTGGAGGAGTCTCTGAGAATAGCTGATTCTTTGCAGAAAGACAATGGGAAACTATGGTTATCATAGAATCATGGCTCTATCTACACCCAAACTTTAAATCCGCAATCCCAGAAATCACCACTTCCTTTTCTTTTGAGTTTTTGGTGACAGTTGAATAGAAGGGATGAAGGCCCTTGTTATTCAGCACGGTAGGGTACAGCCTTATCAGTCTGATCAGACTGAGATTTTTTTTCCCCTTTAAGACTGCTGCCACATGGTGATTGGCAATGGAAGGGCATATGTTTCAGAGTGTGATTTGCAGAATAAAAATTATTGCAGTGGCAGTGGTTGCAAGAGTTAGTACACAGTGGATTAGTGTTCATGTGAGTCATTTGCATCAGTGAGAATCCAAAGATGCTGCTGTTAAAGGTCTCTGCTAAAGGCCTCCCATTATTTTGCTGTACTGCATACCTTCATTAGGGAATAGGCAAAGCATAACTGGAGAAACAAACACCTTCTGCTAACTATGAGTCCATTCACAGTAAAGTGGTAAATGGATTCAAACATTTTTATTCCTCAGTAAAGTAAATCAGACACCCTCAAATTAGGTCTTACCCCTTCTAAGAAAAGCAGGAATAGTGGTTTATTGGCAGGGATGCACGGGAGCTACCAGGAAAAGGCAGCAGCTCTGATAAGACTCCAGTTAGACAGTTCTGGGAAGAGCAGAGGGAGTTCACTGGAGCTTTCATTTTTCATCTCTGGTCAAATCTCTGATCTCCCTTGGTATGACCATGAGTCCTGCCTGTGCAGAGATAGCAACACTGCACAAGTCAGCCACAGGGTCTCCCTGCATCAGGTCCCTGAGGAATGGGCTTTCTGACTCCAGTCCTATTCCCATCCATCCCTTGGGGCCCACAAAATGCTGTCTTGTCAGTGGATTTTCATATCTTTCAAATATTTTCTTCAGTATGTTCTTGTTTGAAGCTGCTGCACAAGGACAAAAAAAGTGGGAATTGCAGAAAGCCAGTGTCTACAAACCAGTAGTTTAACATCCAGTGCTTAATGAAGCACTGTGGCCAAGCCATACTAAACTAAAGTAAAACTTCCTCCCACAGGCACTTGATTATTTTGATTTGATTCACATTTTTAAAAAATAAACCTTTCTTCAGTGTGATTTTAAATAAATATATTCCCCCAAAAGAAGATGGCCAAAGTTGAAGTAATCACTTTAAACTTGCCAAAGCCAGTCAAAACTTTCCAATCAGAAATGTGTTTTTTCCTCCAGGGAGGTGAACAAACAGAGCAACCAGAGCCCTGCTCCTTCCTAAGCTGTAACTGAGAACAGCTGAACTAGTTCTGCTGCCTACCTTCCTCCTGGTATCCCGTGATAAACAAAGGAGCTTCATCCACGTTTTCCCATTATTCAGAGAGTTTTAGCCCTCACTCTAAACTTGGATAAAATTAGCCTTGAATACACAAACGTTTCTGGTTTCAGAGGATCAGGTAATTTGTGACTCTCTGTCTGCGTGTTGTAATACTAAGAGCCAGGAGGTGGTAGCAGAGCCTCAGGAAAGGGAAATGACGGTCCCATAGCGCTTTCATGGGAAACTACAAACTGCTCATTGTTAAGCTGCAAGCCACGATTCACAAACCTTAAGTTTTACAGAATTCGTACAAAATGGCTTTGCACATTCTCATGTATCTGTCATTTTATAGCAGTGACTTAACACCCTTCCTTGCAAACTAAAAGAGTAGTACTGATGGTTTTCAACAGAGAGGATCAGACTAATACTAAATTCCTAGGAGAACCTGAGACTGATGCTGGGATGAACACAGAGAAAGCTGGATCCAAAATCCAGAGAAGTTAATAAACTGAATTCTGTGTCAGATACAGACACTTAAATTGGTATGTTGAAAACCCTTCCTCAGTTGCTGCCTGATTCTGAAGGCAGCTAGTGTATGTAATTTTGGTTTTTATTTATGTAGTAATTTTTTTGTGTGCTTTTATTTCTGTTTCTGGGCACAGACAGAATTGTGTTAGCCTCAGTAAGGCTGAGTAACTCGCTCTTTTACTATCCATAACCAACATGTCAATCTGCAAAACAGGGTTCTGCTCTGCCTTCTTTGCCTAAGAGAGTTGCTCAATAAGAGAAGGTACACTCTAGATGTGTGACCACCAACTGCAGCTCTGCACTAATGGCCTGTTACTCTTCAAAGGAAGTTGGTAGCCACCAACTTTCCTTCCCAGTACCCCTGAGCTCCAAGAACAGACAAAAGACAGGCTTCACCTCACTTTTCTACATTAAGACAATGAAAATTACAACCTTAAAAAGTCAGCTCCCAGCCTTGTTTGTCTTGCCTGCTTGCTCAGGTTTAGAACCCTCATGTGCTCTGTGGTTTTTGGGTCTAAGTCCTCAGATTCCTGGACAACAAGATTTTCAAATTGTTTGTCACCTGGCAGCTTCCAAGGACACTTGAAAAGCTTTGCGCTGCCACCATAATAATTTTCCTCTATACCACATTAATTTCCTACTGAAGACTACAGCGCTCAGTTGCACTTTGTCATCTCAACAAAGTGTCTACAGAAGGGTTTAGAAATGAGTCCACAGTCTCCAAAGCTCTGTCTACAACTACAGAATTACTTTAAACAACTGCATTAATAAGGGGAAAACCCAAGTGTGAAATGTTGAAAAGTCTGTGTATGTTAAAAGCTGTATCATGATTTCCTTCCTTACCTCTTCTTGGATAACAAATTCGTGTGAAAAATGCCTCTCAAATCCATAAGTGGCTTTACCCTGTATCAGCTCAAATTCTGGGTTGAAGCTTCAGGTGTATCCCATCCTGAAGCAAATTATATCAGTAAAGACACATGGTGACGAAGCTATGGGTAGTTGTGGAAAATTCACTGCCAATAGTTCATTGGATGGGTACCCAGCAGGACTGAATCAGAAAGTCATCACTAAACAACCTTGATAAAAGGATCGAACACTTGTTCCCCATTTCAGAGAAAGCCTTATCCAAAGGAGTCAGTGAGGACCCTATTTTGCATTAAGCCCTGGTTATGCTGGAGGAAAACAATGACTGATTTCAAATAGCCATCTGCTTATCCCATCTACATCTCTACCTCACAGAGATATCTCACAAGGGTTGCCTCCACCATCCACTCTTACAAAGTTATTACAAGGAGAAATTTGGTTACTTCATTTTAAAAATGTAGTTACTAGGAGAAGTCAGCTTTATTTCTGGACTGTCCTAGATTGTTTTTAAAAAGGAGAACACCTGGAAACTGCTGCTGAGCAGAGGTGAGATTTAGCGCTGTTGAATTCACCTCCCGCCTGGGTGTCCCTACAGAGTGCCCATGCCTCAGGTGGGGATTTAAGACTGCACTGCTCTGGGTCATGCTTCATCCTGCATTGAAAGAGGCAGGTGCATGCCACCTCTAGGCAGTGCTGGACTTTACCAAAGCCTCTCAATTTGGATGTGGCCAGAAATTATCCCTGGTCAGCTACTGTGACTTGCATGTGTGAGTGAGGGTAATTTCTTAAGCACAATATTGTTTTTCATTATCCTCTGTCAAGTTGTTTATTTCTCAATTTTTCTTTTCTGCAGGCCCCCACGTCTTGACTATTGCTGTATTTACACTCACAGGAATTGTGATTTTGGTTCTGATCATCTCTTTGGTGATTCTAAGGTACCAACCCCTTTGTCTTTCTGTTTGTTTGTCCTTGAACAGTTTTCCTCCTAGGGCAATGGCTTTGATCTCTCCAAGAGCCATTCATTATCTTACCTTACATACCTGCGTGGTTGCCCTCAGTGTGAACTCTTTAGTATATGCCAAGTAGTGCTTGCATCTGTAGCGTTGTTATGACAGGTTAATAATGAAGGGAGAAGGTGCAGCAAGGCTCAGTGTTCTTGCATGTGCTAAAAATCTCTGATTCCTATACACAGAAACATGTGTCTCAGACCAGTCTTCAGACTTTTTCCACTTTACTGCCCATCTTTTGCTTTCTTGGGGTTCACTTTGGTTTTTTATCCTATTGGTGACATAAAAGTTCAGTCTAGAAGGAAGTATTTTTCTTGAGTCACTGTAGAAGTCAAAACACCATGAGGTTTTGGTGTTTTCATTGCAAGGATCTATTCCTTTGACTCAGTCCAACTCCTTGCATAACAATTCTTCTAACAGCTTAGAATTTCATGAATATAACACAGTCTAGCTTTATCATGATGGGAAAAGCAGAAATAGAAATCAGTGATATCTCCTTTTGATGGAAGAAATCCCACCCTATTTCCAAAGTATATGGGTTTTTTTAATCTTTAAAAAATTGTCTTATCTGTGCATCTGTTTTCAGTCTATATCTTTGTTATATATCAGAGAACTTCAGAAAAAGCAAGAAAATCAGGTCTTAAGGAAAGTTGATTAGAAACAGATGCTACCCAGGCTCTCTTGTTTTGAGTAGACCAATCCGTCTTGCTAACTAAAGCAAGGAAAAAATCAAAGATGAAGATATATAACTCTTACACATCCAGTTTTACTCAAGAAATGAAGGAGCTAATCATTGCCACATCTAAGCACTAACGCTTTAAACAGGTAAAGTTTGAAATGGCTATGAAAATAAATAAACATTTGTCTTGACAATATGGACTTGTAAAAGATTCTGTACTTTTCCACATTTGCAGATGCATAAAATCTAAAGATTCTGTTTAGATTATTAGATTATTATTGTATACACATCATTGCAATATTCCCAGGCATCAAATATAGAAGAGATTTCTGGGAATTTTTTTAGAATAAAGCTTGCCCTCTTAGTGTCAAAACAATAGTAAACTTCTCAACTATAATTGCTACCAAAGATTGTCCCCTAACAAGCAAAAGAGAAGAGAAACTCAGCTATGAAAACTGGCAAAATGCCTCATTATTCCTTCTTTATCTCTCAATTTTCTAGGACACTCGAACTATCCCACAACTACCTGTGTAGTTCTGACTGCAAAGTAAGAAGGCAAAGTCCTGAAAAACATATAACTAAATATTAGGCCTAGTAGATTTTAATTCAGTTTTGTATGTTCTTAATCACCAGCTGATACCAGTTTGAATTGCAGTACATCCTGGTGACACACACACCTTACAAGATAGAACTGAGAAATTATTGGTCTTCTTTTTCTTGTGCAAATATATGCTAAAAAGATATTGGAAAAGGGAATGTTATTAGGCAACAGTATGGGTTCTCCCATTTGGAGCATTTGCCAGTTGTCATCAGTGCATTAGGATTTCTCTGCAGACTCTCCAGTCAGTTCTTGGGTTTTAGTAAAGAAGGGACTTGCATGAGTAAGTGGGTAATTTGATGAGCACTAGTCTTCTTGCAGCTTTTCTCTACTTCTCTAAGAAAAGACAGTGCCTGCTCTGAATTTCTGCAGGAAGGACAGCAGTTTCTTTCTCCCTGTTCCAAGGGCTCTTCCCTCATTTTTACAAAATGTGCAGAATACAAGGGACATCCACAAAAAGGCATCTCATCTCAACACCATTGTTACTTCCTCTCCTGGCATTGTATTCACACAGGTTCTTACTATCCACTGTTGATGCCAGGACTGCCTTTGGCTTGCATTTCTTTGTGGGACCTCTATTCCAAGTACATTCAATAACATGGAGGAGAAAACTATATAAAATCCAGATGGCTCTTTGTGCTTTAAATTGTGCTGACCGCCCCTGAGACTGGCAATTGCAGCAGTTGTTCTGCTAAATCTGTTCTGTTTCTCTGCTGCAGAACTGAATGAGCATTTCGGCTTTCCCAAAGCTAGGGGAATTAAGATTATCCTCAAACTGGAAAACTGTGTGAGAGCCAGAGGGCTTGTGCTCAAGCACTGTCAACCTAACAAACCATTCCTGTGTCATCCTGACACTAGAAGCTTCCCTGTCCCAGTCTCCTGTTGTGGATTTTGGTTCATTGGGAGGATATTCTGAAAGACTTCCCTGGTTTTTCAGGAAGTACAGGAGAGACAATGAACGCCGGTGGAAGAAATGGTCCCATATACCACCTGAGGAAATCTTGCCTCTGGAGACCAGTGAGACAAGTCATGTTAGTCTGAAGGTAAGAGAAGCACAGTGCCCAAAGCTGGGTCTTGGATTCTGTCTGCTAGAGACCATCAGTGCTGGGGTGTTTAGAAGCTCTGACTACAGTGCAGACTCTGGCTCTGGTAGAACTAGGATCCGTTAATTTATTTTTTTTTCAACCCTCGCTTGCTATATTGAAGAAAAAGATTATTCCCCATCTATTGCTCCCTGATAGAATATACCTGTTCCTGTCAGTAAAGCTCATTTTGTGATGGGGGAATGGAGGGGTATTGATTTCCAGTCTTTCTCTGTTACAAATGATTTCCCTGTGCTTTGTTATGCCTCTGTAATGTCCAAGAGCATGAAAGCAGCAGGCAGAGGGCCTGGGAGTGGCGTGGATGTCCAACACTTTCTGTGGCATGTAGTGGCCCTCCCTAGAGAGAGAGGCTCATGCTTCTCTGTGTGGCACACACAGACATTATTAATCTCTCTGGATCTGTGAAGTGGGGAGTAGGTGATAATTGCAAGTTAATTATTCTTCTTTGTTCTCAGATCGACGAAGATAAGAGACGTGACACCACCCAGAGACTGCGCCAGGGCAAATATGACAAGAAGGTAACCTGACTGCAGTGTCCACAATCACTTCCTTGCCCTTATGATGCTCTTCCTGGGAGGAAGTTGTTCCACCTCCTCTGACCTTGCAAAATGGCTTGATCTTGTAGAAGGAATAAGCTATTTATTCCCTATCAGGTGGTTTGTATTTTGCTTCCTGACAGGAGGCAAAATATTAGACTCCATGAATACCCAGCCCAGTCCAGGAGCACAGAAGTAGAAACACAGGGACCAAAAATCTGATACGTTTTGCTACTGCGGAGATTAATAGATTAAGGGAGGACAAGCCATTTACATATCAATTCTTATGCTTTCAGTAGAGCTGCTTGCCTGCCTGAGGTATATTCATGTTGAGTTAAAATCTGCATAATTGACAGTTCTAAACAGTAAATCCTATGAAGAAAATATAACTCCAGTACTTATTAGCTGATAAACTGAAACTTCAACAGTGAAGCAGTAGGCAGGTGTTTCTGAAGTATTTCTTTGTATGGACATTTCTTGGAAAAGAAGGACGAATTGCTGTTGTACTAAAACTATGACTTTTTTCCCCACTGGTATTTTTCCTTCAGGTGGTAATCCTAAAGGATCTCAAAAACAGTGATGGTAATTTCTCAGAGAAGCAAAAAATGGAACTGAACAAGGTACCTGTTACAATTAGCAACTGGACACAGCAGGATGGGATGGAAACTATGAGTGAAGTCATTGCTTTCCAATAGCCATATGCTTGTGCATGTTTGTGAGATGGATGGGTAATGAGTTCCTCAAAGGATATTGTTTGAGGAACTTTCTCTTTGTGTGTGTGATCTCATCAACAGTTCAGAGTCTGAATAGTATACCAATGAAGCTGAAGATGAATGAAGTAATTCATGTGCTGTCATACGGCCTTATTAAATACATTTTTATAGCTGATTCCAAAAGGCAATGCACTCTTTTAGCTCATATCCTGCTAAGTCATCAATAGCACAACGTTGTAGTTAAATCTTATTATTGAATGCCAAGTGCAGCTCTTAAAATATAAGTAATACTCTGCTGGCTTGTGCATACAGAGTCTTCCAACATGGGACATGAATTTGGATGCAGTACTGCATCTTTTTTTGAATGGTTTTCTTTTCACACAACACAGCTATGCTGTGAATTCAATAAGCTGTAAAAATACCTCAAAGTAAACTATAGTTGTCTATTTAAATGGACAAAGTCCATAATTTCATGCAGTGTAATTAAATTTTTATTACTTGCTCATTTACTGATTCTCAACATTCTGTCCTTGTCAGCTGGGAGGTTTGAGAGGCAATAATGGATATTACAGGGGGCTCTGGAATTGACTTGCAGTATCCAACAGCAGCCATTTTTTTCTTCCTAATCCAGAAGGCTCTGGAATAACAAACATCTTCAAGTACTTCACTCAGTGCCTTAGTACACACTGGTTTAAGGGAACCTCATACATCTTATCAGGGCCTGAGATAAAAAGCCATGTCACATAAGTATCTGTGACCTGTGTTTCTGTATTAACAATGATTGCTTTTAAAAACAGATGAAATGTTTCTGCTCTAGCTCCTACAGGTTGATTATTACAATTTGACCAAGTTCTATGGCACTGTGAAGATAGACACCATGATCTTTGGGGTGATTGAGTACTGCGAAAGAGGTTCTCTGCGGGTAAAGAATTCTCCTTAAACCCCAAAATTATCAATTTTCAAAGTAAGAAAATAAATCCCCACCTCTATGTCTCTGGCCCTCATGCAGCAGCTATGGACTGAGCAAGTGGTGGCAGGTTTCTGACTCCCAAGTTTTCTATCCCTTGCTTGGTTCTCTCCAGCCTTCCCCAGGTGTTGCTGTGTCAATTTGATGGTTCTCAAGCCGGGAGAGGATGAGGTGAGGTGGAGGCAAGGATAAGTACAAGCAGAGCTCTGCCCAGGCCACACCAACAACATTTGTATTGTGGCCCCAACTGGAAGCATATAGGATATAACTTTATGTTCATTTTCCAAGTTGTAGCTGTTGTCTCTGCTGATGCCCCTGCGGACCCCAAAGTGCCTCTAGAGTGTGCAAGGATAGAGAAAAGAATATATCCATACTAATAAGGGACAACTATGGCAAATTCCGTGTTGTAAGGGACAGCAACACTTTATTTTTTTTATAAAAGAAATGGTAAATTGATGCCTGGCAAAGTTATGAAAAGACTTATGGTTTATTATTACCAATATTATTTCAGTGCTAATCATGAAATGATGGTGGCGTCAACTCTTCTGTGGGCATATATTGTCTCTGCTTCTGCATTCATACAAAGACTCTCCTGTAGCAGCGAGGTCTCTGGAACAAACTCACAGCCAGGCAGCAAAATAACAGCTCCCTCTCTGAGTACTTTTCTTGTAAAGTGTCATACTCATGGAAGTTTACTTTTAGCAGTAAAGTAAGTGTAAGTGTAAAGTCAGGTCATAGTGTGACTGGCAGGTTAAGATAAAGGAACAGTCTACTTTGAACTTATAAGGCCATGAGTAAATTGGTAGGAAATGGACTGCGAGCACAAAACATGAAAAATCCTCTCCTTTCCTCTTGCACACCTTGACCATTTGTGTCTCCGTTATTTTGTTTTCTTAAAGACTTAGCTTTAAGAACAATTTCACAATTTATCTTTAATTGCACAAAACCCTCCTTTCTGGAGTCCCCACTTTTCTAATGTAAACTTAAACTATATTTCATATTCCCTATTTTTGAGTGACTTCTGTTCTAGTGCATGTACTCCGTGTAAAAAATAAAGTTGCTGGTTAAAAGGCTCTGCAATTTGGATACTCATATCTCATCTTCTGTTTTCTCCCCGAAAAACTTTTCTTCTCTTGACAGGATGTTTTAAATGATAAAATCTCCTATCCTGATGTCACGTTCATGGACTGGGAATTTAAAATCTCCGTCATGTATGATATTGCCAAGGTAAGTGGGCTGCTGACAGTGTGATGGGAATCAACCAATCATCTGAGAAGTGTAGCTCTCAAGGTCTTCTCCTTCTTGGCTAGAGCTATATGTCCTTCCACTTTTTTCTCCTCTGGGGACAAGTATATGAGGCAGGAGAAACCAGTGGCTCTCGGACTGAAGGAGAAAATAGGGGCCAGAGCTGGCTTTGGGCTTTTTATAAATAAACAAATAAAGCATGCCTCAAAGAAATGTGACCCAAAGATCAGAGGGTTACAATCTGTTGACCAGTGGCTCTGATTAGTAGGGCTTAGGCAGTCACAAGATCTGCAAAACACACTACTTTCTGGCCTCAGGTAAAGCATACAAAGCAAAACTGTATTTTTTCAAATGACAGAAGTATTTTTATTTGTATCCAGAGATGGGATCAACTTTTTCTAAACAAATTGTTTATGTACCATCCTGACTTTTTCACTAAAGTGAGAAACTCTAGTTTCTCACTACAGCTATCCATTTCAAGCAGTTTGAGAGGGAAGAAATTAGTCTTTTATAGAAATCAAGGCTATTTTTCAGTAGCTTTCAACAGATCTTTGCACTTTAGGTCCTTGTTCTAGGAAGAATCAATATGCATGGTAAAGAAATTCTATTCTACACTGGAGACTTGTAACTGTTTAGCTGGTAGTTAAGAAGCCTTTGTAATTTGCGGGTATAATAATTCTTTATACCTCTGCAGATAAATGTAAAGAATCACCTCTGTCCTTTGGCTAGTGCTCAACTGCTCTCCTCTTCCTACTGCTGGTTTTTAATTGGACAGTCCTCCTGTTTCCCTACATCCATAAGTTCAGATTTAGTTTCCAAGATAAATGGCTCCACTGTGTCTGTTCTAAAGAGATATTGAAAATCTTGTGCTTTATTAAAGCCTCCTTAATCCAAATTGCCAGAGTTTGTTGGCCTTGTTAATGAGTTTCAAGTTCAGTTAACGTTCAGCATTAAGTTTGACTTCAAATAGCAGCAGTGGAGTTTCCCTGCCTCCTCATAGCATATCAAAAACCCAGGGTATTTTTAACCCTTTTCAGTTCACTTTCAGATGTTTACTTAGCAAATAGGGACTAGTACTGTCTCCATTTATGAGGAGAGAGAAATCCCAGTCCCTCTGAAGGGAGTGACCAAATGCCAGTGACTGCACTGGTACCAAGACTTCACAACCAGTCATTTGCTGCACCATTGGTAAAGGGGACACAGCACCTAAGGATGGATTGGTACACTGCATCTGTTCTCTGGAATGGCTCCTGAGCCATATTAGCTATGTTAGTAGAGATGGTTTGCAAAATCTCCTGAAAACTTGTATGTACCCAGGAGTATCTGGAAAATTACTGTAGTTTGGATAATCTGCCAACCTCTCCTATTCTTAGACCTGATACTGGTCTAAGAAGCTTCTGGGACCTAGACACTTCCATGAAATTCTTGTATTGCTGTTCCCAAACCACAGCTCCAGGCACCTTGTCTATTTTACTTGAATGGCTTCTCTCTTTACAGAAGTCACTTTGTGGCTTTTCAGCTCCGGTTCCTCTCATCTCAGTATCCATCCTCTTCAAGTCCAGCCCCAGCTCTCCAGGCTGTTAAAATCCCTGTGACCAGCTCCTGTGATTCCTTTGCCTTTTTATATGCTTCTCCCTCTCCACACCACCACTTTCCTACACTCTGCTCTTACCAAACAGTCCTAGTACTTTGCCTGGTCTTCATCTGGCACAGAAGTGCTGCATCTGTTTCTGAACAAAGGCTGGATCATTTGTATTCCCTGGTACAACTAGCCAAGTAATGACTATTCCTAGAGCAGTCCCTAGTTCACTAGAGAAGGTGGGATGGGCAAAGGAGAAGGCTTGAATCTACTCCATTTACTTCCACCCCTCTTTGTTTTTTTTCCTGTCTTAGCTGTCTCTAGGATTGATGGCATCACCTGTAGCTATATGGATTTGGCTATATGTGACCAAAGAGATCTGATGAAAGGTCTGCCAAGAAGGAATTGCAGTAATCAAACCTTGCAGTTATTAGTGCATACACTTGTCATTGCAACACTATTTATTAAATAAGGGGCTGCTGCAGGATATTGTGCAAGGGATTGTAATATTCTTGCATTGTGTCAGGAAAAGGGTTCTCAGTCAGAATTAAAGCTTCAGAGCTCCAGAGCAGAGGTTACAAGAATGCTCAAGTATTTTAGAAGTATTGCACTGAAAGTCATAAATTTTGAAAATCACACTGTGAGTTCTTAACAGTTTCTTGTTTTCAGGTAAGTGCACAGGATAGTGGTAAGGAAAGAGGAAAATTTTATCAGATACATCTATAAGACTTCTGCCTCCAGAAATTTTTAACAAGAAAGCCTTGGGATAAGGAAATCAAAATTACTTTTGCCTATCATTTGATGCTGAGAGTGATTGAGAATTCTGCTGTAGCAATGGGTACATTTCCTGGCTGATGAAAGCAGGAGCTGGAAGAAGGCACAGCTGGAGGAAATAGGGCCTAAATGAGGCAAAACATCCTGGGTACTGTCATCAGGGCTGCATGCTAAAAGCTGCTTAATCAAGAAATGTGTTCCTTGGCTATAGTGTGCACACAATCTCTGTAAATTTGGCATGGTCTAGATAGGTCGAGGATAACCAGTCCAACAACATTCTCCAGAGATTGCATCTTTTGCAGGCTGCTTGTGTCTCAGACATACATCTGCTGTGCCCAAAACTCAGCTCATATCTCAGTGATCTGTTGTTGCATTTGCTGATCCATTCCCAGTTATGCGTAGCCAGTATTTGAAAAGAAAACCCAGCATGTCATACTGTGTATTCATGACCACATGAGCTATGTAACCCTGATTCAATTCTGTCTTTCAGTTATGCAAAAGGATGAGCTATACATGTAGGAGTCTAAGTGGAAGATCATTTAGAGAAGAAGCTAAACAGATATGACATACTTCTGGCTTCCACAGGATATAGATTGTGCTTCATATACTGAGCACAAAGGAAAGAGGACTATAGGAAGAAAAACAACCAGCAATAGACTATAAGTAGGTGTGAGTGTAAGTAGTTCAGAAGAGAGAGATGAAACAGAATAAATAATAGCAAGAGGGTGCAAATTAGCATACCTACTCCCTTCTTTAGTTTACGCCCACTTAATAATGTTCTTTTCCAGCTCTGCCTCAGTGCTAGCCCCTTCGCATGTATTGCAGCATATTAGACTGTCTTAGACTAAATGAGACAATTTCAGATGTGATAACTAAAAAGAGGCAAACTACACACCTTTGTATGCCTGTGTGTATTGTGAGTCAAGAGACTGAATCTCAGGAAATAAAGATGAAACTGCATTGGCCAGTCCTCATGATGCTCACTTTGTTGTTTAGCTCATAGATAGCTGATATGCATTGACCTGCACAAATAAAACCAGTCAGGTCAGAAGAGACCTTTATGATCTTCTAGTCTTATTCTCTGTGTGATATAAGCCCTAGTGCATCATCTAACACTCTGCATTGACCCCTCTTTAGGCCTGATTTGCAGAAGTGGATCTGCTGCAATGTTTCGAATTAAGTCTCTGGTGTGTGATAATCTTCAAAGACGCTTATAGATATAAGGAGCAAGTCCTCTCACACCTATGGATGTCCATTGGAGGAACATGTAGTTGGAAGCACTTTTTTTGTGTGACATTCTAATGAATCTGTATTAAATTTACCAAAAAAACATTAATTGCAAGTGAAATTAAAACTTCTGTGGGAGCAAATATACTTCTCTAATTGCTTAATTGTGTTCTAATATTGTCAAAACCCAAGATGTTATGTCAGACTATTGTTAACAAAGAGAAAGGGTGGTCTTCCATGACATGATCCATTTCCTCACTTCTTAACATTGACTGTTCCTATCATCTTGGAAAGTCTCCTCTACAAAATAATATGAAAGGGAGTTGTGATTTATGCATATCCATTGCAGATGAAGGCCATTTAATTACTTGGACAGACATTAGCATATTCACATTCTTGCTGAGTCTGGTAACAGCTAAGTGTCTCACATGTAGTCATGCTTTCCTCCTCTTTTATTGTCAATCACAGGGGATGTCTTACCTGCACTCAAGCAAAACTGAAGTCCATGGTCGACTCAAATCCACAAACTGTGTAGTAGACAATCGCATGGTAGTGAAGATCACTGATTTTGGCTGCAATTCAATTCTGCCTCCAAGGAAAGGTAAAAACAATGCCTAATTGAACTCTCCCTCATGGTTTCCAACCCACTGGAATTTTCTTAACTTCATAGACCACTATGGCCTACAAAATGTACAATATGATTTTAATTTATGTAGCAGTCATTATACAAATGATATCTGAAAATACTGTCTTAACACAACAAAAGAAAATTATTAGCAGGTAGAGAAAGTGAGAAGGAAAGGAAGGATGCATATTCAACTCTCAGTTTAGAAAACAGAGATTTCACATGCGGCTGAGGTGCAAGAAACATTTTCAGCATCCAAGTCCTCCATGCAAACAAATCTCTTCAGCATTAATGCCAAACTTGTGTGAAGAAAAAAAGGAGTTAAGTACAAGTAATCTTGTCATTGATTGCGTTACCACAGTGCTCTGTGATATCATTTGAATGTTAACAGTCATGACTGATAATCCTTAAAAAAATCTGTAATGATATGCAATGATAACTTTGTTTTTCATTCCTTAGGTAGGAAACTAACAATATGTGTGCAACCAAATTGGAATAATTTTAATAGTTTTTCTTTACATTTTCTATTCACCTCACATTCATAGAACAATTTTCTAAAATAGAAAATTTTCTAAAATAGAGCACTCTTTTCTACTCATCTTTTTTTCTAACTTGATCTGGAGCAAAAAGATGAGCCCATCTGAAATGATGTCATATGAATCTGACACAGAGTAGAGCTTGGGGAATAATAAGCACAGCACTTTGCTGTAACTGCAGCATGTGACCTGAGAAGAAACTGTGGTTGCAACTGGGTTGGAGAAGATTTTTACATTCAGACACAAACATGCTCAAAAGTAGCAATAAATACATAAAAAAAGAGTAAGCAAAGTGCACTAAAGGTAAATGCTCTATTCATTCTTCATTTTACAAATTTCATATTTAAATTTATATTATTATTACATTTTAATATATCTATCTTCTTTCATTGTTCATAAACAACCTCAAAATTTCTGGCTACTGGATCTCTTTCCTTGAAGAAAACTTAGTGTTTCACAAGAGACTGCAGATTCAGTGAGGCTGGATGTTGCGGCCTGATATCATAACTCTGTTTTCAGGGTTACTGTGTTCAGGTCACTGTTATGAAACATCACCAGCATGTCACAACAAACTGTTGTACCATTGAGGTACAATAGTGCTCGTTGCACTAGAAATATAGATTAATAAAATCTATAGAAAGTAAGTGGTTATGAGCAGGTAATATCATGTCAGGTTCAAAAGCACTTGAGAATTATTTCAATAGCTTCATGATATCAAAACCATTGGGAAATACCGCAGTCTTCTCATCTGACACCTTGTATAACAAACTCCTTGCATCTAGCTCAATAATTTATGTCTCAGGGGTTTTTTTATTATAGCACTGGCATTCCTTGGTCTTATACAAATGCACAGGCTATTTCTAAGAAGCCCATGAAAGGTAGCCAAGAAAAGCAAGGAAATATCATTATAGCCAGTGGATGCTCTGAGAAGGATCACCTTTTTTTCAATTACTGCTCTCCCTTCCCCTTTTCCCTCATCCCCTGTTGCTGTCTGGATCTTCAGACTTGTGGACAGCTCCTGAGCATCTCCGTCATGCTGATGTATCTCAGAAGGGTGATGTATACAGCTATGGGATCATTGCCCAAGAAATCATCCTACGCAGAGAGACGTTCTACACCGGACACTGCCGGGACAACAGAGGTAAATCCACAAATTTCTCCTCCATTGCAGCCTTCTAGGATGGTGTAGCTGTAACTGGCCTGTTCTCCATGTTTTGTGAAAGGTACTGTCTCTGATAACTGCTTGAGCTGCTTCTTTCAGTGTGTAATTAATGAAAAAACTGTTTGAAGAATCTCACTATGGGGGCAAGTGTCCTTATTTTTCTGTAAATAGAATTTGCATTGAGTTTTCTTGCCCTTTCTCTTCCCTCCTCACTTCGGCCATAGCATTACAGAAGTTAACATTATACCATGCTGTCCAGTCTTACTGTAACATTTAAAGGCCACAAAGGTCTTTCTATTATGACTTGTGCACAACATATGTCACTCATTTTAAGCAGCATAAATCAGAAATGTCAACACAGAACAAGAAAAACTCAGCAGCATGACACAAAAACAGTTGACATTTAAAAACTGGCAATTCAGATTTTATTCAAGCCAGTTATAATTAACTTTAGCAATTTAACTTCTGTCAGAAAAATCATATCCTCCTGTAATGCGTCCATTAAACCACAGACTGTGCATTTTGTGACATTGTTTTTGAGTGGCTAACAGCCAAGTCAATCCCAATTCCCAGAATCCAGGCATTATTATATACCAGAACTGACATAAAAACATGTGTGGGTTTGGGATTCTCCTAGTGACAGTTACTAACAACAATTTAGACACTGTCTTTACGTCTGAGTCATTCTGTTAGATCCGCCTCACATTTGTTAAAACATCTAGAGCAGCAGCTCAACAGCCTAATAGCTCTTTTCCTGAGTTACATTTGAGAATAATTTCTGGGCCATGTTCATCATCCTACATTATCTCAACTCTGTGCTCATATTTGGGGAAACACAGTATTTCACATCACTGTCTCTTTAATATAAATGTAGATCTAAAATATTAGAAATGCCTGTTCCCCATAAACAAAACTCTTCAGGATTCCATGCTTAATATAAGGTAGAGAAAATGAAAGTTTTTCTATTCTTTTTTTCTTGGGAAGAGGCAGGCACAATCCTCATGAATGCAAGGATTTTACAAGTATCGCCAACATAGGTGGAGAAAGTGCAATGCCCTTCCTTCCTCATTTTGACTTGTAAAGCAAATCCATAGCAAAATATATTCTTTTAACTACTTGATAAGCAGTTATAATCTTTCTGTGCTGTGTTAGTGGCTATTAAGTTAGCCTCAGACACAGTGTTTCCTGGCTCTTCTGAGATGTGGTGGCATCCTCACTGCTCTGTATTTGACCCTGGCTGTCATAGTCAGAACCTTGTTTTATCTTTGACCTGTTTCTTAAAATTGCATTTTGTCCTTTTGGAAAGACTGTCCCTTTCAAATAGCATTAGGTTAATTCATCCAACTGAAAGAATTTTTAGCATCTAAGCTAGGTACCTAACAGCACCGAAGTGCTGTTGCTGGAGATGGTCACATATCAGCATATTGGGTAAGACAGCAATGACTTCACTGGCCATGAAGCCTGTTTGGTAGGTCTGGATCCACTGTAACTTAAAAAAATAATCTGCTTTGTAAATTTCAGTTGAAATTTTAAGTTTTCCATTCAGTGAGAAGATTGTTTTTTCCACAAAGCTTTTTTTCCTTAAAAGCATTAGTAGATGTCTAAGATATATATCGCTGATCTAATGGCTTCTGGTATTATTCTCGACTATTGATTATGCAATTTGAGTAAATGTGTTCATCAGTTTATCAAGTTTCATGTAAAAGAAATAAGTTTTATTATGTGTTGCTGAAGTGGCTCCTCATTTAAATGCCTGGATTCATTCATTAGCCAAGATGAGCAAGACAGTGAACCATACTTACTCAAACACCTCTGAATTCTCTTTGCGGCATCATCTAACTTTGGAAGACAGTAGCTCAAACTGGGGGTGACCATTAATTTACAAATTTCTAAGATAAAAAGAGAAAAGAACACCAAATTAGAGTCAATGGTAATGGACAAAGAAATGTTCTGGTTGCATGTTTGATTCATTTGGTTTTCAAGTCACCTGAAGAGTCTTTCAATGGCTAGGCTCTCAGGAGTTAGTCTCTGCAAGTTAGAAGACATGATACTGATATTTCAAGACAACTGAACTGCTTCTCCAGGACTTCACTGACAATAGCAAGGGCTGTGTTTAGATTTTAAAAGACTTATTAAAAACCCCATACCTAGGCTCCATCCACCAATTTAGAAAAAGGAAACTCAACTTCAAGTTACTCAGTGAGCCAATTTTCTCAACCTGCAAATATGTATCAATCAACTTAATGTACAATAATTTTGCTACTAATGAAAGAAAGGAAGTCCCATAGGATGACAGGTATACAAAACTGGATTTCTAATGTATAGAAGGAACTAGGTCATAGTCCTCTTCACTGATGTCTGTGAGACAGCTGTTCCCCATCTGGTTACTCCACTCTTCTGCAGAAACACCTCATTCACTGCTCAAGACTGTGAAATCTTGTCACGTATGAACGCTCAATTCAAGCTGCCTCCTTGTTCCACTACGTTCTGCCACTGGCTAATTGCAGTGCTGCTAATAGCTGCTGTTACTTCCTCTCTCAGGTGTGCGTGCAACATGGAAATCCAGCACATTCCTCTTGCATACATGAGTCCTACACAGACTTTCCTGTCTCTGTCTCTTCTTCTGCAAAGAAGATTTCTTTGCAGTCTCTCCATTCCATAGCATTTGGGACACTTAAGGCTCCAGCTCCTTCTCTAGTCTTTAATTTCTGTACCAAAAAGCTGGAAGCTGCTGCATCATTTTAGGATGATCATGCATGCTTAGCTGCCCTAGACTTGCACTTACCATCGTGATTACAAACCTTCCTCATGTCATTATACGCTTCCTTCAGTAAAATTGTATCCCAAATATAACCAGACATTACTAAAAAAATGTGTTTCATGCTTGTTCACAGATGCCTTTCAATTTCCCTTTACTCCAAAGTTAAAATTACTTCTGTTTTTTAAATCCCTCCCCATCTGGAACTCTTGAGATCTTCCGGAGAAAGACAAAGAGAGATGTTTTTGCTTTAGCTCTCATTTACTGTGCTTAAGTTCAGATGTGCAAATGCAGCCTGATTTTGATGTGTTCAGAATCCAAATAACTTTCATAGAATGGTTTTCATGACTAAGAGGACAAATGAGCTAACAATGCAATGCTTTTAACCCATATATATTAATATCTTAGTTTTAAGAAAGTTGAGCATCTGCAGGATGATTTGTACTGCTCTGACAGAGTTGTATGTCTCAACACTTTTGATCAAGTTGCAATGGGCTTTTCACATTGTTTTTGCTATAACTGTACTTCATGCTGAGAGGCACACTAATAATGCCCAACATTCATTTGGGAAGATGCCATAACCATGTCTACCGTGACCAATAAATACTCATGTACATTTCTATTCATTTTGCTTTCAGGGGCCTTCAAGACAGCCTGTTTTGATCTTGTGCCATATATTTAGAAAACATCCAAAGCTGAAATTCACATCAAAATGAGGGAACTGTCTTCAAGAGTTTTGTTTGCACAGTAGCTTGTAACCATAGAATTCTATCCACAAGCAATGTCCTTCTTATGCTTTTTTGTTTAAAACTTTGATCTTTTCCTGTGTTAGAGAAACTTTACAGAGTGGAGAGCGGCAAAGGAGTGAAGCCTTTCCGACCAGATCTGACCTTGGAAACAGTGGGAGAAAGACAGGTGGAAGTAAGCTAATAATTAACTAGGCCATTTTCTGGGTGAAGGGTGGAAGTTCTGGCCAGACTAGAGCCCATGATCATGGGAAGGTAAAAGCCATGCTTTTTATGCCAAATACCCTAACCTTGTGGGAAGAAATGGCATTCCATAGTTGTTACCAGCAAAGTGGAGTACAACTCATGGAAATTATTTCACTAGAAAGAAATAACCACTTATATGGTGCCACTCTTCTGACCTATTTTAGATATCTTTGAGATGGGATGAATCACACCTCGAGTATACCTCTCTCCACTGATTTTACAGCCCCTAAGGCTTCTTGCACAGGTGGAAATGTCTGTATTGTAGACATCCACATATTCAGCAATGAACCCCATTCTTTTTGGCTAAATCACTAGTTTCAGAAAAACACCAAACTCAGGGTATTGGAAATATGATTACCACAGCATTTACCTCCATGTCAATAACTGTACCTGCCTCCAGCTACAAGACTGGATCCATTTACTTGCCTTTCATTTATGTACTGCAAATTCAAGTTAAGATTATGTCACTAGTCATCACAGAGTTAAGTTTAGGATGCCTGCAATGAGTGTTCTAACCATAGGTTCAAGACAGTTAGTCACATGATTTAATATGCTGCCAGTCAAGAGTAACCAGAAATTCCCTAATGAACTAGTGCTGTTTAGCACTACTCTCTGTCTATATTCATAACTCATGTGGACTTTCCTTAAATTTTTGTTTGAAGTTGTATACACTAGTGAAGAGCTGCTGGGAGGAAGATCCAGAGAAAAGGCCTGACTTTAAGAAAATTGAGAGCACTCTGGCTAAAATATTCAGGTGAGCAGCAGGGGCTCTGTTTTAAGATGCTCCAAACTCCTCCTAAGTGTTAGAAAGCTCACATTTTTAAGTGTGTAAACTGCTGTGATAATGATTCAGTCAGTGGAAAAATCTAGTGTTGTTCACTTATATCTTCTTTTATTCTTTGGCAGAAAGGTAGGCGAGCATGTGCATGTGTATGTGTGCAATGTACTAGCTGAGTGAGGGTAAGGCAATCACCATACCTCAAATTGGTACATTGTGAAAGTAGCAAGCTGGATAATTAGAGATTTAAACTATTCAAGTAATTCAATCCCTGTCTCTAGTCAAGAGTTGGATAGTGACTCATGTCGTCTAAGTTTCGGGAAGTGAATGCACATAGATGTTTCGAGGATGATTTGAAAGTTTGGATGGTCCCAAATTAAGCTGACTAGAAATGTTGGGTCGTAACTCATGAGAAGTATTAATTACAGGGATTTGATGGTACAAAGTTGTGGGAAAATAATAAGGGCCATAGCTGGATAAACCCTATGGGGTTATACAGGCCTTTCACCTGGACAATGCTGCATTGTTCCTACAGAGTTTGGTATGAGTTAATTATTTTGATGACCAAACAGTGAGCTTTTAATCACTTCTCTTGGGCAATTGCTCCCCAGTTTTTAAAGCTGTTCCCATCAACAAACCCCAGTAGTACTTGCATTATTTTCTATTCTACATGGGTAGAAGGACAACCGTACTATACATAACTGAATGTATCTGTTGAATAATATTACTGCAGCTGAATAGAAAGGCCTCCTAGTTCATCTCCTAAGCTTCCATCCCACAAAAGCAAATAGGTTGCCTCTTGCCACACTCAATATGATGTTCTCCTCATGGGGGTCTAAGATGTCGCATCGCTGACATTACTTTAAAGTAAGAGTGATTTTAAAGTCCAGTTGGATACAATACTAATCTGACTCTTCCATTCAGCCTGGTCCCATCTACTTTCAGACTGCTTTGGCAAGTGCAGGCTGCCTAGATAAACAGGGGTTTGAGCAGCTCATGTTACCATACTTCTGCATCCAGGGGTTGTTAGTAGGCAGGAGTCTGCAAGATCTTGTGAGTAAGAAGAGCTCAGGGGCTCCTTTTTGATCTACTATATTGTTCTGTTTTCTAAACAGACAGCCCCAAATTGTCTTAATCTTTCTGGCTGAAGTCCCCATCTAAACATTCTATGCAATATTCTACCTACTATTTTCGGCTTCCTCTCAGAATTTGAGCTTCTCAGTTACTTTTTACAAATGAATGTTCATGGATTACCCAAGGTAATCTGGAACTGACAGTATTTTCAGGGCTAGGTGTTGGTCGGGTGCTTTAAGAATTACCAGTTGCAACTGACAAGTGTGGATCACTGACTTTCAACTCATAAGCCCTCCAAGCAAGTAAAAGAATGGTGCACTTGAGGCATTTTGCATTCTAACTACATGGAAGTCAAATGCTGGAGAAGTTTTCCGTTGTTCCTTTCTTGCCTCTTTTTGGCTGCTCTCAACAATGAATGTCTATCAGTCTTTCTTCTTCACTCCTGTGTAATTCTGTTACTTGCAGTAACTTCCATGGCCAAACCAATGAAAGCTACATGGATACCCTGATTCGGCGTCTACAGCTGTACTCCCGGAACTTGGAGCACCTGGTGGAGGAAAGGACAGAGCTATACAAAGCAGAGCGAGACAGAGCAGACAGGCTTAACTTCATGTTACTTCCAAGGTAACTGGCCAGGAGGATTTTCTGTGGCATTTTATTTATATATATCACCTGATTCTTGCAAAGTAGGGGATGGGATTAATGTTAATGTTCTATTTCTTTCCCCTCTAATCTAATCCTGCTAGGAAGGAAAGAAGCAGCAGCTGTCCCTGTGCTCTCCACCCCATGGTGGAGTTTCACGTCAAGATGGTACTGGGACCCATTATCTTTCTCAACATTTCTTCATGCACAGGATCCCCCTTTCCAGCACAAGCCTCTTTTTCACTGCTTTCCTTGGAACACACAGATCTACAGTGACCCCACATCACGGAGCTCTGTTCTGCTCCAGCACCTTGCTAGGTAGAGGGTGTGTCTCCAGCTGGAGAGCAGGAGTACAGTCTGATTTTAGGCTGGGATTTAGCAATGTACAGAGGGCTAAGGTTGGTTGGGCCATACTAGGCTAGATGGATTCTTCAGAGAATGAAGAATACTTATCCTATCGTATAGGATAAGTATTATTGATATTCTAATATTGGTAATGTCAGTAATTTTGGTATTGCATACATTTGCAATGGTAAAAGTGCCCTATCATTACTATTTTCAAGGGTATTTCAGTAGTCAGAGTATTGATTTTATCTTTAAAAAAGATAAAATCTTTTTATTGTCTCATCTTTTAAAAAAATGTTTGTTCAATCCAGTTTTGGGGAAAATTTGAAATGATCTGGCTGTATAGACAGTGCAACAAGGAATCCACGTCTTCTTCCACTCTTTATTGTTCCTACCACTCTTTTATTGTCCCAGTGTAGATGGAACACAGCATTGTGCAAACCCTATAATTTTCTGTGTCTCTTTCTGTTATTCTCTTCTAATATCTCCACTAGGAACAGATATTTTCCTGGTTTTAGAATTGCAAGAAAATGAAGGTCCCTTTGAATAGATATTGACTGTCATGGTATTGAATTTTTTTTCCGTGAAATTAGCAGACTATGATATGTCTTCTGAAATCAGGAAGAGGAGATTTAATTATCAGGATGAAATTACTTCTACACTGTGAAAACAGAAAAATATGTTTGTTCTTACTTATTGTATGGTAGAATGTAGGTCTACCTGTCAGAAATTCTAGAATTTCAGTTTTAAATTTGACTCAATATCCCTGTTTCTGACCTTAACCAAGCTCAGTTGCCTGTGTCTTAGTTTCCTCATGGCTATTAACACACTTAGATTTTGTAAGGCTGTAGCACATTAATTACCATTAGTAAGTGCTTTGAGGTTCCTTGCTGAAAGGCATTATGGGCATCTAAAATGCGATTACAGTGGCAGTTTTCAGCAAACTATTTGATGTTTCCTACACAGAAAGCAATGCTGTGGTTGGGTTGCATGAAAAAATACCTTTACTAGAAAGCACTACTCATCTGTCTTCCTGCCTTCTCTTCTTCCACAGGCCAGTAGTAAAGTCTTTGAAGGAGACTGGCCTGGTAGAACCAGAGTTCTTTGAAGAAGTCACTATCTACTTCAGTGACATCGTTGGCTTCACCACACTCTGCAAATATAGCACCCCTATGGAGGTGGTAGATATGCTGAATGATATCTACAAGAACTTTGACCACATTCTTGACCATCATGATGTTTACAAGGTGATTAGCTCTGCACTTTTGTTCAGTTAACGACCAGGGGACACACAAATCAAATTGCATCCTATGGTGGATTTGGGAATCTGCCTTCTAAGCAAAGACAGAAGAGAGAAAAACAGGTCAGGATTACCTCATTTCAATGTGCTTTCAGTGTGCCTGCTTATACAGAAAATACAGGTTTGTTAACAGGAATGCAGGGTATAAACACTCATATACCCAAATGGTGTCAGCTAACTTAAACTAATCAATCCTGCTCTCCAGGGATGAAATGTTTAACCATGAACAAGAGGATCTGATAAAACCTTTCTGCTTTTAACTAAGTGTGTACTTTTCTGTGTCTGCAGGTAGTGAGTTCTAATTTTGTTTCCACAGGTGGAGACCATTGGTGATGCCTACATGGTGGCGAGTGGTTTACCAAAGAGGAATGGCAACCGGCATGCAGTAGACATCTCCATGATGGCTCTGGATATCCTCAGCTTCATGGGATCTTTTGAACTGAGACATCTGCCGGGTCTGCCTGTGTGGATTCGCATTGGAATTCACTCTGGTACACAGTAGTGCTAGATCAACGATGACAATATGTTGTTGCCTTGTTTTTGAAAAGAAGTGACTCCCATACAAGGTCTGGTAGTACATCATACCTGATTGCTCTCCTCATGGGGAATCAGGTTGAAAAAATGTACCTAGAGGAAGAGCAACAGAAATAAAATGTCACAGTTTTTCTCCCCTGTAGTGAAATAAACCCTACCCATTCATTCACAGCTTAAGTCAGTAGCTAGGATGAACAACTGCCACTATTCCTGGTATGATTAAACCAATTGTATAAGCCTTCATAGATTTTTCCTCTCTGACTAAAGTGGAGATCAGTCATGGCCAGCTATGCTTACCTAGACAAAAAATGAAGACCTGTATTTTATGCTTTTGGAGGCAAAAGTTTTGTGAAGCCTATGCAGGAATTAATATTTTGATTTCTCTATAAAAATGCTTCTTATCAAAGGGGAACTCCAGATAGTTCAACAACTTTGGGAAATTCATCATCCACCTAAACACCAGCTGCCAAGGGAGGAACATATCAGAGAAAATGACTGAGGCACTGGGAAACTGCTTGAGGCTCCACTATGCACCCTTTCGTAATGAAGCTTATTCTATTTTTCTCTTGCTTCCAAACCCGACAGTTAATAACTGTACTTTTTTTTCTGCATAGAAAAAATTAATACTGTGCAGCTGTGTCCTTTTTACGCTCTTATTAGATTATGCAAGACTAACAGAGCTAGGCTTGGTTTGGAGGAAGGGGAGATCAAAAGATATTGTGGGAAGTGAGGTACAGAGTATTGCCATTGGTGAGGAATGTAGAGCTCCAGCAGGCACTGCACTGCTCTGCAGTAGTGAGACACCTCCCAAACAAATAGTCTCTTGATCCACCGTTTCTTAATGCTCTGCATCTCATTTCTAGGTCCATGTGCGGCTGGTGTGGTTGGAATAAAAATGCCTCGTTACTGTTTGTTTGGAGATACAGTAAACACAGCTTCGCGGATGGAATCCACAGGCTTGCGTAAGGATTTAATTTTAGCTGTCAGTGTAACGGGACCAAAGGCTATTGCTTAGTTTGTGACCACAGTGTCTATTTTCAGCTGAGAACAATTTATTATCAGCTTGCAGAAGTTTTAGAGATAAAGAAGCCCTATTTGTTTTGATTACCAATTACTTAACTGTCCAAAGTGACAGTGGGCACTTCACTGGGCAATGAAGAGTTGTTCCTTGTTCACGCTTCAGTGCTGGTAACGGGGAGTTTGTAGACTGGTTCACTGCCTGAATTCCTCTGGAAGATATGATACTCATGTGCCTGGATTAATTTTACTCTATGAAGTGTAGATTTTAGTCTGCCCTAGAATTGTATCACAGCTTTGTTGACTAAATATACTGACTGTGTATTTTAAGTTGAAGCAATTATGTCTTCAACTTCAGCATTAGGGAACTGTGCCAAGAGCGTTTTTTTTTCTTCTACCCAGTGTTTTCCCATGACCATTCCCTATATAGGTCTCTAACAATTATGCTTTTCCTTTTTGGCATCTAAATACTACAGATACCATTGGCACCTGTATTTCAGATCAATGGCTGTACGAGTTCCCTAGATATACCATGTAGTGGAGTCAAATTTTTCATACAGCAGTGTAATTGCTTCTCATTTAATTTAACTCTCAGAATTTATGTTGATAACAACTGAAGGAACTTCTGCTATAGCACCAGTTTTCACGTATACTTAATGTGATTACATGGTAAGTTTCCAGGTTGAGCTTTCATTGTCTCTTTATTTTTTAGCTTTAAGGATTCATGTAAGTGGTTCCACTATTAACATCCTGAAAAGAACAGACTGCCAATTCCAGTATGAAGTGAGAGGAGAAACGTACTTGAAGGTAACCTTTACCATGCACATGCAGGAATACAGAGAAGAGCGATAGTAAAAAGTATTATACAGCTGAGAGTACCACAAACTTAATTAACAGCTGGGGAAAAAGAGTTACAGATAATTGGTATCACAGTCTCTAGTGGTTGAAGAGACTTCTATAATAAAGACGATGCAGGAAATGAAGAGCTCCCTAAGTCATAAATAAAATTACAACATAAAGATGTGGAGAACAAATGAAACATACCACTTGGAACAGAAAATTGTGGAGTGAATTCATCTGATGAAAGGGAAGCTGTACTGTTAATTTGCTTATACTCCAATATCTGACTGTCCCTCTACAATCCATTTATTTCAGTCTGTTACACTTGTCTGTCCTTGGGAGCTGATGGCAGGCAGCACAGCTCACCTCTCCCATGGTGTGTGTTTCAGGTCACAGAACAAGGAAATGGGTGTGCAGCTGCATCTACCCCATTATTTTTCTTCTCACATCTGATTTTTAATCCTTTGCCATCAGCACCAGTTACTGAAAACAAGCAGAGGCAAACATGGCAATGTGTAATACAGTATTATTTAAGTAAATTAACTACAGGGAATTTCATTCTAATTCCAGGATTGTGCTTTCTTTTCTTTGTCATACATATTTAGGGCAGAGGAACAGAGATTACCTACTGGTTGACGGGTACTGAGGACAAGAAATACAATCTTCCAACACCTCCTTCTGTGTAAGATGGTCTTTATATGTGTCAAGGGAAGAGAAATCCCCATTCTTTGTGCTTTAGCCTTCATTGTTGCTCCCTGGCACTTGTGGATTTTTTATACTATTGAACTTATCTTCAGTAGTTAGAGGCTTAACAGTGTATATACATATAAACATGTAAATATTCATGACATGGGACTATGTGTGTGCTGAAGGTTATTTGTCTATATAAGCATTTAGAAGGTTCACTTCCTTGGAAGGGAAGTAGGACTTACAGGACAAGTTGCTGATATAAGGGCGAAAGATGGACAGAAGAATGAAAAACATCAATATTCCCAACAATTTAGTCCTAGTGGCACCTGTGTGTCACAGTATGGGAAGAGGATAACGACAACTGAATGTGCAGCTCTCTCTAATACCAGAAAAGAGCCGGTGAGCTCTTGTAGGGAAATTTGTAGGAGGAATGAAACTTGCAGGATTTTAAGCAGTATTCTGCTACAAGAGGTGAACAAAGTTACTGTAATACTACCCAGGAATAGTCTTTAAAAACTGAACGAGAGGTTACCTTCTAACACACAAGAGAGAAGTTATCAGGAAAAAATACGAAGTTGATGTCCTGGGACTGAGCCATAATTTTACATTAGAATTGAATAAAATACAGCAATAGTGGAAGGGTTGTTTTTGGGAAACTATGCAAAACTGAAGTCAGGATAACTTGTTGCATTTATTTAGTATGTATTTTGCATACGAGTACTGCATTATTTCCTGCAAACTCAATAATTGTGCAAGTTTCTCACTTGAAAGGCATAAGTAAATGTTACAGATTACGTCTACTACAAAAGTTTTCAGTCTTACTCAATGTGTCCATTGCATGAATAAAATTCTCTGCCCATTTATTCCTAGTACATTAGAGAAAAGAGGAGGCTAAGCAAAAGATGAAGGTTTTATTAGGGCATTAGCAAAACAGAAAAATCAAGTTTTTAATCTACTACAGAATCTTATGAACTTTGTTATTTTTTTAATGGAAAGTACAAGTGTTTGAGCTGAGCAGGAAATACTATCAAGAATACTTCTATGGTACATCTCTTTCATAAATTCAGAACTCCTTTTCTAAAATTAATATGATCTGTTGAGACTATCAGAATTACTGAATTACCAGTTGTTCTGGAATTCAACTAGTGAAAGTCCCTCTAGAGCTGGATCACAGTGATGTTTTTGTTTTCACTTCCTCATATAGGACTGCCCCTTAAAAATTGTCATATGTGTGGTACTCCAGCAAAAGCCAGATATACCGAAGAAATTTCCGAAAAGATGGCAACTCTGTTACTAAAGGCTGCATGAAGTTGAATAGTGAAAGTGCTGGTGCCAGTAATGGTGTTGAGAGCTAGAACCTATTTTGATTGGGATTGAATCTAATTTGTGTCTTCCTTTTCATGCAAATGATCATGATTTTTTTGGAAGGTCAATAATGACACAGGTACAGATCTCCTGTGCAAAGACACTGATCTATACTATCTGGAAAACTCACAAGGAAATCCTGACTTCTATTCCCAAATTCAGAAGCTGAATTTGGTCCTGTCCACTATTTTTATCAGTAGTGTGTGAATGTCATTAAGACAGACGTGGGATAGAAATATTTTAAAAACACTGGGGACCTGGTGATCACTAAAAACGGGACTCACTGATTTTTTTTTCCATCCTGTTGCTTTCAGGGAGAATCAGCAGCGGTTACAAGATGACTTAGCAGAGATGATAACCAATAGTCTTCAGAAAAGGGAAAATGAAGGATCCAAGGTGCATGAGCTTTCACGGGTAGCTAGCTACCGATCAGGTACCCTAGAATACCTGCAATTGGTCAGCACAGAGAATTTTACCACATATGTTTAAAACTGGATGTCTAGTATGACTCAAGAAGCTGCAGCAACTCTCTGGAGAACTTCATGTGAAGGCTGGAGGCTTACACTTTCAGCTGGAGGAGAAAGAAAATACCTTTCTAAGCATCCTTTCTACCGTCTGACCTGCTATCTGTAAATCAAACCTCTCTTCACTGTAACATTGAAATTGTTGGATGACTTCAGTAGGACACATGCAACCTGATTTGAGGTAAATGAAAATATCTGCACTTGAGTCTGGAAAATACTGAGGTTTTTTGGTTTAGTTAGGTTTTTTTAACTGTGATAGCCTGTTCAATAATCCACTTCTGAAAATATACACAGTAAAACCTTAATTTGTCACAAATTTTAAATGTTGTATTTAATTTGTAACTTTTATTTGAAGAAAGATTTGCTGTAATATATTTGAAAATAACATCAAATATATCATATGTAAAACCTGGATATGTTGCTATTTTGCTTCTTCTGTTGTTTTCCCTGTGTCTCACATGTTTTGTTTAATCAAGCTGACTTTGTTCAAGAGGCAACACTTCTGTTATTTACATTGGGAGATTACTCCAGAAATATGGTTTCTAAAGCTTATCTGAATTTTCTGGGCCTGAAAAATGAAACTTTCTTCCAAAACTACACACTTTCATATCTCTTTACCACTTCTGCTTCTGTCCCCAAACCAGAAGTGAAACAGAAATTAAGGAAATAAAATTATCTGAATTTATTAACCTCAGAATCTTTCAATTCAGCTTTTGGATGCAGTTTCACAACCAAGCAGGTTTTACTCAAATGACTCGCTCATTAACTGACATCATGGCATTTATATTAATAAACAGCTTTAGAAAACAACAAAAGCAGAGGGAACGCATGTAAAAGAAAATCAGCATTCATATAAAGAAATAACATCTACTGAGTGAAACTTCTGCAAGGACCTTTTGTGCATTGGTGGCTTTCAAAGCAGAGCTAATTCTTCCACCATTGTCAAACATCGGTCAGTATTCAAACAATAAAATTGGTGCAAAATCATTGGTTTTAAACAGCATTTTTTTCAAGTAAACATAAAAAAATTTAAAAAGAGTGAGCCAATTCCTGTGTTTCTTCTTTGTCAATATAAATTGGCTTTGTAAGAACACACACACACAAAAAGAACAATGTAGATGTAAACAGATCTGGAATGCAAAGATTCCTGGAAAAATTAAATAATGAGGTGCCAAAGGGCTTGTACTCTTGCCTAATGAATGTAAATTCCTACACCCAAGAGCACAGTAGAGAGAAAGACCAGAAAACGCGTAACCAACAGCCATGGCTTTCACATTATATGTAACCAATCTTAAACTCGAACTGGCACTACTACCACACCATCTTCTGTCTGTGACCTAATGAAAGCATTCATCTGGAGGAGAATAGGAAAAAAATATTGGTATTCTAAAACTGGTATGTATTAGAAACAACATCAGCACAGTAAGAAAGTATAAAGCCTGCTACTTCCTGCCTCGTGGTGCCAGTCGACAAGCTTTGTCTATTCTTGGGTGTGAGGGCTCTGCTGCTGGGCACCACTGGGCTATTACTGCATCTGATATGCTCAGCAAGTGTAGCTGTAATGCAGTGACAAGTGCTGGACTCATCAAGCCTGAAGAATCCCACTACTACTACTATCTCAAGCAGAGCTGTTCTGATCTTTGAAATAAGTCAATTTTTAAAGAGGAGTTTTATGGGTTCCATCCTTGACACCTCAACAAATTATTTTAGAGCAAATGTCTGCTAACATTGACTGAGACAATTAATTTAAACAGTGCTTAGTTTGCAACAGCCCTTCTCTTTCCAGCATTCTTCAGATAATAAATTTAACATCTTTTTGTGAAGATAAATAGTTGCCTTAGCAATGAGTTGATGGACCCATCCTCTGATAGGTTTGTTTTCCACATGGTTCTGTCCCTGCACATATCTGTCACCTATACATCACAATAAAATCAAGTTTGACTACTCTTTTAAAAAAATTATTCCTGAATTCTGGTTTGAATCTGTCTTAGATTCAATGTCTTATCATTGCATTTTATTATCAAATGTTAGATCAAAAAGTGCTCTACCACCAGAAATCTATCCGTGAAAGTCCAGTCATCCACCTCTCCTAGTTGTTTTTTTTTAAGCAATGAAGTGTTATATTAAAAACCTAGTGTGAGAAATAATTTTGTTGTCCAAGTGGAAAGGACTTTGGCTTCATCACCATTCATTTGGACTTAACTCACACACACACAAAAAAGGTTTTCTGAGAATCCCTGGTCCGGGAGCATGTGGAAGCAAACCTTTCCAAACACACAACAAGACTTTTGTAGCTTTGGGTCATGTTCAGATTCCTTCCCACTTCATTTTTATCATACATAGAATCATAGAATAGTTTGGGTTGGCAGGGACCTTTAGGTACTGGAAGGTGCTATAAGCAGCCTTCTGTTCTCCAGGCTGAACAACCCCAACTCTCTCAGCCTGTTTTAATAGGAGAGGTGCTCCAGCCCTCTGATCATCTTTGGGGCCCTCCTCTGGACTTGGTCCAACAGGTCCATGTCTTTCTTGGGGCCAAACAGCCAGGTGTGTTCTCACAAGAGTGGAGTAGAGGGGCAGAATCACCTCCCTTGACCTGCTCGCCACACTGCTTTTGATGCAGCCCAGGATATGGTTGGCTCTTCTGGACTGCAAATGCACACTGCTGGCTCATGTGGACCTTCTTGTTGGCCAACACCCCAAGTCTCTCTCTAGGCCTGCTCTCAATCCATTCTCTGGCCAGCTTGTATTTGTGCTTGGGATTGCCCCGCCCCATGTCTAGAACTTGCACGTGGCCTTGTTGAACTTAAATAGGTTCACACAGACCCACCTCTCAAGCCTGTCAAGGCTCCTCTGGATATGTCATCCCTTCCCTCCAGCATGTTGACTGCACCACAGCTTGGTATTGTCAGCAAACTCAATGAAGGTGCACTCAAGCCCAGCCCATGCTGCTGGCAAAGATGGTAAACAGCGCCAGTCCCCATAGTGACCCCTGAGAAACATCACTTGTCACTCATCCACACTCACCTTGTTTCAGCATCATGTATTTGTGTTCTCTGTCCTAGTTCTCACATGACTCCAAATCCTGTTTTAAATACTTTTTTCTCCCATTATAATCCTATATAGGGAATTCGATGGAAAATATAATTTTGTTTTTCTTCACCAGCATAGCCAAACTGAGAGAAGTATGTGACAGAGGTGAGTTTCTCATTTGGAAAAAACTTTGGGAAATATTCCTCCAAAGCAAACACACCATCCATTCATGATTAGACACTTAAAAGTTAATTTTCACTGGGAAGGCAAAAAAAAAAGTAACAGCACTGTGTTTTATGCTTATCTGTAAGAGCAGCTCAGAACAAAGCAGTGATGGGTATGGAAGGATCCCTGCAGCCAGCAGTGGTGTTTCAGTGCTCTTACCCTGGGCTTGAGGCCAAGGCTTGCTACTAGGCCTGAACTCGTTGGCATGTGACCTTGTTACATGAGGCTATTACAGGCACCGGTATCAAATTTGAGCTGTCTTAAACAATTACTGAAACACAAAGTCCAAATAATATCTGGTTTAGGACAGTCGTAGAATATCCAACACTGCAAGAGACAAAACGATAGTGCCAAAAAGATGACCTGAATCAATGGGGTTCAGACAACAACAGTGCCTAAAAATGATCTGGACCCATGGGGTTCAAGGGAAAACCCCATGGAAAGTTGTTTCTACCTGTAAAATCTAGGAAAAGGTCTGTCCCTCATTTTTTCTGTTGGGACACACACGACAGTTGCTGTTCCCAACAGGGCTGAAAGCTGCCTTTCCTGTGATGCAAAACGCGTAGTTTGACAAGACACCACCCTACTCCTGCTGCTTTTCGGAAGCCTTTCCTGATAAAGCTTCGCCCCTTTTTGGTTAATCACCGTTTGGAAGCCCAAGGGCGCCGCAGGCGCTCGCCTGGGGCCCCCTCCTCAGTGTCTTGCGAGGTCGGACCTCGGCCAGGAGTGACCCCCGCCACCAGCCAAACAACTACTGGGTCAAGAAAGTTGTCTCCAAACAACTACTGGGTCAAGAAAGATGCCGGTGGCTCCCGGGCACATTCCGACGCATGTCCCGGCGGCCGGCGCGGGGGAAAACCGTCGCCCCGTCAGGGCCACTTTCAGCACGGGGCACCGCGGCCGGGGCGGGCGCCGGAGGAGGCGGGAGCAGCGCCGAGACCTGCCCTGAGCGAGGGAACTTCTTAAAGTCCCGCCGCCTCCCGGCGTTCGCAGGAGCGCAGGATGGTCCGGCCGGGTGGCGGCGTGTGCCGCTACTGCTGGGGGCTCGTCCTGCTGTGGGCGGCAGCGGGCGGCCGCGCAGGTGAGGCGAGCGGGGTTCGGGGGGGGGGGGCGGCCGGCACGAAACCCCCTCGCTGGGGTGGGCAGGACGGAGGGAGAGGGCCGGGCTGCCCGAGCCCCGCGAGTGCCCCCCGTCCCGGGGGTGTCCGGCGGTAGGTAAGGGTAGCCCGGCCCGGGCTGTGCCGCGGCTCCGGCGGAGGCAGCGCGGCTCGCCCGGGGGACCCGCCGGGCTCCGCGCCCCGCCTGGTGCGGCCGCTCCTCGCCGCGCCTCCTGCCCGTGCTGCCTGGGACGCGGGTGCGAGGCCGCCAAGTCCCCGCTTCCCGCGGCGGGACCCGCAGGCCGGGCGGGGTCTGGTGCTTCACGCGCTGCTCCGGGAGCACCTCGTGTCCCGGCGGCCGGGCAGGGGCGGCCGGGCTGCCTCGTGGGTGTTCGGTGCTGGCGCTTCCTAAACGTCTTCCCAGTTCCCAGAAGAGGAACCAAACTAAGGAATCCAACAGATGGGAAGTTACCTTGAGCTCCCACCAGTGCTGGCTTTCCATGTAGTATGCGGCCATGGGAATCATTTAGGATGGACGCTTTGCTGTGGCCTACAGCATGCTGTGACTTGTGACTAGTGCTGGCTTGTTGGGTATATAGGTCTGGTCTGTGTTTTGGATCTCTTAGAGAATCACATAATGGTTTGGGTTGGAAGGGACACGATATCTCCCTCTTCTGCTGCTTTCAGTGAAGGTCTTAAGGGCTGGATTACGTGCTTATCATTTGGGAATTTCCGAGTTAATTTATTAATTGCCACAAAACAAGGAGAAATTTAGCTAACAGTTGTTTCAATGTTTGCAAAATGTTACAAGCATGTAATTTTCTGGACAGTCCCACTTCATCTCGCAGACCTAGTTTTCAAATTCTACCTGAATTGGCAAACACTTCAGTACTACATTAGCAGGATAGAGAGGTCAGCTGTGAATCATTCAAAGGAATTGGAAGTAAATTTCAGGTATGAAGTAGAAATCAATTGGGTATTAGCTGAAACTAACATCATAATTGAAGTACTGGTAGAAAACTACTAAGGAGCAAATAGAAATGCCTTTAGGCTGTTTAATGGAGTAAACATAGCTTTCAACATTGTGAATTGTCTAGATTCCTTATTTTTTTTTATTTGGTTCATTGTTCTTCAGCATTTTGAATGCCTTGAAGATTCATCATACAGTTTGGAAACTGTTTCTAGAGAATGTTCTTTAATAAAAATGGCTTAAATTGAGGTACTCCGAGGTTAGTAAAGCTACTTGTTGAACGATTATTTTTGTTTCCTCTGTGGTTG